ACAATAAGACAAACAAAAAATAGGAAAATTGCAATGAAAGATATGTTTGTCATTATTTCTAAGTGAAATCATAGATATAATAACAAAGAGAATCAGCAGCAACCATTGGAAGCAATGCAAGAGTTCAGCTAGATTGCCAGCCATAAGAACATATAAAAATCAATAGCTTTTTGCTATATTGGGAGTAATTAATTATAAACTATGACAATAATAAGATGCCATTTATAATAGTGACATAAACTAAAAGCTATCTAGGAATAAATCTAAGAGAATGCATAAAACATATAAGGGAAATTTAAAACTCTATTATAAGAGTTTTATTATGGTATTAGAGAACATAAATGCAGCATTCATAAATGACTTCATTGAATATTGTGAGATGCCACATTCCCTCAGAAAATTTAAATTCATTCTGATCAACATCTAAGAAAGAATTTTTTTTTAAAGGGGCAGAGTTGAGGCTTAAATTTATATGAGATAATAAATACAGAAAGAGGATCTCTGTTTTCTTAAGACATTAACAGTATACAGCAGAAGTTGGCAAATTCGACCAATAAACCAAATCTGGGCTGCTGTCTGTTTTTTCAAATAACATTTTACTGGTACAAAGCCACACCTACTCATGCTGCTTTCATGCTGCCGTGACAAAGTTGAGTAATTGTAGCAGACACTGCAGCCTGCTGTGTCTGGTCCTTTACACACACAAAAAAGTGTGACCTCTGTTCTATAGCATCTGGCTCTGAAGCAGAATAGATGGGAGTCTAGACTTATTCCTGTGTATAATATGGGAACTTAGTGTAATCATTCCCAGGAATTGGTACTAGGAAAATTGGCTCACAAAAAAAGAAAAAATGAATCTGTTTCTGTATTTCATACTATAAACAAAGCTCCAAGTGGAGTAAACAGCTAAATGTTAAGAATGAAAATATAAAGTTGATAGAAGAAAATAGAGGAATATGTATATATTTGCAACCTTATGGTAAAGAGGGATTTGTTCTGTGAGATTTGCAGAGCACAAACTATAAAAAGAAAATTGATGGATTTGGAATACATCAAAATGAATGATTTCTGTTCAATGGAGGGGACAATAGAGAAATTAACAGATGGTGAAAATATAATTATAGTGTTTAATAGACCATGATCAATGTTTAGAACATACAAGGGACTCTAGAAAATTAGAAAATGGAAGGGAGGAGAGCAATATAAAAGAGGACAAAGTATATGAATTGGCAATTCATAGAAGGAGAAACATGCATATACACACATATCACTGTTAGAGACAAGTGAAGTAAAAGGAAGAGACGGCATATTACCATTCAATAATTAAAAGCTTGGAAAGCAGGAAGTACCCTATCAAGTGGTGGTAAGGATGTAGGGAATTAGAAATCCTCACGTATTGCTGCTGGGTGGGCATGCAAGCCAGTGCATATATTTTAGAAAATCTAAGTAAATATATGACCTGAATCCTACCAATGGGATGCTAGGATAGGAATCCAGGGAAACATGTATGAGAATGGTAGCCACAGTGTAGGAAGTAAAAGGTTGTAATCAAGCTAGCTGTGTAGTACTAGAGGAATGAACAGGGAATACCACAGTGAATGCAGTGAGAAGGAATTGTTTATAGCAACATGAATGAGTTTCTAAAACAATGTTGAGAGAATACGGAAGAATCGGATATAAAACCTGCAATTTATATACAAATTTTAAAACTATATATAAGGGCCCAATATGTTTTTGACAAAATGTGTGTATACAAACATGTAAAGAGGATTCTGAATAATACATTAATTATGAAAAAGTGAATTCCTCTGGTGGGAAGGAAGGAATGGGACTGGACATAGAGGAAAAGTAGGAAAATAAGAAAAGTAAAAACAAAAAGAGCCTTTCATGGGCTCATAATAATAGTAGCTAATTGACTAGAGCCTGTACTAAGTCAACTCTGTTCCATTATCCTGAAAGGAAAACAAACTTCAGGGACATGACTTCTTCCTGGAATGCTAGATCCAAGTGCTTAAACAGTGTCATCAGGCATGCGTCTCTATGTCTTCAGTGTCTTTGCCTCCGTGTTGGCCTTCATATCAAGCCAACTCTTTTTAGGAAAACTCATAGCTGTTTCAGGTTCATAGTCTACCAGCTTGACAATCAGCTGAAAGAAAGTGGCCTTGTTACTATCAGCAGTATTCCTTGGAAGAATGTCCTTGCCTTTGATTGGATCATTTGGGGTCCTGTGTCCACTTCCAAACCAATCATATGTCAAAGGACTATGGGTGCCGGGGTTACTTTCCCATCCCCCGAACCCAGTAGTAGGAATTGTCCCACATACTTAATATGGTGGGGTGTTATAAAAAGCAAAATCAAAGTAGTGTGGCTAAGATTACAGGAAGCAGATTCAGAGGAGGGAAATAACCACAGGTCACTTGAATCAGTGCTATTTGTAGAATGGTTGATGTGGTTTGCTGTGTTTATTCTAGAAAAACAAGGAAAAATGAAGAATAGCTAACCCCAAATATCTGAAGCACTGTCACTTGCATGATACTTGTTTTATATGATCCCAAGCAATAAAGCCATGAAAAACAGATAGACTTGGTGTGAAGAGCACCTGTGTTATCTGTAGAGTTGACTGTCTTAGGAGGAATGGGTAGTGAACTTCCCATCGCTGGATGTATTCAAGCATATGCTAGCTAGCCATTTGGCAGGAATTCTGTAGGAAATGGCCCAAGGATTGGAAGGATAGTTGGGTTTGATCAGTGGTTCTGAATCAGTTGGACAGATGTGGAAGTCCTGATTGCTGGGCCCAAAGTTTCTGGTTCAGTAGGTCCGAGGTGAGGCCTCAAAATTTGCATTTCTAATAAGTTCCCAACCGATGCTGATGCTATTGTCAAGGGACCTCACCTTGAGAACTACTGGGCTGGATGATTTTCAACATCTTTACTGACCCTTCAGTTTTAATGAGCACTCATTGTAAATGTTCTAAGAAGCAGTATCTGTATCACCAGGGCAAACCTTCCCATCTTATTTTTTTAATACCTGAACTGTGTAAAGTTCTGGCTATGGCGTGCTTCCACAGTAAATGACATTTGCACAGCTCTATGTTTTGTGTGTCATTGAGAATATTAGAATCATTAAACAATCATGCATTATTCATGTGCTTTATAAAATAGTCTAAGGAAAAAAATACACTCAACAGGTTTTTCTTCTGCTTTCACACAACAACAATCAACAGTGAATACTACTGTGACCAAGTATGTGGGGGCTTTTTCCCCCAAAACATGAAGCGTTGGACTCCAGCTGGATGTCCTCTGATTCAATTCAGTAGAATTTGGATGTTATTTACCTGGAGATAGCCTCAGATCCCACAGGTTGAGGGCTCCGTGCCATGAGACTGGCCCCTGATTTTCAGACACCAGCCGCAAGTCTGGGTCTCTGGAACTTACGACTGACTATAAAGGACCCCGTGGTCCTTTCTTTGAGTTCAATCAATGTGCTTGAGTAGCTCAAAGAATTCAGGGAAATACTTAAGTTTACCAGTTTATTACAGCAAACGTTACAAAGGATGCTGATGAAAAGATACATAAGGTGAGGTATGGGGAAAGGAGCATGGAGCTTCTATGCTCTCCTAGGATGACTCATCTTCCAGGAACCTCCATGCGTTCGGCTATCCAGAAGCTCCCTAAACTTGTTCTTTTGAGTTTTTACAGAAGCTTCATTATGTAAGCATGACTGATTAAACCATTGATCACTGGTGATCAATTTGACCTTCATCCCCTCTGTTCTCCTGGGAGACTGAGGAGTGGGGCTGAAAGTTCCAGCCTTGTTATCCTGCCTTGGTCCTCCTTGAGACCAGCCCCATTCTGAAGCAACCTAGACTCTTAGAGGCTGCGCCACCAGTCAATCATTAGCATACAAAAAGTCATCACTTTGGAGTTTCTACAGATTTTAGGAGTTGCATGCCTGGAAATGGGGTTAAAAAACAAATATATATTTTATAGTTTCACACATAGCCCACTCTTTTCTAATTTCATCCTTTTTAAAATCCTTTCTCTGTTTTTCTATAGACTGATCCATGTTCATCAGTTTAGTACTAGGCTGTTGCCAAATTAGAAAAATGAAGTAGTTTTCTAGGGCTGGTGCTTCCTACTCATTCACAAAGTAACTTTGTCATATGTTGGCATTTATCTGATTGAAAAGTCATTCCTTGGTGCTAGATGGATTTGGCTTATCTTAGCTGCGCCATGTGCCAAATTCCTTTCAGCCTCCGTCCCCTGCGTCCCCACCCTCCCCCCACCCCATGGCTTTCCCTCAAAAGGAGGACTCAGAATATTTCAGGTACCTTGCTGCTTTGTGGTTCTATCACAGCCAGGAATTATTCTAGTTTTGAACTCCATTTTGGTTCTTCCTTCTTTTTTAAGAATTTTTTTTTCTCCTTAATTTTGGAGTTTTTACTAGATAGTTCTCTGGCAGTACTCATGTTTTGTAATTGTAGGTGAGGACAGACAGTGTTTGTATTTGTTCTAAATTGCTATTATATGAATAAAAATAAAACCATTTGAGAGAAGCATTTAAGAATTATAAGATTTATAGTTAATACTTAATGAAAATTTTCAGCTTAGCAGAGATGATAAAATAGAAGGGTAAAAATAAGTATCTGACAAATAGGACCTTGTGGATTTGAGTTAAGGTGGCACTGTGAAGTGCCGAGGGAGTAAAGGGGAAAGGCTGTTTTGTGGTCCATGTGCAAACTTCTGCTTGAAAATGACTAACTCTAATCAGGGATTAGATTAGAGAGAATACCTCTGCTGGTAGGTAGAATAGGAGTATTCTAGGAAGACTTGCCCAGAATGCACCTTGGTGAGCATTCAATGAGGAACAATTTCAGTGGCATCCTCTCTGCAACTACGAATCTGTAGTAATGAAATTTGCTTCTCTAAGGTGGTATATGAACTGAGTTTCTCATTTAAATTTTATAACTGTCCATTGTTTTTTCTTTTGGACTTCAACAGTTGACGAAATGTCGTTCAGATTCGGCCAACATCTCATCAAGCCTTCTGTGGTGTTTCTCAAAACGGAACTGTCTTTCGCTCTTGTGAATAGGAAACCTGTGGTACCAGGACGTATCCTTTTTTGTTTTTTGGAGAGAAAAAATAAAAATCCTCTGAGCCTAACCAGCCAAATGAATATAAATACAAGATTGGTCTCCAGTCTGTCCCAAAAGGTAAGTAAAGAATCTATCTCCCTCCCACTTTGGAGACACCAGGTAAGATGTTACTCACATTTATTCTGAATCCAGTTGGTGGCACCAGTAATATGCTTGATCAATGTTGCAGAACTTCTGAAGGGAGTTGCTTAGCAACCGTGGCTTTGGAGGTGAATTTTTGCTTGACCTTTTCACTACCATAGCTGAGTAAATAAATAGGTACTTCTAAAATGGGCCCAATGAATATCACGGGCACTTGGTTTTCAGCTTGTCTGTTGTGAATTTTAATAGATTGGGTGGTGCGTTAGTGATGTGGAAGTAAGATATGTGAGGATTTGAGACTGACTTTGTTGCTTTACCTCTTGGAGATCATTCAAGTTGTGCATTTTAATTAAATTTATACATGTAAATATACTTACTTTTTAAATAAAATATTGGGACCTGAAATAGCATTTTCTCTTGGGAAAAATATCAGCTTGTAGATCATTGGCCGGTGTCATTGGTGGTAGAGTTGTTTTATTTCCCTGGAACTATTGAGTTGTAGTCTTTCCTCCTATAGACTTCAGTAGGAGCTTTATTCTTTTGCAGTTGGAATAACAAGTATTGGTGAAATGCTTGGGGAGTTATTTTTACGTTGGTGAAAGTATCACCCCTGATTGTGTGCATATGAATTTTGTACTGACTCTTCAGGATGTTTTTTTTCCTTTCCCCCTTAAGTTAGTTTACTATGCAGAAGGCAACAGAATAAAATTTGATATTTTCAGATAATAAGTATTTTCCACACCGAGACATGATTTTTCTTTAAAATGAATTGCTTAGTAGTTCTGAATGTACAAATATGCCAAGAGGTTTTTCAGAGTAAGTTACATTTTTTTTTTTGCAGTGAAAATATTGAGAGTGCTTGAGAACTTTATGGATAATCTTCCTTCTTAGCCATATAAATATTGTATGCTGAAAAAAAATATGAATAAGAAAAACATGCACCAAAAGATAATTGTGATTGTGTTATAGACTCCCAAATTTCTGGAATGAAAATTCTAGCCAAATAAATTGTAAATTTTTCTTAATATTTAAAAATCTTCTTTTAAATGTATGAAATGAGTCTAAAAGGAAACTATTTTCTTCTGTTAATTGAAAAAAGTACTAGAATGATTTAGAATGTCCCTAGAAGACAGAACAATTTAAGTTTAATGCTAATTTTCTATTGAATTCTTTTAAAAGACTGGAATTTCTTGGAATAACAAACATTTTATTTTGTTGTAAGTTTGTGGTGGGCTTTTTCCTTTGGGATTTTTTTTTTTAAAGCAAAATGTCTGTAAACTCAGTTGTCAAAAGAATATGGTTTAAATGCCATCTCTTTCTAGGTGCCAGCCTTAATTGACTTTGAGAAAAGAAATAAAGGGACCTGGGATGACAATGTGAATTTAGACAAACAGATCTTAATTCCTTGGACTATGAAAATGAGAGGTCATAGAGATGCACCACTTTTTTTTCTTTTTCTTTTGAGGCAGAGTCTCGCTCTGTAGCCCAGGCTAGATTGCAGTGGCACGATCTTGGCTCAGTAAAACCTCTGCCTCCCAAGTTCGAGTGATTCTCATGCCACAGCTGTCCAAGTAGCTGGGCCTACAGGCAGGCACTACCACACTGGGCTAATTTTCATATATTTAGTAGAGACAGGGTTTTGCCACGTTGGCCCCTTTTGAAGGTGGTTAATAATGGTATGAACTTTGCTTTGTAATTTTTTAACTCATATCTTGAGAGTAACTTGATATTTCAGACTTTTAACAGACTCAGAAAATGTGATGTAAAACCGGGGCATATATAAGTTTGGACTCAATAATTATGTGGAAATATCTGTGTCTAGGAAAATATCCGTAGTGAATAGTGAGTAAGCAGTGATTGACAACTCGTTTCTTTATGGATGTGGCACTGGTGTTGCCATTTGGGAAATGAACCCTGATCAGTTACTATATATCTAAGTAAAGACCAAGGGCTTGGAGAATATTTTATTAAAATTAACAAACTTCAGTTTGTTTGGAAGGTAGTAAGAAGGATCCAACCCTTTCTGATTACAAGAACAGTGAGAACTAGAACATTTTAAAAATCGGTATATTCTGTAAGGCTAATTCACATCTGCAGTGTTTAAAACAGTGTCTGGGCCAGTAGATAATGTATTCTATGTGATGATTTTGTAACTTTTTATTTTACTTTACCTTTATAAACTCTGCCATGTTACAACTGGGAGATGCATCTTAATGAGGTACTCATTTGCTTGCAGAAACTATAGTCTTTTGTCCTGAGATTTGAGGATAGAAGATATGGTTAGCTCTGCCCACTGACATTTCCTAAACGGTGAGATGTCTGGAGTGAGCTTTTGTTGTCCTCCAGTGTTCTATCCTGCCTGCCCTAGTGTAGCCCTTAGGTGTGGTTCATCTCTCCGCCTCTGGACTTTTCCAACCCAGCCTATAACTCACTCTAAACCACAGCCCTGACCTCTCTTCCCTTGTTAATAAACCAATAAAGAAGATCTAATTTTCGAGGCTAAAATCCAAACTCCTTAGAATAGTTTTTAAGAATCTTCATTGTACTGGGTCATTCTCCCCTCTTTCCAGCTATTTCCTGAATATGTGTCATACTATTCCTTTACCATACTTTATATCCTGCCTCTCACCTCAACTGGAGGTGCTCCCCATCCTTTTCATTTCAACTGAAGTTCTTTGATAACTGTCCCACCCTCTTAGAGAAAACAACAACAACAGAAAAGAAAATATCTGTCCTCTTTGTTGGTGACACTCACTTCCTTATTCATCAACTTCCATGTTGATTCATTCAGTACTTTATTATTGAGTTCATACTCTGTTCCAGGTACCATACAGCCCAGTCTGCCTCATATCCAAAGTATGTGCATCCCTGTTTCTCTATGCACTGTCTTTCCTTCCTATGGGCAGGACCTGCTCTTGCACATCTCTATTTTTCTTAGCACCCAAATGTACTATGTTGACTGAATTTAAAGTGAAACTGGAAACATCAGGAGCATATGCGTTTCTCCAGGTAACAAAATGGGGAAGCAAGGGTGTGCTGAAATCCCACCTCTTCCCTATTTCTATGCACAAAGCCAAGTCTCGTCACCACTTTTTTCCAGATGTTTTAGTATCATGTCCAAGCTATATTTTCCCAGCTCTCCTTTGTCCGTTACAATTCTGTTTACAAGTGCGTGAGTGTAGGGAGTTAAGTCTAAAAGCAGTGAATGAGTTGATGGCAGATGGGAAAAGATTCTTTGCCATTTCTTAACATGTTAATTTGTGAATGGACCAATCTGTGTTTTAAGGGCAGTGTATTGGCATTTTCATGTAAAATGGAACATTTTCTTTGTATGTTTGATGAATTCTTCTTAAAAATGGTATTCAGGTGCCCTTTGGGGTGTGTGCCATTCATGAGAGGCTCGTAAATGTCATCTTTGAACTTGTGTCTCTTCTAACATTTTGCTGCCCCCACCCCAACACTTATTTCTTATGGCTCTGCTCACTGACTTTTTCATAGCTTTCAGAGGAAGAAAAAGAACTGTCAAATCAGGGGCCAAAGATACTCTTTTGAAGCAGGATGATTTGCTTCATTCTCGATATAGCTACTTCAGTCTCTCCTTGTCCCCACCTGAAGCAAACACTTCTGGTCCGTGCCAACACTGTTTAAATACTGTTGAATATGCTTTGACTTCTGTGGTGTAATGCTTAGAAGAATATGTCAGAATGTCTTTAATCCATTAATTTCTTGTTACTGGAAACTGCTTTTCAGAATTTCTTGGTGATAGAATCATTTTGGAGAGTACGCATTCAGAATTCTGCGGCAAACATATTATTGATGTGTCTCAGTGCAGCCCAGCTATTGTTCACGGCTTAAATAAATTTGAACCATTACGGTTAATACTTCTCCTTACCCCCTCCCTTTGCTTTGTTCTGTGTCTATCTTCTTGAATTGAGCATGAAAACGAATTTAAACATTAGTGGTATCCATTTGAGGACTGGGGCTTTTATTGTAAATAAAATTACTCATTTGTTATGTTCTGTTGTTTTCAGCAGAGAGTGTATTGATCTCTGCATTGCTATTCTGAATGGCATAAGGAGCTGCAACATGAGGGAGACACAGCAACATTTGTGGATGGATTGAACAGGGTGTGTAATGACAGAAACCTTGCCCACTGGTCATACTACATTCTACAAATCATTCATCAACAGTTTATTGAATCAGTTATTAAAAAGAGCAGATTTTTCCAAACAAGACCATCACACACAGAATGTTATCACGCCCAAACAACATTAGGATGATGCATGGAGGGACAGCCTTACAAAGTGTATTTGTCAGAGAATTAGACTAGGTAACTTAAAGGACATGTTCTGCTGACACATTAGAAATAAAAAGTTTGCTACAATGCACACCGTGCTCTAAGATCCAACTTTGAAAGGTAAAAAAGAAAACTCTGACAAATGTATTTTAATACGGAATATTAACTTTCCAAAGAGCAATGTTAAGTTTCCCCAGTTTTCAGACAGTTACCATATTGATCGCTCCTGAAATAAGTAGACAAATAATAAAAATAGCTTCATTACTTAACAGTGATTCTTACAGAATAAATGCTATAGATAAAAGCGCCCTTTTAGTCCTCCCATAAAAATCAGAAATATTTGTCATTTCCTCAGTAGGTTGTAATCTTGTGAATTCATTTAATTGTTCAGGAAACTGCAGTTATTAGTGATCTTTCATTTCTCTGAAGAGTTTCTTTTTAAACCTTCCTGTATGAGTAAAATGAGCACAAGCACTATTTTAATATCTTTATTGCTAAAGATAGGTTTTTGCTCTTAAAATTGCCCTAAGCACATGTCTTGTCTTTGCTCTGTGCGTGCTTGTTATATATTAGCCAGCTTAGAAGCTTTTGGAGAAATATTCAAAGATAATGTTGCTGTCAGTTGTAATGGGGCAAGTTGGTTTTCTTGTGGTCACGTGCTTTTTTTTTGTTTTTGTTTTTTTGAGACGGAGTTTCGCTCTTGTTACCCAGGCAGGAGTGCAATGGCGCGATCTCGGCTCACCGCAACCTCTGCCTCCTGGGTTCAGGCAATTCTCCTGCCTCAGCCTCCTGAGTAGCTGGGATTACAGGCATGTGCCACCATGCCCAGCTAATTTTTTTGTATTTTTAGTAGAGATGGGGTTTCACTATGTTGACCAGGATGGTCTCGATCTGTTGACCTCGGGATCCACCCACCTCGGCCTCCCAAAGTGCTGGGATTACAGGCTTGAGCCACCGCGCCTGGCCCTTTTTTTCTTGACTTCATTTGGCAGATTATTGTGTTCAAAGACATTGTTCAGTTGGAGCTTTCTTTTTTCTACTTCTATGGAAAAACTTTCCATATGAATGTATGTCTACCCTTGTGTTATAAAAGTACATGGCCATCAACGTGAAGCGGCTTCTGATGGCATTGGACAATGGGAACAAAGGAAATTATTGGATGCTTTCATCATTCTAAGTTGACCAACACCTTTTTTCAGTGTCTAAAATCTGCCACAGAGAATCTTGCCGACTCCCATTGTAAGACAAACTTGGTATTACATTATGTGACCATCATCCATCTTGACTCGCCATTTAAAGAATTGCAATGTAGAAACAAATACATTTTGTCTCATATTCCAGCCGATCCATTGGTGGTGAGCTGCCAAGGTTGAGAAGGACTCAAGCTGCACAAAGGGTCAGCAGGCAGTAACTGTCATGGGCACCAGAGGGGAAGGGGAAGCCCTCCTTACTAGTTACCTCCTCTCCCAAGTTTATTTTTTGTTCCTGACTGACATCTTTATTTTTTATCATAGACAGAATGATGGATTGTTGGTACCCAACACTGAAGGAATTAAGCAGGTACTTTGTATGTGTGCAAGGAAGGTTTGAAATTGGATGGAGAAAAATGTGTGGACTTTGTGCACTTTGCCCTGGCACCTTCAAAATGAAGGTGACATACCCATGAAACATTGTGCCTGAGGCATGTATATGTTGGTCTCTAGACCTCATATAGGCTACTTCCTTCTATTTGCCTTCTCTTCCTCTCGACTGTCCTGGCTCCTTGCTGCCTGCTCTCTGGTGAGGATATGCACATATGGAGTAGCCTGTGGTCCACCAGGTCCCTGTTGCTTAAATACGTGGTTTTAACTGTCTTTCCTTGATCTTGGCCTGTCTTCCATACTAGAGTTTATCTTTTAGCCCCAGACCCTGCTGTGAATGGGATGGGATGGGCTGGCCTAACCTGATTATGCACATTCAAGGAGAAAAATTCAACCAGCATTTCGATCAGGACCTTTAGCAATTTCTCAGAATTGCACAAAGGCTATAGAATCACTTCTACACTAGAAAAATATATCTTTACAGTCTGCCGATATATACAGAATATAATTCTGTTAATGTGTGTTTACATCCAGGGAGAGGGATATTAGGGATGTACTTTCTCCAATTCTAGCAAATTGTAGAATTAGAATTATATGTATCAAGATAACACTTTGAATATTTCTCATATTAATTGCTGTCATAGATATCCTGTAATGTGGAAAGCTGTTCACCATTTCTGTTTATTTTTACAGTAACTTTTTCAGGTAGTTTTTAACTGCCATGGTTAACAATTACTGAACTCTGTTCATTATATTCTGGGCATATTTTTGACCTGCTTTCCATGCAAGTCATCAGATTTTAAGCAACAGGAAAAGACTGGTCATGGTGTTGCTGGCTTTGCACTTGTTAAGGAATATAATTAGAAGTAATGAACAGAATAATAATACATCATTATTTAGAAGAAGTGTCATGTAATTAACTCAAATAGTGCAAAATATATCCTAATTTCCATTTGGAATGAAAATAGATTTGTTTGAACATCAGTAGTTACTGATTCTTCTATATTTTCATGCACATATCCAAATTGTTAACATCTACTGAGTACATATACATGGATTTTTTTATAACACAGTGAGTCGAGATAGCTTTCTTCTCCTAATAGTCTTATGTATATTCCTTATTTTTATTATAGATATATAATTTGTATATGTGTTCATCAACTCTTAGAATTAGCAGAATTAATTTATATTTATTGCAAATTAATGATCTAATTTATTTACTTAGCTGCCATTTCCTTTCTCAAACTAATTAACTGAAAAAATAACCATAAATTTGCAAACAGCTTCTGGGCACAAATCCTAAATTGGACTTATCCTTAAAAACCTCTACAGTACTAGTTTGCAATCTAAACTATCTGTGAGATTTCTACTCACAGGATTTAAATATATTTCAGGAGCCTTGGTTTAGCATCTATCTATCCACAGTTGGGGTCAGGATATGGGTGGATACGTCTTAGACAGTGGAGTTATGTTTATGTGTAACAATTAGCATGACACATGGTACCGACCAATGTCAAAGGTGGCCTCTGAAAGCTCTCTGCTGTGCCAGACATCAGCCTATTAATTTCTGCATTGTGGGGAGGTCTGGAGAGTCCCAGGGGAGGAAGCAAAGAGGTGGTGAGCAGCATGCAAGGGTAATAAGTAATACTTCCATATTTCAGTATGTTAATAACAGGAATGGACATGCCAGTGCACATAGTCTCAGTAACAGCCCAGATTTTAAAGAGAGAAAAACAGGTGGAATAAGCAACCTTATATCCTTAAGATTAAGCATGTTCTTTGTTCTTCAAGGCCATTAAGTCAAGCATAGTTGTAGATTTGCTGATGATTTAAAACCAGCAGAAGTCTTTCTTGATATCGGATGGTCATCTTTCTCACACTGAATTTAGAACCTCCTAACACTGATTGAGGGGAAAGCTCAGCTGTAGCATGGAGGATACTGAGGCAATGTTCTTCCTTTCTTTCCCTTTTGTATTGTATGTTGGGGTAGCTATGGCAGTGGAGAGTATATTTTTACAAATATAACTGACATCTTACATTAAAACAATATTTTAACTTAACTTAAATAATATTTTATGACTAGCAATGCGTTGTTGGGATCAATACATTGTTTTAGCCAGGCACAGTGGTGTGTCCCTATAATCCCAGAGTTTTGGGAGGCTGAGGTGGGAGGATCACTTGAGGTCAGGAGTCTGAGACCAGCCTGAGCAGCACAGCTAGACCCTTTTCTACAAGAAGAAAAATGTATTTGCTAGGTGTGATAGCATGCATCTGTAGTCCTAATTATTTGGGAATCTGAGATAGAAGGATTGCTTTAGCCCAGGAGTTCAAGGTTATTTTAAGCTGTGGTTGTACTAGCCTGGGCAACAGAGCAAGAAACTTTCGGAAACAACAATTATTTTATCCTCATTGGCCTATGAGCAGTTTGGATGGGAAAGCTGAGGCACAGACCAGTAGTGGCTCTAGTTCATGGGAGTCTGGACTTTACCCAGGACTCTTGATTCACGTTCCATTGTTCATTTTACCCTCACCAGTTGCCTTCACATGTGCTACACATATCTACGTAGTGTAGGGTGGGCATCCTCAGAAGTTACTCTTCCTTGAACTGAAACCTTTCCCATTAGCCCCACTTTCTAGTGGTATATCTTCCTAAATATTCACTCTGCCTTTTATATTTTATGGGCATTTTGCTGCTTGTAGCTTTATTATTTTACGGTAAGCTTCATTATCATTTAAGAATATGACCAACTTAAGTGACTTCTGAAAATCTAGAAGGTTTAAGCTTTGCTCTCCAGTGCCGTCTACATGGGGCCAGGCAGTTTAGCTTGGCTAGCAGCATAATTTGCTCTGAGATAAAATGAGTCCAGGAGGAGCTACATTTATGTGGCTCTCCAATTTTTCTCTTTTCTGATAGGTTTCAAAATGCCTAACGTTATCAAGAGTTCTTTTTATCTTTAAGATCAATTTCCAGTTCAAGAGATTTGTGTGCTAACATTTTTAAAGTAAGCCATGATACCCTTCCATTCACCAAAGATGATTGCTTTAGTAGTTGCTCAATAAGATGTGTCAGGATAAAAATAATTCCACAGGAATTACATTACAATCTAGTGTTTCACGTGCAGAAGCCCAGAATACTACTTAGTATTTTCTATTCTGTTTAGGGACCAAATAATCCTAGAAGCCATCTCTCATGGAGCCATATCTGCAGTAATGTAATTGAAGTTCAGGAGTGCAGCAGATGTTGAAAGAAACTTTCCTTATTGCCCTGGAATAAACAGTGAAAGCCTAAACAGGAAGGCTGACATTTGGGGACAGACATTCCCCACATCCACATTACTGAGAGGCAGCAGCAGAACCATTTCTACCTCACTGAACTGTACCTCCACACCCCCAAACTGCAAAGGGAGAGGATTCGTGAGGGCCAAGATCGACAGTTGAAATGAGGAGTGCTGAGATGCTTGCTTCTTCTTCTCTCTTCTGGAGTAATTACTCCTACTGCCTTGAAAGTCATGCCCCTCAGAGGGGTGTTTTCCACAAAATGTCACTGGCATCTTGTTCCCCGTCTTGTTGCTACAAAGCTGTAGAATAGCAGGCTGACACAGGCACTGTCGTGAGATGGGAGTGCAGGGAGGTACAATTGCTTTTGGAGTGCTTCCCATGTGCTCCGTGGAGTTTGGGATTGCACATGAGTGTACAAGTGTGCTTGCTTCTTGTTTGCATATTTCTGAATGTAGGGTGGAGCAGGGAGGCTTGTTGGAGAGGCCTGTAGTAGCAGAGCAAGAAGTCACTGAAGAGGAGTAGTGTTCCTGGGAAAAAGATGAAAACAACTTTTCTCCACTATCCCACCTTTTGGGTAGCCCTTTGAAGAAGCACAGATGTACTGACCTCAGCAGGTCCCCTGGTTCCTGCATATGACTGTGAATATCAGAGTAGCTGGCAGGTACCACTAAGTTGCTCAGGTAGGTGCTGGGCCAACTGAGGTCCTGGCCTACCAAGAGAGGGGATTGGGTCATGGAACACCAGGAGACCTAAAAAGGAGACATGACTGTCCTTTTGTAAACGGATTCACAGAAACAAATGGGGATAAAACTTTACTACCTTGCTGGAGAAAGCATGTCTCTTAATTCAACAATGCAGAGATTACCGTATTTGCAGAGGCTCCCAGCAGATGGAACTTGGAACTAGACCAGGGACACTTACCTGTCACTTTTTTTTTTTTTTTTGTCTTTGTGTGTATGTTTTGTGTTTGTGTTTTTGAGACAGGGTCTCACTCTGTCACCCAGGCTGTTATAAAGTGGCACAACCTTAGCTCACCGCAGCCTTGAGCTCCAGAACTCAAGTGATCTTCTCACCTCAGCCTCCTGAGCAGCTGGGGCTACAGGTTTGGGCCACCACATCCAGCCAATTTTTGTATTTTTTGTAGAGATGAGGTTTTGCCATGTTGCCCAGGCTAATCTCACACTCTTGAGCTCAAACAATCAACCTCGGCCTTCCCAAGTGCTGGAATTACAGGCATGCGCCACAGCACTAGTCACCTGTCACCTGTCACCTGTTGACAGGCAACTTGTTACCTAAGACCACTAGTCTTAGGTAACATTAATGCTAGCATAGCTTACCCTCACTATGGCGGGAACATTTGTAGAGAGCTGTAAGTAATAAAAGTTGCATCTCAAGTCTATGCTTGGTAGGATATAAAATTTTAATAGAACCAAGACTAGAGTTTTAAAATGGAGAGATTTATAATTATGGAAAGTGACTACAAAGTTATACATTCTGCCCAAGATACTGTTAAAGGGCCAGAAGGGGATTCAACATGGGGTGGCTGGAAAAGTGATGGCAAAGAATATAATGGTAATATATCTTTGTCCCACTAAGTTGGGATTCTTCAATTATTGTTTACAGAAAGCGATGATATAAATCTTAAATTTAAAAAAGGGTTGTCAGTCAACATCACATTAGGTAAATTGTGATTGCTTTAATTCTTAGAGTCAGAATCTTGCATATATTAGATGGTTGATAAATATTTATAAGAAATTTAATTTTGGTTCAAAACAGGATAGTTAGGTAAAGGAATATTCATTTAATTAGTAAACAAATATTTTCGGAAGGTCTGTATGACAGGTTCTTCTCATGTTGTTTTTCATTTCTGATCTAAATTTGGCATGCTCTTAAGCTGACAAGGTATCACTGTAAGGATTTAATGCTATTGGAAGTTTTCTGCGCAGCAGCAGCCAGAATGACATGTTGAATGTTTTTTTGCATGGTTTCAATGCTGAAGTTTTTTGCATGGCTGCAGCCTGTTAAACATGTTGAATCTATGTCACTTCTCCGATCATCCCCACAATGGCTTCCTACCTCGCTCTAACTAAAGCCGAAGTTATCACAGTGATTTACAAGGTTCCTGCTCGCACTCCTCCATCCACCCCCTGCCATCAACGATGGCCTTTTTGATTTCATCTCTTACTATGTTTCCTGTAGTGGCTTGAATGGGCATCTCTCAAAAGAAATGTCCATATCTCAAGTTTTGGAACTTGTGAATGCTACCTTATTGGGAAAGGGGTCTTTGTGGATGTGTGAGTTAAGTATCTCACCTGAGGTGGGGAGATCATCCTGGATTAGACAGGCAAATCCTATATCCAATGGCAGTTTCTGTGAAAGAGTGAGACAGGGAGCTTACATGGAGAAAAGGAGGACGCAACATGATCATGAAGGCAGACATCAGAGTGTTGTGGTCACAAGTCACAAGTCAAGGAATGCTGACAGCCATCAGAAGCTTGAGCAGCAGAGAGGGAGTGTGGCCCTGCTGACACCTGAATGTCACGCCGCTGGCCTCCAAAACCATGAGAGCATCAGTTGCTGTTGTTTTAAGCCATCAATTTATGGCAATTTTGTTACAGCAGCTACATGGAACTCCAAAACTCCCCACATTTACTCTGCTCCAACCACACTAGTCCTTGTTGTTCATTGAGCATTCTAAGCACACTGCTGCCTCCATAGCCCTTGAACCAGCAGCCGTTCGTTCTTTGTGGAATGCTACGTATGCCCTGTTCACTCAGCTCCTTCAGACCTCTATTCAATTTGTGCTGAAACGTCAGAGAATAGGCTTTCCCATTATCTTACTGCAAACTTCACCCCTCACCAATTGACATTGTTGCATTTATACACTAAATTACTGTACAATTTATTTGTGTGTGCGTGTCTCAGGCTGACTAGAATGTGAGCTCTGTGAGGGCAGGGATTATTCTCTGGTTTATTCATGAATGCATCCCCTCTGCCTGGACAATGCCAGGCTCACAGGAGGTGGTCAGTAAATATTTGTTAAATGAATATTTGCTCAATGAGTGACCCTGGTTGACCATGTTGGTTTTTTAGTTGTAAAGTAAAATAATGTGGTAAGTTCTCACACCATGCAGTACACTGCAGTGGTTAAGACAGTGTCAACCTGGATTTCTATGTACCTAACACACATGCACACATGCACACATGCTTGGCGACATAACTAATATTCCTCATTCCAAAGTGGCCTACTCTGAAAGAGAGAAGTAACAGGTAGTTTGAGCATGAAAAATACTCAACCCCTCCCATCCCCAGCACAGTTTTCATAGATTTCCGTGTGGATTCCAGCCAGGCTGATGAAATCGGCTCTTTCCTTGGCTGAGAGAAATTAACAGAAGGGTTTGATACCTCATCAGCTGGTGAGCTTTGATTTCCCAGGATTGTATTTGCCACTGTCTTGCCTTCCTCAGGAAGTCTAGAGCAGCTCTGTAAGAAATTTCTTTAGTGTAGTCACGTTTTTACAGGCTTATCATCTTGGCTTCTCATGCATACCGGTTGCCTTACATAACGTGCCCTTTTGTAGGTCTCTGTTTCTTTTCAGTGATCCCTTTGATTAAACCTTCTCCCAATGTATGATTTCTACAATAATCAAGGCCATTGCCATTAGACATTTTTAATTTGTTTCTTCATTTATTTCCTAGAATGTTTAAAAAATGATTCAAGGTGACTATGATATAGTAAGATTAAGTGATTTTTTTTCTAAAAAAGCAAACAACAAAATTCAAGAAGTAGTAAAAGAAAAGTAAGGTGGACCAAAAGTGAGGTTAGGACATCAAATAAATACATAATGTTTATATACCTGCTAGAGATAGTGTATGGTTTGGCTGTGTCTCCACCCAAATCTCATCTTGAATTGTAGCTCCCATAATTCCCATGTGTTATGTGAGGGACCCTGTGGGAGATAATTGAATGATGAAGGTGGTTTCCCCCATAGTGTTCTTGTTTTAATAATAAGTCTCACAAGATTGGCTCTTTTTATAAGGGCTTTCCCCTTTCACTTGGCTCTCATTTTTCCTTTTGCCTTCTGCCATGTAAGATGTGTCTTTTGCCTTCTGCCATGACTCTGAGGCCTCCCCAGCCATGCGTGAGTCCATTAAAACTCTTTTTCTTTATAAATTACCCAGTCTTGTGTATGTCTTTATCTAGCAGCATGAAAACAAACTAAAATAGATGGGTCACAAATTTGGCCCTGAACTTTCTAGCACCAATCTAAATAAGGAAAGAGTATCCATTCTCAAGGTAAAAATAGGCTGATTGTTCAGAAAAATGCAGAAATCTGCACAACACCAGAGATGAGTTACATTTTTTTGTGAATTCTTCCTCATGGAGATGATGCCAGACTGTGTAATTGACAGCCTCAAAACATCCTTCCAATGCACATGGAGGCTGTTTCTCAAAAATATGTTGTGCGTCTGGTATTTAACATCTCTACTACTCCTGCCAAATCTTGTCTGAACTGGGTGCAGTGAGCTCTCAGGTTTCCTTGTTTATCACTCCCCCAACTCCTCCATCCTCCAGTCTACCACTATGCGGCTGACATAGATTTTTAAAAATACAGAAACAAGGACAGGTTATTCCTTTGCATTAAGAATTTACAGTTATTTTTGGCTTGGTGTGGTGGCTCACACCTGTAATCCCAACACTTCGGAAGGTAAGGCAGGTGATCACTTGAGGTCAGAAGTTCGAAACCAGCCTGGCCAAAATGGTAAAATCTCATATCTATGAAAAATGCAAAAATTACCCAGGTGTCGTGGTGGGTACTTGTAATCCCAGCTTTTCAGGAGGCTGAGACACAAGAACTGCTTGAACCCAGCAGGGTGAAGGTTGCAGTGAGCTCAGATTGCTCCATTGCATTCCAGCCTGGGCAACAGAGTGAGGCTCTATTAAAAAAAAACAAACAAACAAACTTATGGTTGCTATTTCTTTCACTTAAAATAAAATCTCACATACTTCCCTCTGACCCTCACCTGCTACCCTCTGACCTACATAGGGTCCCTGGTTTTCCTGCTTTCAATTCCTATTCCCTTGTCATCACTTACACAGAGGCCTTCCCTGACCCTACCGTAGAACTCAAGCCATGGAAACAATGGTTATAAGGCTCTTCCAGTCCTGTTTCTGGCATTATTGAATGTACATGGGAGAAGAAAGAGCTCTGCCTGCCAATGGCTCTACGTCATTTACTCTCTATGAGTAAAAAACATTTGTACTTGTCAAAACTACAAATGAGCTTTGGACAAGGAATTGGAGAACTGTATTTTAGTCCCATGTGGAGAAACTTGAGTCATTTATTCTTTTTTGTTTCATTTCCTCATGTGAAAATAAAGGTATTTTCTGCTATAAGGACACAGGTATTTGCCTGCCTCCTGGACTCTTGTGAGAGTATTAAAACACAATGATATGGAAGTCAGAAGAACGAATACAGTTGGCATATTGGAAGCATGGTATAATAATCATAATTTTTTCATTGTCCAGTATCCTCATAACTTAGGCTTGATCAAAGGCTTGGGTATGGGAAGGATCATTGTATAATGGTAGCCCTAAATTTATAAAACTGTAGCTTAAATGAAATTTTAAAAACTTCCTGCATTTCCACGTATCACATAGCAACTGGAAAAACCCAGACCCAATTTTAAACTACTCATTTAAAAATGGCATTAAAATAACACCCTGGATTTAAAATAAACCAAAAAATGTACAGGCATTTGATATGAGCCTTTTTCCTTTTTTTTCTCTCTTCTATGAGGCATGGTATTAAAAATCAAACCCAACCAAACAAACCCTTATTATTTCTACTGTTTTTGGAACCTGGGAAGAGGTAGGTATGTGAAAAAGTCTGGTGTTCATTCATGGCTTAGAGTTGCTTTGCCATAATGGTTTTAAATTAAACCCTCAGGGGGTTTAGATGAGTCTAGATGCTCAACTCTCATTAACCATAATGGGAGTTACTGTACATGTCTCTCTACTCCACATACAACATTGAAAAATGACCCTCTAACACTATATTACTGTCCTTCTCTTTGAACTAATTTTAATGGATTTTTTTAAAGTGAAGTCATCGCTGCAATCCTCAGGGCAATGAGACTACCAACAATTCAGCAATAAGTAGTAGACCTTCATTTTGGAGTGCTCAGCCTGTACATGCTGGAAAGGTTTGGGCCAGGACTGACTCCGTCTCTGGACTATATGCTTCTCTTTTATTTAGTTTCAAATCACACTACTCTTTCTCTTTTTAATCTCTTTCATCCACAGCTTAGCCTCCTGGTATAATCAGTACACAGTAGGTATTCAGCATTAACCCAGTTCTGATACTACTGAAATGTTATGGAGGAAAGGAATGACAGTTGATCGTGGAGAGCACAGGTTTGAAATGCGTGGGTCCACTTACGTGGATTTTTTTCAACAAAAATATTAGAAAAAGTTTTTGGACGTTTGTGACAATTTGAAAAACTCAAACTACATAGCTAGAAATATCAAAAACATTAATAAAGATATGTTATGAATGCTTAAAATATAGGTAGATACTAGTCTGTTCTATTATTGAGTACCATAAAATAAACACAAATAAACAAGGTTTTATCAAGACTTAGGCACACAAACACAGTCTGGACATGGTACCACCTGCAGTTGAGAGGAATATAAACAAAGATGCAGTATTAAATCATAAGTGCATAAAATTAACCATAGTACATACTATACCACAGGAACTTGGTAGCCACCTTGTATTGATATTGTGGTGAGCTCAAGTGTTGGGAGTATCTGCTTAAAATTCCTCGTGACACTGATCATCTCTGAATGAGCTGATGATCACTCCAGTAAATTGTGTTTCACAGTAAAAAGTGATCTTTCATGGTTCTCATTTATTTTTCTTTGTGTTTAATGCAAAGACCATAAACCTGGAATAATACCACAGGACTAATACAAAGGGCCACCAGACCAGTCATGCTGGACGTGCTCCCAAGAAGCAGAAAAGTCATGACATTACAAGAAAAAGTTGAATTGCTTGATATGTACCCACAATTTTAGATGATTTATCTTGTAGAAAGATGATGTAAAGTTATGGTATAAATACATATAGTATCAATACATATACTATAATATTTTCTCTTCCTTAAGACTTTCTTAATATTGTATTTTCTCTAGTTTACTTTAAAAATATAATATATAATACATAAAATATATGTTAATCAAGTGTTTATTGGTAAGGCTTCCAGTCAACAGAAGTCTACTAGTAGTTAAGTTTTGGGGAAGTTAAGTTATGTGAATTTTCAACTATGCAGATGGGAAGTGGTGCAGAACCATTTGCCCCTTAATTGTTCAGGAGCCAACTGTAAATATATTCAAACTGTTTGTTTGGTGTTTTTGTTTGTTTGTTTTCTTGAGACAAAGTCTTGCTCTGTCACCCAGGGTGGAGTGCAGTGGTGTGATCTCAGCTCACTGCAACCTCCACTCCTGTGTTCAAGCGATTCTCCTGCTTCAGCCTCCTGAGTAGCGGGGACTACAGGTGCACACCACCACACCCACCTAATACTTACATTTTTGGTAGAGACAGGGTTTCACCTTATTGGTCAGGCTGGTTTTGAACTCCTGACCTTGTGATCTGCCCACCTCAGCCTCCCAGAGTGCTGGGATTACAGGTGTGAACCACCATGGCTGGCTACTATTTGGTATTTTTAATGCAATCTACTAGTAACCTACTAGTAACCAGCTAGTATAACTTTAAGACCTATTTGTGAGTACCAATAATTCTAGAGTAACCAAAACATAAAAGCCAGTCAATTCTGCCATAACTTACAGATCTAAAATAACAAATATTTAGACTAAATAAATGTTTTTGTTTAAATTATATCTACGAAACAACAATCTAGTTAATATCAAGTGTAACACATCTGTAAACCTTTCATTTACTTTTTCTAATCATAAGAATATCTGCACACTGTACAAAATAAAAACCATCTATCATCTTATTATCCAGAAGTAACCTCTGCCAAAACTGCAGTTCATTTCTTTCCCCTTTTTTCTTTGTTCTTACATGTTTCTCTAGAAAAGAAAAAGACTCTATAATAGGATTTTAACCTACTTCATTGTTGACCTTTTTCTTAAGTTTTAATATGTATATAAAAGAATTTGTTTTTTTTAGACAGAGTCTCACTCTGTTGCCCAGGTTAGAGCACAGTGGCACCATCTCAGCACTCACTGTAACCTCCACCTCCTTGGTTCAAGTGATTCTCCTGCCTCAGCCTCCTGAGTAGCTGGGATTACAGGCCACCATGCCTGGCTAATTTTTTTTTTTTTTTTTTTAATAGACATGAAGTTTCACCATGTTGGCTAGGCGGGTCTCTAACTCCTGACCTCAAACCCCTGGCCTCAAGCTATCTGCCTGCCTCTGCCTCCCAAAGTGCTGGGATTACAGGCATGCACCACTGACCCAGGCCTGTGTATAAATTAAATTTTTAACGATGGTATAATATAGTGCCGCATGGACTTACTATAATTTGTTAGTTACTACTGACTTTTTGACATATATGTAACATTTTGATATGGATCTTTGGCCATATTTCTGCTAATTTTCTTGAACTGAAATCACTTACTTGCTATAATGTTATGTGGTGTTTATATTGGTGAGTATTCCCGAAGTTACTGTATACTAGCATTGTATGAGGGTACACTTCTCATAAACAACAAGAATTAGGATTTTTGTTTTGGCCTAACCTTTGCCAAGTTGATAGGTTTTACGTATCTCATTGTTTACATTTTATTATCTAATTGCTAGTGGAGTCAATCTTTAGACATATTTATATATTTATCAATAAATTTTCTGTTAAGGTGCTTTGCTGCTTTTTCTACTGGTATATTTTTAAAACCCAATATGTTAGAGATCTTTTAGGAACTAACCCTCTACCTATCATATTTGTTATAGATATTGTTCCTGTTTTGGCCCCAGCCTCTTCAGTTTAAGATGTTATTAACATGTAAAATTTTCATAGTTATGTCAATTTGGTCATTTATGAGTTTCCTGGTCTTTTATGAGAAATCAATCCCGAGATTAAATATTTATACATATTTTCTTGTGTTTTTGAATGAGTTTTTTTTTTTTTAATTTTTCTTTTCCTAGTCTACTATCACCAACAAGTTCGTGGAACTGCATAGGCAGGCTTTAAAAATTCACTGTATCTTTCTGGCCACCCTTGAAGAAGGTACAGAATGCTATTCCCAAGTTTATAAATGAAGACAGCAGGAGTGTCATGATGAACCAAACAGTAAGGTTCTAGAAGCACAGTGGTGTTATCACATTCTGATTAACTTGTTTACTGAACTTCTAAGTTGGTCTTTATACTATCGATTGCTAATTTTACATGTTCCCAGAATAGGGGTAATATTGAAAAGACATCTCTTGGGGATTGCGGCACAACTATAACATGTCTTCTGAGTCACAAAACATACTATATACAATATGATATGGTGCAGTTTTACATTCTAGATTATGTTTGGTATAATTCTTATATAAAATGCTTTCTACAATATTGTAATTCCTTGAATATGATAAGCCATATATGGCAATTTCCAGGTAGCTGGGTCATTACATTGAACACCATCTTTTGACCGTTGATGAAGATCAAAAAAGCCACAGTCATATCAGTGGTCACCTGCCTGTGGCTCTAGGAGGTGGGTGGAGAGAGACAGAGGAAGTAACTACTAGTATCCTATAATTTTGATGCTATTTAGAAGACAACTGACATTTGATGGAGGGAATAAAATGTCTAAGAATAAGTTTTAGGGATGGGATGGAAGAATTATACATGCATTGCATCACATATAGAAATAACATAAATAAGATATCTACAAGAAGTTCTGTGTTCAGTTCTCAAATCACCTCCTGAATGACCTTTATCAATTTTAAAAAATGAAACAGATAAAAATTTGCAAAAGTAAAAATATATTTAACTTAACCCTAAGATAACATTGACTCTTGAGCCTTTATAACTATTTACCCACCTTTTGTCATTAATAAATACCTATGAATTTGTCAGCTTAAAAACTTCTTGACATGTTTTTATAGTGAAAACACAACAGAAATTACATTAAAGAATTTCCCCTGTCTGACATGACTTTGACCATGAAAAGTTAGGATGCTGCTATCCGTCCTCAGAAGAGTAGAGATTCCAGTGATTACGTTTTCTTAACTCCGAGGAAGTGTGTATCTCGATTGATTTCTCAGTTGACTGAGCCTGTTATAACTATCCCCATTTTAACATAGGTGTAATTGATCACTTTCATTCAAGTGATCGCTGTCATTGTCTCAGCTGTGAGAACGTACAATTCGGTATAGCAATGTTACACTATGGCAGAGATGCTTCTTGCAAAGCCAACTTATTTCATTTATGTGTTTAACATATAACATGTATGCCATGAGATTGCATTAGGCATTTGACAAATATTTAACACTCATGAGCAAACCTATCAGGTGGGTCCTGTTGGTATCTGCATTTTACAGATGAGAGAATGAGATAATCTGAGCATAATGGATCTAGACCAAAGAGCTATTAAGCGACAGAGCCACATTTCAAATCCAAGTGGTCTACCTCTAGAGTAATTTCTCTAGACATTCGTCCTGGGGCCCCTGAAGGTACCCAAGACCTTTGGGAATTTATGAAATACTTCCTTTCCAACTACACGTCTATGAGGCCAACTTCTTCCTATCCTTGAGCCAAAAGACGTCTCATTATAGACTGCATACAGAAGCAGAAATAATGATGCAGTCGTCTTCTGTCAAGCCATTCATTAGAGATTTGCAAAACCGTATAGCAGTGCCATTCTTCACACTAATTCTTTTTTTGTTTTAGAAAACATGATTAGGCTGGACGCGGTGGCTCACACCTATAATCCCAGCACTTTGGGAGGCCGAGGCAGGTGGATCAGGAGGTCAAGAGATCAAGACCATCCTGGCCAACATGGTGAAACCCCGTCTCTACTAAAAATAAAAAAAATTAGCTGGGCACGGTGGCATGCACCTGTAGTCCCAGCTACTCGGGAGGCTGAGGCAGGAGAATTGCTTGAACCCAGGAGGTGGAGGTTGCAATGAGCCGAGATCACGCCACTGCACTCCAGCCTGGTGCCTGGCGACAGATCAAGACTCTGTCTCAAAAAAAAAATGATTATTAAAATATTATGTTTAACATGCAGGTTTATTTTAAGTAAATGACTAAATATTTTGGAATTTTCTCAGTTCTAATTCATAATTAAATATCAGTAAATATAGGACATGTAAATTCAAGCTCTTGCATGTAGTCAATTTTTTTAACAGTGTAAAGAGGTACAGAGACCAACAGGTTTGTGGATAGGTCCTCTGAACCCATAGTGTGTTTCCCCACTCCTTTGTCTCAGCTCCAGATTCCTCTGCCTTCCCTACTATTTCAGCTGTAGTGATCACTTGAAAAGGGGAGCCTTATTTCCTGAAGGCAAAGGTGATTTTTCATATCTGAAGGGAGCATCTATGGGCTGAGGAATATGAGCTTTGCAGCCGAAGGCCTGGATGTGAATCCAAACTCAGCTGTCTTACAAGAGCAAGCCCTGGGAGTTAAACAACCTAGGTTTCCTTCAGTTACCTTATGCTTCAAATGGTTGGTAGTAGTATCTACCCAGTGGGATTATAATGAGGATCATAAGAGTTAATATATGCAAAATGCTTAAACTGTCTCTGGTGCATATGAAGTGTTCAAATACAAGCTCCATTACTGTTGTTAAGTTTCTATTGTTATGAGAATTATAGAAGAGTCTAATGTGATTTTTATATTCTATAAGTTTTCTTAAAATTTCTCTTCTCATTTCCGTGAATATATATATAGTTTTTAATTAAAGCCCAACCTTCCCTTTGTAGTTTGTTTGCCAAAGCAGAGTCAGGTCTATGACAGTAGCCTTGATGTTTATTGTGTGGTTAGTTCTATTTGGGGTGGTGTTGCTCTTGAAATGCATTTCTTTTCTTGTAAGCCCATAAATACTGATGTTAAAGCTGTCTTTCCTCCTCCCTGGACGAATTCCCTCAATTGCTTGCAATTCACATCCTGTAAACCTACAGATTTTCCTTCCCCCTCCTCCCACCACATTAAGTGGTGCTGTTGGTGTTCTGTGCCAGGGGCAGGGATCTCCTGCCTTCCACTGAGCTCTGCAGCCTTCCTGCCAGCTGCAGTCCACATCACCTCCCACTTTCAGGCCCGTAGTTGGTTTTCTTCCCAGCTTGTGCTCACACTAGGGTGGAATATTACCCTCTGATAATGGCTTGTTTCTCTAGCAGCTCTTGCTTGGCTCCAGGTCAGAGACTTTCCTCCCGGTACCACTCAGTGCCTGCCTGTTCATTTGTGGTGCCCACTGTCTTGTCTGCCTTGCCTCACCTTGTCTGTGGGAGGTCACTGTCCCTCCCGAGAATGCAGTGACTAGCTGCATTGTATCTGGTGAGGCAGCCTCTGCTCACGTGCTCTTCTGACAGATTACAGCCTGTCTTCCCACTAGGGGCTCCTCAGAGTTAGACACCAAAGGCTGCTGTCAGTGCAGCCGTTGGTGGGAAGGTCCTCAGTGTCCAAAGTTACCCTTAGCATTTTCATGTGTCTGTAGGAACGCTTTCATGTGACTTCTGTTTCTCCTGATGAATCTGGGAAGATTTCTGTCCTCTCAGGGACTTCCAGGTTGTCTTACTGATATTGGAGGCAAAATGCCTTGTGATAAACACCAGAGGGTTTTTGTCATTGTTGTTCACATAATTATAACTCTTGTTATTATTGTTTTAAAACTTAATTTCTTTTTAAGTTCAGGGATACATGTGCACCACGTGCAGATTTGTTACATAGGTAAACATGTGCCATGGTGGTTTGCTGCATCCATCAACCATCACCTAGGTCTTAGGCCTAGCACACATTAACTATTCATCCTGATGCCCTTCCTCTCTTCACCCCACTGACAGGCCCCAGTGAAACAGGGGAGCTCCCTTGATCACTTTGTGGGTGAGAACTGAAGTTGCTTATTTCACTCAGCCCACCACTGGCCACTTCTCACAGGAGTTTGCTAGCAAATGAGCATGGGAACCAGAGTGAGCGAACTCTGGAGCTGCTGGCTGCTGCTCTTTGGCAGGCACAGGCCCTGTGCATGCCCCATGGCAGCAGCCAAGTGTGTTGCAACACTCTTTCAGCTTTGCCATCTGCAGACAGCTTGAGTGTTAACCAGCTCAGTGAAGAGTCAGTGTGACAGCCTTTTTGGGTTCCCACATCCAGTGCATCCTGAATTCTTGTCCAGTGTTCAGGAAGAATCAGGTCACACAAACAGATTAAAGAGTAGTATATGCAGAGGATTTTACTGGGTGATGAAGGTGGCTCTCAGCAGGATGGGGAGCTGGAAAGGGAATGGAGTGGGAAGATAATCTTCCCCTGGTAATCAGCCCTCCCTGGCCAAACTCCTCTCCAACCTAGTCTCCGATGTCCAGCTACCTCTTTTCCTCTCAACATTCAGGAGCTTCTTCTCTTTGCTCCTGTCCTTCTCTGCTCTGACACTCTGCTGCTCTTCTGTTCATAGATCCTGGGGTTTGGGATTCTTATGGCTACAGGATAGTGGGCAGGGCATGTCAAAGTGGTCTTGGAAAAGGCAACATTCTGGGACAAACAGGTAGGCCTGTTCCATTTAAGTTCACGGACGGGTCCAGACTTGAGGATAGAGCCCTCACCAGGGACCCTGCCCTCCTGCCTCCTGTCACTATCACCAGCTGTGTCCATGTGTTCTCATTGTTCAGCTCCCTCTTACAAGTGAGAACATGTGGTATTTAGTTTTCTGTTCCTGTGCGTGTTTGCTGAGGACAATGGATGGAGCTGGAAGACTGGAGGATTTTAAACTTCAGAGGGAATCTATTCTTGGTTATGTTTCACTGAAAACCATTTGTCTTTTTTATGTAGAGGAAAATTATTTTGTGATTAAATATTTAAATTTTTGCTTATTTGGACCACTGTTTCTGCCAAGAAAGTCATGAGCTGACTTACAGAAATAGAGTACAACACCTTTATTTTTACTATAAGTGAGAAATTGAGGCTGAGGAAAAATACCTAAGAAATCCCATAGGTATTATGTGAATATAATATTCAAAATAAAAGTAAATAGAATTTAACAATTTCAAGCACAGTAAAGTTGAAAGAACCGTTCAGTGATCACCTGTTTCTCTCTACTGAGATTCGTTAACTTTGACATCCTGATGGACCCATGCCATATCTCTAAAGACACTGCCTTTGTGCCAAACCATCTAACAAATAGTAGTCTGCTGCAGACATTAGGAGACTTTACTCCTACATAATTCAGCATGCATTTTCCAAGAGTAAGGAAGTGTTCCCACACAACTAACCCCACTTACTTCTGTACCCAGGAAAATTCGCATTAGTTCAGTGATATCATATTTTCCATATTCAAATTTTCTCAGTTGGCCTTTCTTTTTCCCTCCATGACACAGTCATGATTCATAAATTACATTTGGTTATTAAATATTTTAAAATATGTAACAATTGTTTAACTCATTTGGATAGTCATAGCTTTATTTGAAGATTCCAAGCCAGATGTCCCATGCAACAGCACACTATCTTGATCCATCTCTGTTTTCTCCTGATTCCATTCATTTAAAGCACTTTTGGCAAGAACACCAAATAGGTTATGTTGTCTTCTTACCTCTGCATCATGTCAGAGGGCACCCTGTCAGGCTATAGGAAACACTATTGACAATGCCAAGCTTGACTATTTGGTTACTTGATGACTGCCAGATTGCTCCACTGTAAAAGATACTTTTTTCTTTTTAATTATTTTGTAATGGGGTGATACTGCAGTTCACCACTTATTATCTGAAATTCAAAGAGAAAGCTGAATTTATTGTAAAGGAGAACCATGCAAGTTGAATACAGTCTGAGTAGATTAAAGAGGAAAGTATAGAGTTAAGTAGATTTGCAGAACTAAGTGAAACATGTAGAAACATGGTGATTCAGCTGAGGGGGAGGGCAGGTTGCTTAATTGGCATTTAGAGATGTGTGAATCTGTTTCTGATTGGCTGACTTTTACCAATAAAAGGCTGTTACTGATTGGTTGACTAGGAAGTGCCCCTTAAATAGACTTTACTCTGATTCAGAATGCTACTTGTTACCATGGCTACATATGAGCCAGTCATTTCCTAGGTTTGTGGCAACTTGAATTAATAGAAATATCTTGTTCCACAGTAAGATTTCTTCTAATTGTTTGTTTTAGCATTTGTTGATGATTCTTTCTTGAGTCATTTATAATATAGGGTAAATAAGATGTTGGCTTTCTACTTTTGCCATTCTTTCAACATGTACTTACAGGCATTATTCTGTAAGGAAGAACTTTACCTCTCCTCAGTTTTTTTTTTAGCTCCTTCTTTTCTGTTGCGGTTTCTCTCTCATCTAGTCAACTGAGATCACTTTTAATTCAATGTTTTAGAATCCATTTATTATATCATTTTGATTTGCCCAATTTGACAGCAGAAACCCCTTTATTCAGACATCTCTGTCCTTTTGATATAACTTTGTGTTTAAGCATGTCCTCATTTCCTGGCATAACATACTTTCTCTGCTCCACACCTGGAATTAGCTATTTGATTCATTTTAGTAGAAGGTAATTAGAAACCAAGATCTGGGCATTAAGTGTGCTCATTGTTACTAAGGTTACATTGTTTCTAGGCCCTTCTTGTAGAAAGGACTGGAAAATATGTATGCATGTATACATCTATTTTAAGTCATGGATTGATACTGATATCTCCATTGAAATCCAGCACTGTGTGGGTAGTTCCTCTCATCCCATTTTACATTTATGTTTCTCTTCTATTTATTCTGTGGTCTTCTAGTACCCTCAAAATAATTTCAGAATTTTAACATCAAAATTTCTAAATTTTTGATTAAAAATAAATTGTCTAAGTTGAAAGTATCTTTAGAGATACCTTAGATTTTTCTATAGTTGTAGCTTGATTGTCTTAAAACATATAAAGCAATGTTTGTCCATGCAGAATGAGACATTCTGACGGGACCATTTCTGTATAGCCCAATACTGAAGGAATTGAGATAATGGTGGTAATTATAGTTAGCATTTTTTGAAGGATTAGTATGTCTCCAGCACCATTCTCAGTACTATACATATTTTCTGTTAATCCTTGTAAAAACCCTTTAATGTAGTTAATATTATCCTTTTTATATCACTGATGAATAACTTTATGCAAAGTCACACTGGGAATAATGGGCAAACATCAGACTGACACCCAGGCAGTCTGATGATAGGGTTTAGATTCTTGACCTCTGCTGTACATGTGTTTTACATTTTTAGTAATAAAAATAGCTACTCATTTTTACCTGCATTTCCCCTATCATCAGAACACTTTTCAGCTCTTGATTGGAATTTCTTCTTGGTTTGTCATTAACACTAGATATAAGACCTCAGACATTAGACTATGCTTCTGCTATGTCCTATTGAATTTACAACATATGCTATGTTACATCATGTATAAATGCAGTTAATGGATTTTTAATCATGGCATTATAGTCATCCCTATATGCCATTGTGCTAAAACCTTAAATTTAGATTTAATATTTTGGAATCTTAGTTGTACAGATTAGGTATTAATTTCCACATTGTTGGGGGGAAAAACAGGTTCAAAAAGGTAACATGATTGCCCGCAGCCCTTCAGCTAGTAAATACCAGAGACTTGCACCCACATCTTCTTATCTCGGAAGTCTGTTCTTTATCGTCTTTGATGAGATCTCATTTTCTAATGAAACTCGTCCCAGTCCACCTTGTTGGTATGAAAGGATACATATTTGACTTGCTTTGCAAAAATGAGATAAAAGGCCAGTTAGATGCCATTATAGTCAGCAGGTGCTCCATTCAAATTCAAGGAATTGAAATATGTAGAAGAGAGAATATTTTTTAGGGGTTCCTAAAATTCCTGCAAGGAAAACAAAAATGAATAGTGGCTGTTTAAACTCTTGTAGAAACTTAATAACAATTGGGCTTCTTTGGGCTTGCAGAATATGTGAAACTGGCTCCGAATTGCAAGTGAATTACAAAGTGCAGCTGTTACCCATCAGTCCTGGCTTAACTGTGCTTGGTTTTGACTGCTGTCCTAGTCTTCTCCACTCCCCAAGATGCCCATCTCAGGCATCGGGTTTCCTTTTTGCTATCCTTGGTTTCCTGTGTTCCTCATTCCTGACCTTGGTTTTATGAGATCCACAATATTTTGCCACTGAAGCTGACATTTCATTCATTTTCCAGAGACAAAGGTAAAGAAAGCAAAATAAGAGTACTAGTAACTCTGGGCTAAGTGCTCTTTGTAGTCAACTTCACCAAACTGTAGGTTAAAGCTGCTGGGGTTTGTATCACTCATTGGCATCTCTGTGAATGATAATGTTGGCAAAGGTTGAGATGGTAGCAAGGTTTCTTTACCAGGTACGTGGAGCATTCACCGAAACAAAAAACTAAGAGAATGAAAAAAATTTTTTTTCCTATTTCTTAGAAAGACTATATCCATAATGTTAAAGAGACTCATTGGGTAGTTTTCTCTGAAAATAAAACAGATCACTGTCAACAGAGAAGGAAAGACTATTCTGAATTAGATATGTAGCCACAGAAATGGCACATGAAGGTAATATAAAGAGATAAATGTGCTTAGAAAACTAAAGTGGACATGCTTTCCATGTCATCCGTCACTTAAAATAGCAGATATAGTTTACATTTCATTGTAATTTCTAAGTGGTGGTCTAGGGCAGTAAACAAATGTCACTGGGCTTTTTACAGATTCCATCTGAGATATGATCATAGGAACAGTATAATGGATTTATGAAGATTATGAATGTGGATTCAGGCCAACAGATGTGAATCCCAATGCGGCCATTTATTATCTGTGTGACTTTGGACAACTTAGTTGTCTTACCTGAGAATCAGCTTCTATTTATGTAAAAGTACACAAGATTGGAAAGCTATGGGAAGCAGGTCATAGACTCAAAAGGGAAAGCTGAGCACAAACAGACCTCAGAAATAATAAAAGTTAGGGCATCTCTGGGCATCCTGGTCACAGTAATGACAGTCACATCAGGATACTGCCATTGAAGTGTTGTAGCTCGAGCCATACAGGTCCAGGTATCATTTGGAAATGCCAAGAGTCACATTCCCAGAGCATGCTGTCTTTTTGGCTTGTCCTAGATCTCTTGCCTAGTAGGTAAGGCATTTTATTTTGATAGCCCCCCGGGACTGCTTGCAATGGGGAGGTGCAGGTACTCTAAATTAATTTGGGTGGGAATATCGGAAGAGAAACTTAGCAGGTAGACATCACCGATGGGTACTATGTAGGTCTTAAGAGGGACTCTTAAAGCAGAGATTTGTGTGTGTACATTTATTTGTCTTTACTTCACGAGCCAGGTGTGGATTAGTTTTTTTTTTTAAACCAAATATATAGGAATTTGGCATGATTACAGCAGTGTCTTATAATTGGCTTTTTCAGAAGCTAATCTGCGATGCCATAAGCCTCTACTGCAAAGATTGTTGGAACTCATCTTTAAAATTCAAGATGTCAAAGAAAAAACCCTCATAGTATCATGTAAATCTTACATATTTGGATTAGAATTTATCCAGATAAATAGAAGGAACAGAATTTGAGTTAGCTCAGAGGGTAGGGTCTCTGGCATTTTGGAGTACTTTGAAGTATTTATATTTTTCATCTCTTCTAAAAATATGACATAAATTATATGGAAGGAGAAAAAACATAAATTCTGCAATGAAGTCTAAATTGATATTCACTCACTTGTCCAAAGAGTCTTCCTAAGATTCACAAGTTTGACAAACAAAATTTAGGTACACACCATTATTCGGAAATAACAGTTTCCACCTGTAACTGTGGTGGCTGGGAGTTGAAATGACCTTCCATTATGAGTTATTTTCAAGTAGTCAAAATTAATTGATAAGTCAAATTCAAAATCTAGAGACATTTCTTTTTTTTTTTTGAGATGAAGTCTCATTCTGTCACTCAGGCTAGAGTGCAATGGTGTCATCTCGGCTGACTGCAACCTCCGCCTTGCAGCGATTCTTCTGACTCAGCCTCCCAAGTAGCTGGGATTACAGGCGTGTACCACCATGCACGGCTAATTTTTTGTATTTTTAATAGAGACGGGGTTGAACCATGTTAGCCAGGATGGTCTCGATCTCCTAATCTTGTGATCCACCTGCCTCAGCCTCCCAAAGTCCTGGGATTACAAGCATGAGCCACCATGCCCAGGCCAGCCAACATTGTTACTTATATTCCTTCTTTAGTGTAAGATCTGTCTCTTCATGGATAGCAGTACTATAGAATATCCTTTTTCTAACATGCAGTACTGTATTCACAGTGCTGATCTTTCTGGTTTTACTTCCTAAATTTCACAAATCCATCTATTTCTCTAATTTCTAATGCCAGCGTCCTAATCCGAGCCACTAGGATTACTCAGCCAGTTTATTTACTCTACAGTCCCTGCAATGCATTCTCCATGTAGTACTCAGAGCTTTGACAAACACAAGCTGATCACAGAACTCCCTACTTTATTCCCATTGAAAAACCTTTGTCATTCTTTTATAAAGACACATGCATGCATATGTTCATTGCAGTGCTGTTCACAATAGCAAAGATAAAGAATCAGCCTAAATGCTCATCAATGGCAGACTGGATAAAGAAAATGTTATACATTCAAACCATGGAATATATGCAGCCATAAAAAAGAACGAGGCCATGTCCTTTATAATGACATGGATGGAGCTGGAGGCTGTTATCTTTAGCAAACAAATACAGGAAAAGAAAAGCAAATACCACATGTTCTCGCTTTTAAGGGGGTGTTAAATGATGAGAACACAAGGACACATGGGCCAGGGAAACATGTATACTGGGGCTTATCAGAGAGTAGAAGGTGGAAGGAGGGAGAAGATCAGGAAAAATAACCAATGGGTACTAGGCTTAATATCTGGGTGGGGAAATAATCTGTACAACAAATCCCCATGACACAAGTTTACCTATGTAACAACCCTGCCTCCATACCCCTGAACTTAAAATACAAGTTTTTTGTTTTTGAAAAACAATTTTTGCTAGCTACCTTCTATAGATAAAGACCCTAGCTTTTTAAATCAGGCCTTCAAAGTCCTCTGGTCTTGCTTTGGTCTTTCTCTCCAATCTGACCACATATCAGGCCTCCCTCCTTCCTCCATGCCCAGCCATACCAGCCTCTTTCATTCCTGCACCAGTGTTTCCTTCAGCCATGAGGCCTTTGCATGTTGTTTCTCTCTTGACTGGAATGTTTTTGCATTGTCTTTTTACCTTGTTAACGCCTGTTCATTCTACCAATGCCAGCTTACGTATCCCTTCTTCTAGAAGGGCTCTTTTGAAACCTCAGTCTTGGCCACTTTCCTTTATCATTTGTTCTAATGGAACCATGTTTCGCTCCTGCATAGCATTTACTTGTTTGTAATTCGCATGTGCTAGAATGAGAGTACAATTTCCATTTTCTTCCTCTAGACTATGAGCAGGGGCAGTATATGCTTTTTTTTTTCATTATGGTAACCTCAGCATGATGATTTATACATACTAAACAATCACAATTTATTAAATGAATTAATTAAGACTTAGGGATGGTATATCAGTCAGTTTTTATGGGGCTACAACCCTGGAATCTTGGTAGTTTTTACATCATCATCATTCATTCTTGTTCACAAATCTGCAGGTCAGCTGTGGCTCTGCTGGGCTTGGCTGGGCTAGGCTGGCTTTGGGTCTGCTCCACTGTCTTCTCATTCCATTTACTCAGGCTGAAGAAGCAGCCACTATCTAGAACATTTTGTTCTTACAGTAGAGAGCAGGATCTTAGAAGACCCAGACCACATGCATACCTTTAAAGCTTTCTTTGGGAGGGCCATGTGTTATATCCACTTACGATCCATTGGCCAAAGCATATCACAGGACAATCTTAATCAGCAAAGCAAAGAAGCATCCTCCTTCCACAGTGTGGGAGAAGAGGAGAATAAATATTTGTGAAGAAAATGTTGCCATCTGCCATAGACGGTAAATATGCTTGTCCAAGATTTTCAGACAGAGGAATATCGGCTCTGTGTAATGACTCTAAAACTATGGATTTGCCAAACAATCTCTGTAATATAGGTAATATATAACACATAATTTCTCCAGAGGTGCCAGTGTTCAAGAGTTGCAGTTTACAAAATGAAATGAGCTTCATACTCTTTGCTACAGATCCTGTGGACTACATCCATCCCTTCCTACCTACCTTCCACCCTCAAAAAAGATCCATGTGAAAAACAGGCATCAACCATGTGTGCTATATATCCAGTGTTTACAGAGTATTTCATTAGTGCTTACTGTACAAAAAGAACTGTGAAATAACTTGTAAAGCTCAGTTCTATTGTCTGTGAAACATGGGAAAAGATTATTAAAGTTGCACATTTTACTCATGGTTTTGTTGATTATGGAAGAAAATAGGACTAATGATAAAGTTGGTCGTGTTTAGGAAATTGCTGCAAAATGAGAAGTAATCAAACCAGACTTGTAGAAATGGCGTAATAGTTTCTTTTACTAAAAGCTGAGGTGGGTTGGCATGAGGAGGCCATATTTGGTAACTCTGGGGTTAATGCTACCAAATTCAAACTTATTAACAGTAGAAGAATGACAATAATATAGAAGTTGTCAGAGTTTGGAAAGAGATTTTACCCATTGGATGAAAGAATGCCTTTGGAATGCCATTTGATGCCAACGGGATAGCAGAAATCTAAGAGTTTATCAACATCTTGGCCAAGACAATCAGCAGGGGATTTGGGCAGCTCTCTGAGATTTACTACATGAAAAATAGCAATCAAAAACAGAGCCCACATAATATGTATTCCCAATTCACAGTCTCATTATCATAATAGAGCTGGAAGAAACCATGGAAGATGATCTCCTCCAGATGGAAAGCAAAGGTGAAAAGTATAAATAAAAGTGAGAATGTGCATCTGTATTAGTCACAAATGGCTTATAAATATTTTTGTAACTTTGTCATAAGATGTTTTACAAGAAGTTTTAGAGAAAATTTCCCAATAGCTAACATTTACATCTTTTCTATGAGGCTTACATATTTAGTAATAACAGCTACCTCTTATTTAATTCTGACTTAACGACACTTGGCATAGATAGTGAAAGAAGCCTAGGGGTAGGGAAATAATCTGTCCACACTCACCACCTAGCAAGTAGTGGAGTCTCAATATAAATGAAGCCATCCTCATTGCAAAAATTATTTCCTTAACTACTTAGCCATAGCAGAGGCCTGGAACCAGCCTTGTTTAGGTAAATTACCTGGTTTAGCCTTTTATCTATTAAAACAAAGGAAGGAACAAAAGTAGTGGGTTTCAGATAGATTTCTGCCCATTATTTTATGGTTTGATTTTTTTCTGTTTTTACAGCTCATGATCTAAATAGGAGAAAAAAAGTAGCTTTGACAAATGTCCAAAAATAGGTCTGACAAACCTTTTTGGGTGATGGTGGGCAGGGAGGTAGGTATTCCCCCTGTCCCTCGGGACCTGTTGTTTCTTCCTGTTGTTGACATACTGGCATATAGCACTTTGATTTCCACTTTGAAATTACAGGTCAGAATTTGTGCTTTCAGACCATTGAACATAATGTAGTTGTTCCTTTTTCTCAAACTTTGAAAAAGTATTTAAATTTAGTAGTGATTTAACTTACATTTCCACATTGGGCTTACTACAGGGCAGAAAGGCTACCCAGCTGTGTAACTAAGTTATATGACCTTAGGGGACCATTTTATCCTTCTCACAATTAAAAATATATATAATTTCAAAAGCATATTTTCTTTTGTATTAATTTTCTTTCTTTGTAAATCACTTATCCATTGGAGTTGTGGTTGAATACAGAGTCTATGCACTATTGCTGAAGCTCTCAAGGCTTCATGAGACTCCTTGGATCAATATATTATATTTGGCAGTTCATGTATTAACTGTGTTATACAATTATATTTAACAAATGACTGTGATGTGAAACATTTGAGTTAGGATCATAAATAACTTTAAACTACTTATTCAGCAGCTTTGTTGAACTGAAAAATGTTTTTAAGTGTAATTGACATTGGTGGCTATGAATATGGTTGGATGCTTATATTTTGACAATATACTTCACAATTCTTTTTTCTGGTCATTTGAGCTATATGGTTATTTATCTGTGTAGTAAAGTTAACGTCACTTTGTGATATAATCTGGTGATACCACATAAAATAGGGCTTACTTGCTCTTTCTTACAAATCAATACCATGTGTTATAAATAAAATGAGCAAGCATTTAATGCTGTTGATTTTTTTTGTGTGCAAAAGTATGAAGTAAAAAGACTCCTAATCCTGCTGCCCAGAGATAATCCCTGTTAATCTTTTAAAATGTGTTGTTTTCTTCTCATCTTCTCCAAAATAGTTTTAGATAAAACTAGAATACTACTCCACATGTAATGGGATATCCCATTCTTTTGATTCTAATATCATAAGCGTTTGTTTTTATTGTCAAAAGTGTTCATTAACTTCCTTTTCAATGGTTTCATAATTTTCATCAATTTCATTAACTGTTATTATTTTACCTGGTTTTGAATAGTTTGTTTCGCAATTTTAACTATTAGAAGTCTTTCTACAGCCAATATAAAATTTATGTGCCCATACATTTGCCATAGTTATTTATGTTACTGTGTATTAATTACATACATAGACACTCGTTAAATGTAGGAGTGAAGTATTGAAAGAAAACTGAGACTAGCATCTTTGCTATCATAGGGCTTCTTGGATAAGATACATACACATAAATGATATAAATGTCATAATGATAAATGTTTGAGAGCTCAATGAGTAGACATAGAATAAGATTTCACATATACCCAAAAGCAAAGTAGAAAAATATTTTGCTACTACTCACTGAATAGTAATAATTTTCCTAATATATGCTAATTTTATAAGTGATAATGTATTCTGCTAATTTGCATTATTTGATTACTAGCCAGGAATTCTTGAGCATTATTTTAAAGTTATTTTACTGATGAAGAAATCGAGGCTCAGATAGGTGAGCAATTTAACCAATGTCACACAACTAAGGAAGAAAATCTAGAGCTGACCCCACGTTTTTCTAATTCTGACACCAGTGTTCTTAGCCAGTACAGCATAAACGTAGCTTTGTTGCTTCTGAGAAGCATTCCATTTTTCTTAATATTCAGCTACAGTACCATTAAGTATCACTAATGTGTCGCAGTTACCATCTAAATAGAAATCACTAAATTCTGGATCGAGTAAATTTCTAAGTTTTGGCCATATTCCTTTCTGCCACTTTGATTTTTTTAATAATAGCATTTATGATATAAACTTCACATACCATGCAATTCACCAATTTAAAGTGATTTCAATAGCTTTTACTATAGTCAAAGTGTTGTCTTCAGCCCTCATGACCACAGACTGTTTTGTCACTGCCGTTGGGTTCAGGCTCTAGCTGTCTGTTCTACTGAGTGCTTAACATAGTGTCTGGTACGTGGTAGGCACTAAATAAAAACATTCTCAAATGCTTAAACAAGATTTTTTAATGTTGCGTGACATTATTGTGCTGAGCACTGGAAGAATTGCTGACACTCTGTCCTCTAGAACTTTGCAGGATCCTTGGAGGTTAAGACCTAAACACATGAGGAAAGGAACTTCAGAGTAGAGTGTTTGATTAGATGTCAAATGAGGAGACCAGCCAATGATTTTTATTACTGACGTCACAGGGAGATAAGAGAATGCCGTGTCATGCAAGGTCATCTAGGACAGCTCCTCAGGGACAGGGGCTTCTTACTGGCCCAATTCATGGTGGCCCAGGTCTTCATTCCTCTATGACCACTGAGATGCAATGACTTTTGGCCAGCTTTCAAAGCCTTAGTAATCTTTCCCAGGCTGCTGGGATTAATAACCCAGAAGGCCATAGTTCTTGCTTTACTCTTCCTGTGTTCTAAGATCTTAGATTTTAACTGAGAGAAGAACGAGGTCCTGGGACACCCCCAGAGTATCATAACTACTATCACTTTTTGTTCTTCCTGCCTCCTCTACTGGATCCAAAGAAGGCAATTTTTCACATCACTGGCAACCTAAGCCAGCCTGATTGCTTCTTTCTCTGAAATCTTGTTGCATGTCTACTCATTGTTCTCTCAGTCATGGGTCATTAATTCATTTGTTTACATCATTTATGTGTATGAACCTTATCAAAGAAGCCCCTGGATGGCAGAGGTGTCACATTTTAGGTTTTCTTTAAGTACTTCACTCCTACAAGTACTGAGTGTGTAATACACATGTGTATGCATGTAATATACAGTAATATGAATAATTTCAAGCAAAAGACATAGTATCACTTCATCACCTTTCCAACAGAGAAAGTAGTGGTTCCAAAATTTGTAGCTCCTTGGTATTTCTTAATGTGGATATGTGATATCTTGATCTAAAATAACAGGTTTCCAAAGGACTGAGAATCTCCTGGGATGTTAGTTAAAATGCAGATTCCTGGACTCTGCCCTGATTCCTAACTCAAAAGATTCTGAACTCGAAAGTTGAGTGTAGGAGCCAGGAAATGGAACTCAAAACAACAAGCCAGCCACCTGCAGATAATTGTAACTTATATCCGTGTATCAACTATGACAGGCATTAGCTTAGTCAAGGTTTAGAGAAATAATATGCATCAGTTAATCATAATGGGAAGAGCTGGAATAAATGTGGGTTAGTTTGGATCTTCTAATTTAAAATAAAAAATATCTATAGAACTGAGTATTACACAGTATAGTATCACAATTCTAGGAGGCTATGACTTGAATTACTCTTTAAATTTTGTGTTTATATATCTTATATTATCAAATAAGATAAATAGTGGCTGCCTACCACAAGTTATCAAAAAACATGAAACATATATTGAAGTCTGGCTCCTTGGATCATATTTTTTTAAGTCATCCCTTGAAAAATGGTGGTAAGAAATGGTTTCTCAGCCTCTTTTCCAGAATGGCCTGTTCTAAGATGAGCGAATCCGTTTTTTGCCCCCTAATTTGGCAGATTAGCATATTAGACCCTCCAGCTGAAAGAGCAAAGTTCACTTGAGTTCAGTTCAACAGATCTTAAATGTTACTTGCTATCAGGCTGGGGTTTTGCCATAACTTTTATTGCAAAAATTGCAGTTACTTTTGCACCAACCAAATATGTGCCAAGCCCTGTGTTAGCCACTGGGTATAATGTTTTCTTCCAAAAAGAAACCAAACAATTCTTGCATAATACTTGCCAGAGGTCAGGCACTGTGTTAGTGCTTTGATTTCAGCCAGCTGACCTAATGAATAGGGCACCAATACAACTCTTATTTTTCCCCCCATTTTGAGTTGGAGTCTCACTCTGTCACCAAGGCTGGAGTGCAGTGGCCTGATCTTGGCTCACTGCAACCTCTGTCTCCCGGGTTCAAGTGATTCTCCTGCCTCAGTCTCCCTAGTAGCTGGGATTACTGGTGTGCACCACCACGCCTGGCTAATTTTTTTGTATTTTTAGTAGAGAGGGGGTTTCACCATGTTGATCAGGCTGGTCTTGAACTTCTGACCTCAAATGTTCCACCCATCTCAGCTTTCCAAAGTGCTGGGTTTACAGGCATGAGCCACCATGCCTGGCTAGAGCACCAGTACAACTCTTGCTAGGTGACATGATTTTGAAGGAGCTTTCTTTTGGGCTACAGAATTTTAATCCAGAAGTGTTTCAGTAAAAACACACAATGGACAACAACCCCTTTAAAAGGAATAACTATACTTTATTTATTAAGAATATACACTGTGTACTAGACCAGGAGCTGGCAAACATTCTCTGTAAATCTTTTCTGGGCCATGTGGTCTCTGTTGTACCTACACAACTAGGCCATTGTAGTGTGAAAGCAACATCATCAGTAGATGAACAGGTGAACATGGCTGTGTACCAGTAAAGCTTTATTTACAAAAACAGATGTCAGGGTGGTTTGGCTCTAGAGCCATCATTTGCTGACCTCAAATTAGACACAGAGTTGTCTATCGTGAATGAGTGAATACGTAAATCTATCATTTAATTAGTTTCTACTATGTGCCAGACTCCAGATGTATAACAGTGAATAGTCAGATAAGGGTCCTCCTTTTATTCTTGTGTGCAGAGGTTGACAATAAAAGATGACACCCATAAACATGAACTCATGAGTCACAAACAACATGATTTTCTATTTTGAATACAATAAAAGGAAGAGTATGGTTGAGATTGAGGGACTGCTTGAGACAGAGTGGTAGGGAGTTGTCTTTTTGCTGGTGACATGTACTCTAAGAACTGACAAGGATAGACCAGCCTAGTACGGGGAATTGGGCAGAGAAGTCCAGGTAGAAGGAAAGAAGAGCAAAGGCTCAGGAGCAGAAACAAGTTTGCATGATCAATAATGTTTAAAAAAAAACCACAAAGCAAAACCTGTGGGGGTGAAGCATGGTGAAGAAGTAGGAAGATGCCAGGAGTCTGGAACCAGATTAATAAGGCCTTCTAGGGACCTCATTTTAGTGCAGCGAGAAAGCTTGGTGGGATCTAAGAAAGAGCAGAAGGAAGAGTGGAAGGAAGGAAAACAGGATTTTTAATATAAAAATTATTTTGCTGCAAATCTTTTAGGTGTACCCACACCATACCTTGCTATTTTCACCCTCCCCCAGCCTCCAGGGCCCAGGTCTTAAACAGACTGTAGAAACAACGAATAGGGTGCTTCTATCCCCTTCAACTCCTTGGCTTTGATTTCCAGAAGTCACTCATGGAATCGCCAAGCAAAGCAAACACTATGAAGCATTTATGTATTGGAACGATAGTTCAGATCTATCACGCTATTGCCTTATTCTTACCTTTATGCCAATTTCAAGATAGCACATAAAGTATTCCAGATCTTTGTAGAAGTTCCCAGAATATTTTATTATTCACAAAGTATTTTATAGCAACAACTGATTAAGAACACCCTTAGACAATCTTGGGGCTTTTTCTTTGAGTTTATCCACTTTTTTTTTTTAAGTTGAGCTTAAATTTGTTTTAAAAGTGCAGAGAGATTAAATATCTTTGAAGTAGGTTTTTATTTCACAGGTCCTAGAATCTGGTGAAATGGTAGTTGCTGGGTTTCATTTGAAGGAGTAATTAAGGTACGTGATATTGTTTAACTGTTTGTTCAACTTTGCCTAGTGCAGTGAAGTACAAATATTTGACCTTCTTGACAAAGACAGATGGATTGAAGCTACACACCATGATATCATTAGGTTGTCGAAATAACATCATTATTCATGATTATAAGGAATTATTCAGGTGAAATAGCAAACCTAATAGAAGGCTATTTTTTGTGTTGGGAGTATAATTTCACTGTCCTTGTCATTCCAAGCCCTTAGTTGAATTGAAGATAAAATATATGTATTTGTTTTCCTGCAAAGAATCATTAGTAGCATAAACAAGTAAAATTAATTATAATTAGTAATTTAGTAAATCAGAGGTATAACATACTTCCTGAAAGAAGTTGGTATGCTATAAATGTAAAAATGAATGTTTTCATCATTTATTGAGTTGTTTCATTTCTATAAATTCATTTTTAGTAGTACAGAATTTTTACACTGATTAAAACATACATGAAACTTCGCTTTGAAAGATCAAAGGAAATGCCTTACATTTAAAATAGTATTTAAAGTGGTAGCCTCTCTTGGTGTTGGCAAAACTATGGCCTGGAGCCAAATCTAGCCCCCTGCCTGTTTCTTTAACTAAAGGTTTATTGGAACACAGCCACATTTGTTCCTTTGTGTATCATCTATGGCTGTTTTTGTGTTACAGTGATACAGATGAATAGCTGTGACAGAGACCATCTGGCCTGTAAAGCCCAAAATTTTTACTATCTGGCCCTTTACAGAAAAAGTTTGCCAAACTCTACATTAAGGAACTAAGTGAAAAAATAAAATTATGCACTGGTCGATCTCAAAGCAGTTCGTAGGAACTACCGAAACCCATAAGGTTGGGAGAAATGAATCAGATGCCATGTGCTTAAGGAAGCCTGATGGGGTGTGTGGTGTAAGCCCACTGTTCTAGATCATCAGCTTCCTCAGAGAATTGACTGAAATTCTTGTGATGTGCTGTATAACCAGCAAAGGACAGACTTAGCTTTCTCTGGGCTGGTTTTAGAATGTTCTTGCCTGAAACTGTAATGATGAAATGATCCTGTGATGATGGATAAATCCTGGGTTCTTCCACAGTCTTCCTTTTATAGCTCTGTGTAGAACAAACACTGAAAAAAGTGTAAATACATTTGATCATGAGTGTGAGAATATTGTGTTTCCAAAGATATATTTCTAGAAATATGCTAATAAAAGAATTACGTAACTTTCATCAGATTTAGAAATTAACTGTGGTGTTTGTAGAATGATTTTTAAATCTTTGAAGTTATAAAGAGGTATTTCAAATATAAAAAGTAGAAAGAATGACGTTGCAGGCATCTTAAAATTTTAAAATATTTTTCATATATGCTTCAGATCTTTTCTTAAAATGAAAAGTTACAGGTACACTTCACCTTCCCCAACTGTGATCTTATTCTTCCTGTTTTTAGAGTCACCTTTCTCAACCTTGGCACCATTGCCGCTTTGGACCAGATAACTGCTTTCTTATGGGGGCTGTCCTGTGAACTCTAGGATGTTTACCAGCAACTCTGCCTGTACCCACCAGATACAATACCATGCCCCTGTCCAGTTGTGATAATGAAGAATGTGTCCCATATAGCCGTATGTGGGAGGCAGAGTCACCCCCTTTTGATAACTACTGCTTTAGAGGTATTTACTGACCTGAAGTTGGTATGTTTTCTACCTGCTTAGCTTTGCATGGGTTTTTTTATGTGTGTCTTTATCCCTAAAAAGCAAATCATGTTGTTTGTTATATTTAATGGTTTCCTGATTGTATTCTCCTGTACATAATCAGTTTCCTTCACTCGGCATTGTGTTTATGAGATACAGCTGTATGGATAAATGAAGATCTAATTTTTTCATTTTTACCTCCTGTATTGTATTCTAGTCCCTGAATGGAAGACAAATTAATTTCCTATTCCTTTGTAAAGACTGTTTTCCATTTTTCTTCATTAAGACAATGTAAAACCAAAACATTTGTATGTGTTTCCTAGTGTACTGGTGAGTTTCTCTGGAGAATATTTACCTAGCAGTGGAATCCCCATGTTGTAACGTGTACATTTCTTCCACTTTAGAGTGCACTTTTATAGTCCTAATTAAGTGCTTGTATCAATTAATACTCCATAGCATTGGGTGAAAACATCTGTTTCCCATGATGTTGGTATTGGCACACTCTTTAAGTGTTTGCTACTCTTGTGGGTAAAAGATGGTAATACCTTATTGCATTAATTCTTGTGTCTCCATTTATCCAGTGGAGTAAAACATTTGCTCCCTGAATACGAACAGGTGTCCCTTTTTGTCAATTGCTTGGGTGTATTCTTTGCCAGTTTTTTTTCCATTGGGTCACTGTTTTCTTTTTCAATAATTAGTATTTTTATATTTTATTGATTTAAATCCTTTTTTGATCATATCCATCACAAGACTTTTTTTTTTTTTTTAATTTCTGGCTTGGGATTTTAGTGGGTTTCCATGTGTATGATGGGGTCGGGGCAGGGATATATGTGCCTTTTGGTACTAAAATTTTTAATATAGTGAAAATTAATATTTTCTTTTTGGTCTGTGCATTTTGACTCTACCTTAAGAGTATTTTCCAAGTGCTAATATCATAGCAGTACCTTCCTATATTTTTCTAATGTATTAATGTTTTCTTTTTCATATATGCCTTGATGTCATCTGGATATCTTTTATATGTGATATAAATTATAAATCCACTTTCTTCCTATGGAAAAACAGTGTTCCATTTCATTCCTTCCCTATGGTCTTGACATAAATGTTTCAGTTTGTTTCCTGTCTGTCCACTGAGCTCAGTTGTTCTCTTTGAGCTTTAATGGCACGACCCTTTGATTACTATGATTAGAGGGGATCTTTATGTCTAGAAGGCCAAGCGTTCCTTTTTTTTTTTGTTTTTTTTTCATCACATTTTGGCTGTTCTTTACCCTTGATTTTTTCAAATGGTTTTTTTCCATTTTGCCAAATTCTGTGGGAAAAGGCACTGAAATTTTTTTAAAGGAATGGCATTGAATACATCAATTCATTTATGGAAATTTGACATACTGATGCTGTTGGATACCCCCAGTTAGGAACAAAATGTAGGTTTTCACATTTTAGGTTCTACTTTATGCATATATATAATCAAATTTCAATGTCAATAATGGCTTGGATTTTTAATTTAAATGGATATTCATCACTGCCTTTCTAATTTAGAAAAATTTGGGAGTAAAAACTCAATATTTCTTTACCTTATAAACAGTAAACTCAAAGCCCCATAAACTTTTTGGAATAATTTTGGGAAAGGAAAAATAGAAAACAGTTAGGAAATTAAGTACTTGACCATTTCTTTTTAAAGAGATTTTCTTAAAGAAGAATTACAAAATGTATTTGTTAGAATGTATATGAAACATCTGCTAATGAAAGAAAACATACAATAAAAATGGCAAACAGGCTTATGAAAAGGTGCTCAACATCCTTGATCATCAGGGAAATGCAAATCAAAACTATAATGAGATATAATTTCACTCCAGTTAAAATGGCTTATGTCCCAAAGACAGACAATAACAAATGCTGGTGAGGATGTAGAGAAAAGGGAACCCTCCTACACTGTCGGTAGGAATGTAAATTAGTACAGCTACTATGGAGAACAGTTTGGAGGTTCCTCAGAAAACTAAAAGTAGAGCTAACATAAAGTCCAGGTATCCCACTGCTGGGTATACTAAAAATTCAGTATATCAAAGAGTTATCTGCGCTTTCATGTTTGTTGCAGCACTGTTCACAGTAGTCAAGATTTGGAAGAAGTCTAAGTGTCCATCAACAGAGGAATGGATTTTAAAAATGTGGTACTTAATCACAGTGGAGTACTATTCATCCATAAAAAAGAATGAGACCATGTCACTTGCAACAACATGGACAGAACTGGAGGTCATTCTCCTAAGTGAAATAAGTCAGGCATAGAAAGACAAATATTGCACATTCTCACTTATTTGTGGGATATGTAAATCAGAACAGTTCAACTAATGGAGACAGAAAATAGAAGAATTACCAGAGGCTGGGAAGGATAGTTGGCAGGAGATGGGCAGGGAGGTGGAGAAAGTTAATGAGTACAAAAAAAATAGAAAAAATGAATAAGAGCTAGTATTTGATAGCACAACAGGGTGACTATTGTCCATAATGATTTCATTGTACATTTTGAAACAACTAAAAGAATATAATTGGATTGTTTGCAACACAAAGGAGAAATGCTTGAGGGGATGGGTATCCCATTTTTCATGATGTGATTATTACACATTGCATGCCTGCATCAAAACATCTCATGTGCCCTGTAAATATATACCCCTATGTACCTACAAAAATAAAAATTAACAAAAAAGCCTACACTAAGGCCACATGTCGTGCGATACAATTTACGTGAAATATCCAGAATTGGCAAAGTCATAAAGGTAGCAGATTAGTGGTAGCTCAGGGGTTGGGAGTGGGTAGTAGGGGATGGGGAATGGCTGTAAGGGCCACAGACTTTTCTTTCAGGTTGATGAAAACATTCTGGAAACAGATAGTGGTGAAGGTTGTGTGACATTTTGAATGTACAAAATGCCGCTGAATCTCACACTTTAAAATGATTGAATTTTGTTATGTGAACATTATTACAACTTTATGTATTTGAGCATATGTAATTTTCTTTTCTTTTTTTGAGACGGAGTTTCGCTCTTGTTACCCAGGCTGCAGTGCAATGGCGCGATCTCGGCTCACCGCAACCTCCGTCTCCTGGGTTCAGGCAATTCTCCTTCCTCAGCCTCCTGAGTAGCTGGGATTACAGGCACGCGCCACCATGCCCAGCTAATTTTTTGTATTTTTAGTAGAGACGAGGGTTTCACCCTATTGGTCAAGCCGATCTCGAACTCCTGACCTCAAATGATTCACCTACCTTAGTCTCCCAAAGTGCTGGCATCACTACTGTGAGCCATCACACCTGGCCCCTACCTGGTCACTTTTTTTTTTTTTTTTTGAGACTGAGTCTCACTCTGTTGCCCAGGCTGGAGTACAGTGGCATGATTTCGGCTCACTGCAAACTCTGCCTCTCAGGTTCAAGTCATTCGTCTGCCTCAGCCTCGTGAATAGCTGGGATCACAGGCACAAGCCACCATGCCCAGCTAATTTTTGTATTTTTAGTAGAGATGGGGTTTCACCATGTTGACCAGGATGGTCTCGATCTCTTGACCTCGTGATCCACCCGCCTCGGCCTCCCAAAGTGCTGGGATTACAGGCATGAGCCACCGCGCCCGGCCGAGTATATGTAATTTTCTAATGGGCAAAGATGCATTCTTTAGTTTGTCTACCTCCCTCTTGATCTAAAAACTGCAAAGCATGTCTCAATTCTAATACAAAGTCTTAACCAAAATGATTTTTTGAGCTATTTATATTTAGCTTCTGGTGACTCACAGGAACCTGAATTTTATGTTTCATTCAACACTCCATTATACTCTTCAATAGGACTCTAATAACTTTCCCTTGGAATAATTATGAAATCCATTTTTTCTAAATGTTTAGGATTTTAGACACAGTCATATCTCTGTTTTGAATATTGTTCCAGATATTGAACTTTGTTAAACATTGTTTCAATTTGCAATATTTATAGAGACTTTTTTCTCTATGTCCATATCTAAAGATGTCATTTTGGAAATGACAATAAAATAGAGCATTAAACTGAAATTAATATCATGATGTTGAAGGTGTGACCTAATTAAAATGCAAATGTAAGCACACTTCTTTAAAATTGACATTGCAGCTTATATACTCCCCAATAGTGGGACTATTGCTTGTTGATAATTTGAATTGACAGATTCTCTTCACAAGTTCATTGCTTTAACCTCACAGTGTAAGCATATATTGGCTTGCCTGATAAGATGAGAAAATTTAGGCAGATTCAGGAATCCTAAAATGAAATTTAATGTCTCCCTGGATATAGGCTGATCCTACTTATTAGAAGAACTTGGGAAATGCTTACCATCTGCAGATTTATGCATTGTTGAAAGTCTGTATTTTAAACTTAAAATTCACATTGTAGGCACTTTTTGTCCTTGTGTCTATTGTCCTTAAGTCAATTTCATGTTGTGCCTTTTACCCCAAAATACCCTTATTTCTTTTACTCCTTTAAGTTCCAGCTGACCCTTATAAAGTCTTCCCTTGCCCTTCTCTCTACAAGCAACAACGATTTTCTCTGAATTCTTGGTTTGTATTTCTCATTGGAACTTATCCATTCAATTCTACCCTGTTTTACAATTGTGCATATACATGAACTGTATTCTGTTTTATTCGTTCCTCAAGAATAGATATTACTCGCCCAGAGCAAACAAAGATGAACTGGCACGTAGTAGGAAGGCCAAAGGAATCAGTAAAACAACAGAAGATTGAGTGAATGAATGAAGGCACATGGGTGAACTAAATCTTTTGTGCTCATGACTTTGACGAATTTCTCACCAGTAACTTCCTATAAGGCTGTAGATAGTCAAACTAAAAAATTGGCATCAATGGGAGGCCATGGCGGGCAGATCACCTGGGGTCAGGAGATTGAGACCAGCCTGACTGACATGGCGAAACCCCATCTCTACTAAAAATACAAAAATTAGTTGGGCGTGGTGCCGGGCACCTGTAATCCCAATTACTTGGGAGGCTGAGGCAGGAGAATTGCTTGAACCCAGGAGGTAGAGTTTGCAGTGAGCCAAGATTACCCCATTACACTCCAGCCTGGGCAACAAAGCGAGACTCCGTCTCAAAAAAAAAAAATTGCCTCGTTCATTCCTTAATGGGGATTATTGCATATTTACTAGTTTATGGAGCCAATTATTGCACATTAAATATTTATGACCTAGATTTCTTAACCTTTTTGTCTAAATATCCAAATCTTTGAATTCTCTCTCAAGGATGAGTGTAATTTAAATACCAATTTCCAATGCTCAAATGTGAGAAACAGTTATTTGACTTTGTGACCACAGAAAGACATCAATATCTTAAATGCTGAATGTTTGTATTTTCAGATATCCACTTTGTCTTGCAGTTTTCTTAAATGTTTCCTGTTCCTTCCACATAAGCATCATATGGTAAAATTTAGTTTTAGTCAAGAATCTGTGGGAAAAGTAGACTTGAACACAATAGGTTTTTTTTTTTTTTTTTTTAAAAGATTATGTGAACAAGTGAGTGGAAATAAAATACTTTAGGAAATACGACACATTAATTTTTAAGAATATTTATGTCTGAGATTTCAACATTCCGCCAGGATATTTTTTGGAGGGTAGTAGCCCTGAGTGAGATTGTTTCATGTAAGCAAGTTTGCAAAGTTCTTTATTTGAAATGAAATGGAGGATTTTAAACCAAACATATAATGCTACTTTAAGCAAACTTGTCGCATTCTAAATACAAACATTAAAGCAAATATTGTTGTAATGGAACATTTCACTGTTTTTCTGTAGGAAGAAATTTTAAGGAAATCAATATCAACATAAGGACAAAATTGGTAGCCTACCTCAAATATTTCAGTACTTATGTAAAGGCTTTCTTATCTTCACTAGCTGATGGTTATGAAATGAAATGCATTTAAATCCAGTGGCTAGAGATGATTAAAATACCATACAGAACGAAAGCACTCCAGCTGTAGATGTTCATTAAATTGACCATTAATAACTTGTGATAAAAGGAATATTACTACATTCATAAATTTTGTATGCAGATTTTATTAAGCTGGCATGTTATATGAATTGATTGTCTGACATCTTCTGGCTGTGGCTAAAGATAATAGTGTTTTATATGCATTTTCCTTAATCCAAGAATTCTGATGGACTGTTTCTAGGTAGTTATTGTGTTTATGTTCTGGTTGGCCTTTATTTTCCACACAGTTTACAATTAGAAAATGTAATTATAGCTTTTGGTATGAAACATTATAAGGTTGGTTGTGTCAGCATTTCTATTATAACCCTGAGGGCAGTTAGTATGTGTTCAGGGGAGTGTGTGTGTGGAGAGAGAGAAACAACATCAGTTTGACTATTTTGTTTCGCTAACAAATTATCGCAATTTCTTTCTTGAAATGTAAATAGATTTGTTTGCTATTAATAAAAATCATATTTCAGTAGGTTATTATTTACTTTTCAGATTTGAGCTTATTTAATAGGTCTTTTAACCTGTTTCTAATGAACAACTCAGCACTATTTGACTTTGCGGATTTGGAACTGCGAGGAGGGCTTGAGTGCAACGTACACTTTTTGGGTTACAAGATCTAGTTTATTTGCTTCTCAGCATGTTATACTTTAATTTTGCAATTACCATTTGTTTTCAGAGGTTGAGGAAAAGTAGCACAAAGGTCAAAGTGTGGGCCAGGCTACCTTAGTTAGGGGCCCAAAATCACTACCTGTGCAAGTTGCTTACCACCTTTGTACATGTATCCTCACCTGCAAAGTAGCGTGATGCTGATACCTAACCTGTAGGGTTGTTTTGGGAATTTGTTAAATCACGTGAAGGACTCAGAGCAAAATAAGCACTCAGTAAATATCAGCTGTTTTAGTACCTGAATTAGAGACAGAAGATGTGAAACTGAAATCTAATCACATTTTTCTTTGTACAAATCAAGCGAGACATGATAATGAAATGACTGCCTGAATCTTGGAGGCTGCTTTGGGCATAGTTTATCCTCTGAACTCCCTCTATGATTAAGTCTGTGGAGACAAAACAAGAGGTTTAAAAAAGACACCTGGGCTTGTGTACTTACAGTTTTGAACTTGGAGGAAATTTAGCTAAGCCTTCTCACTTTTGTAAAATGGAGATAATTCTGATAAATAATGGGTTATTAGATTTTTTTAAAGTGAAATGGAATACCTCACACACATAGGAATTCAGTAGCCATTGCGTCTTTTGTGGTACCTATAACATTTTGCTAACTAAGGTAAGAGTTTCTTTTTAAGCAGTAGTGATGTCTAATGTAATATCTTTTTAATTACCTTCTACTCGATGTTATGAAAATATTAGATGACCACCTTTTTCTTGGCTTTAGAAACACAAACAGTGTAAAGATGGATAAAACCATGTTTGTGGCTTATAAAACATGAGGAATATTGATCATCTTTGCCTGTGATTACCAAATTGCTAGTAGAATATTGTTTCTTGGGTTGATTTGTTTATTCAGTTATATAGCACTTTGCCATATCCCTGTATTTTGAAACGCATTGCCCATTTGGGTCAATAGTAAACTTGTTAAATGTTAAAACTGGAAGGATGAATTCCTGCCTCTCATGTCATATATGAAGAACACTGAGGTACAGTTTATAATCGACTTGGAGTAATAAAAACTCCAAGCAGATGTCTTGGTTTGGAGACTCCTGTTCAGGGCCTGGGAAACTTAAAGTAGAAGCATTTCCACATATTTTTGGCCATTTGTGAGTGTGGCAGTCTTTGAGCTATGAAAACAGACACAGGTCTCCTGCCAAAACTGAAAAAGACATTAGGGTGAGCCTAATGAAACCTAGGCAGAGATCCTCAAAAATTACCATATTGACTGCTGTTTCTTTGGCAATAATAGTTTAAAGCCTTGTTATGCTAATTTAGATGTGCACAGAATCTTTATCTAAAGCAGGCAGATGTTCTCATTGGTATTATATTGAGTGGTGGCATGGTGCGAGCAGGTGTGAGTGATTAGTGGACTTGAGCGTGGATGCCTTTAATATATGTAGGGTCAATGCTATGGGCTCCTTGGGCCAAACAGGTGTCAGCTAGACTCTAGAGCACTCCAGTTTGATCTTAGTCATTGTGTCTTTTATTCAGTGGGCTTTTTAAAACGTAAACACTGTTAAGTTATGCTCCATTAAGTTGGACGGTATTGGAAGCCAGGATTTTGATTGCTTTCTCAGAAATACAAAGTATACACACACATTTTTAAATGAGATCATATGTACGTTTTTATGCCCTCTAAAGGGAATTTGCCATTTCTGTGAGTTGCAAATTGAGCTGGATTTTTATAAATTTCCAATCAGGGTTGATATCTCTGAGTAAAATGAATAGGTACTATTATGTTAGAACTCTGTTTCTATTATAGAGATAAATAATCCTATTTGCTTAAAGGAGGGCAATAAAATTGTTTTTCTAACATGCTATTTATTAAATATTGTGACAAAATGTCTACTTCGTAGCATTGCCCATGCTCTCTTAGAAATCCCAACTCACTGGCATATCTGGTTCTGTCCTTGACTCACAATAAAAATCTCTGTAGCAGAAATTACAGGATACACGAATTAAAACTGAAAAGGGATTCCCAAAGGTGGAATCGATTTTGTTCATTTGCAGTCATTGAAATTATTCAGCAAAATATTATAGTTTTACATAAAAACATAACACCAAGTTTCTATCTTGATTTGCCTTCTGGCTATTAGTTAACTGGTCTTCCTCTAGGTCTATTGAACTTGATAGAGAAAGTTAAATATTATTAGGTATTTGTAAACAACACAGACGATCATATATGGAATAGCAAAATGTTGTACGGGAGAAAGTAGATTGAAAAAGTTTTCTTGTAGAATCTGTGCAAAATAGCTATTTGTATTTTTAACAAAAACTTTTGGGAAATCTGAGCTAAGCTTTTCCATTTCTTTAAAACTGCATTGTATTTACCCGTTCTATAGCATATTGTTTAGCTGGAGAGCTGCCTGAATATATAGCTTGGACTTAAATATTTATCTATACTAGACAACATAGGGCTGTGAGGTTCTGTTTAGTCATAAGTGCTAGTTTAGTCATTCTAGTAATTAAAATACTGAAATATTTCTGTCATCCATAGCTATTGCTCTGAGAATATCCCCAACCCTGCTGTCATAGGCCCTCCATGATGGCTCCCAGATCTTCCAAGCAATCACAGAATTAATGTCTACAGCCTCAAGACCCTGCTCAGTAACAGTGTCAGCTTTCAGGTACCCTACCCTTTATTGAACATTGCTTCTGAACAGTCCTGCAGTTAATATTGGTTGAATAACTATAGGGTTACTTGGAATCAGATACAAGAGAAGAGTATCTTTAAACCTGGTTAAGATGTTTTCTGAACAGCAGAATCAAAGGTAAACACCAAATCACAGCATACATGAGCCAGGCCCACAATAATGCTATGGTGCCTAGAACACACCGGTAACATAACAGAGACTCAGTAAACATGCTGATGGAGTGAGCATCTCAAATATAATCTTTTAGCTTAATCACAGGAATCAGGCCATTGTTCAGCAGGTCCCTGCTGCTGTGGTTTCCTCATCATTTAACAAAGATTTATATTTAAATTGAAAGACCATTGCATTTCTCTTTATGTTTTAAGTAGCTGCAGGGGCCTTGTCAGGATTTTCTTTTTTAGCCTTGCTTCCTTCATAGAACATCTGCATTTGGATCACAGAATGTTGGCTTCCCAGATGGTCTTGTAATAGCTGAATAAAAAACCTTTAATACTTGGCATTTATAACAGGTACTTAGGAGATTCATCCAAATTCTGTTTGCTTTGGCTGGAGAAATAGATTCTCTTGGTAATGAACTTGAACTCTGTCGCCTGGTTATATCTTTGAGATAGCAGAATAGTATAGACAGAATTAGGAGGAAAGATTGCTGTATAAATAGTTGAGCATTAAAGACTTTATCTCTGACTTGTCAGAGAACGAGCTCAACACAGGACTATTTTGTATGATAAAATGTGATGATGAAGTGTTTTGAATTTATGATAGGCTGATTTCTCTATTAGCAACTTGAGATAGCCAGGCACTGCAGGAAGCTCCAAGCATCGAGTAATTGAAAGGCAAGTTCAAGATAATGTTCAGCCTGTTGAGGTATACATAACTGTACCTATTAATTGCTGCACCAAAGAGCTGCATTTTCTTCAAACCATCTTGAAAGAATGTGACTTCGGAGATAAGCCTTCCAGGTGTCCTAGAGCAGAACTTAGAAGTCTCTCAATTGTTGCTTTCATGGGTGGATCCCCTTCTTGGATACTGTTTCCACATTTGATGTTTCTGACTCTGAGCAGTAATTACACTTAAAAAGAATGATAATTGTGCAACCGCAGGAGCCAGCCTGAGTCAGTTTCTCATTCTACCTTAAGGAGCTCCGGAGACCTCCTCAGTGTGTTCTTGCTTATGCCTTTATTCATGAGGCTCTTACATTTGTGCCCACATGCTGGGTACAGAGACAGCAATGGGAGTGTAGAGCGGCACTTTGACTTGCCTAGTGAAGTCTCTTACTCAGTCCCTTACTAGCCAGGAGCTTGTGATCAAGTCACCAAACCTTTCTGTAGATTGTTATGAGGATTCGATTAAAGAAAAACCAAAAGAGATCAGTCAACAGTCTGACATGCAAAGTCCTTAGCAAATATTAGTTCTTATTTATCCTACACCTTGTGTTTATAGCAAGCCAATCTGCTTGTGATGGGTTACTTAATTAGAAATCATTTGACAGTATCTAAACAGTCACTCCCAAAGTTGCTGAAAAATTGACAATTTGTAGTTGCATTTTGTAATGGCTCTCTTAGAAAGACCAATAGGGCAGTGGTTTTAATTGAAGCACAGTTAAACTGACTTTGTTGTGAGAAATTTTAGTAGTTTAGGTTATTGGCGATACTAATAATTTTTGAAAAATTAGCTGTGGATCTAAGATACCCAGGAGACAATTGGCAATTTGAACACTTGCTTGATAGTTAATACTGTTATTTTGTGTCATTGTTAATTTTTAGGTTTTTAAGATATATAATAGTTAATGTTTTAGGTATGCTTTAAAAGGCAGAGTTTTTTTAGTCCTTGTTTTTAGAGAGAGAGAGATAGAAATTCATAAGCTGTAACTATAGGATGTCTCTTACATGCTTCCAAATGATATAGGATGGGGGAGTGTATAAGACTAGTTGAAACATGACTGGACATGAATTGATCATTTTTGCAAGGCAGGTACAAAAGGATACATGTTACCCACCCATTTCTGAATGTGCTTGAAATTCTCCATAATAAAAGTTAAAAAGCAAAATAGGTTAGGGACCTTGAAACCCCGTCGTTATTACTAGTTATGGGTGATGTATTTATCATGAGCTCCGTAGCAGGTATAACTAGGTTACCATGGCTGAGTTCATGGATATATTAGCTGTTGGCTAATAGGACTAGAATGTATCTACAGATGAGAGAAGGGTTCCTGTCTGTTATTGCAAGTTGACCCAAAATACATGATTAAATTCATTGGAAGATTAAATATGCATTATAACACATCTTTTTGATAAGGAGAAGTGTTTTGCCTTTGTTTATCAAAAGCACATCTTTGAAGCATAAAAGGGCTTATATTTGAAGCTATTAAGATTTACTAGCATCTGGAATATTACCTTTAATAATTAATGGAGGAGACATCAGAGCCGCCCTTCTCTGACCTATAGATCTTTAGCTATCGGTGAAAGAACTGATAATATGCAATGCTTTCTTTGCCTAACCTGTCAGGCCCCTTTGGAGGTATCCTAAATTTGCTGATGGATCCTAAACTGACTGATTAATGTTTGATGTTAGGAGCTTCGGGGAATTGTTCAAGGGATAATGGTTGTTTGTAGTTCACAGGAAATAAAGACTTTTTATGATCAGTTCAGCTCTCTTTGTGACTCTCTATTTTATGACTGAATAATGCTTTTGTAAAAAAAAAAATGAAGTACATCTGACATATGACCTCATCTTTCTTGTCCTCTAATTAAAAAACAAACACAAAATTTCCTATAATTCTAGCCCTGAATTACCTGTTTTCTATTCTTGTTTATATATGCTCTCATTTTAAGTGTTGTTTAAATATTTACTATTTAAACAATGAAGAAATAATATACTTTTCAGTTCCTATTAGAGTGGGCAGCATATATTAGTTAGTGGAAATAGGCACTGTGAGGAGGCTCTTCTAAAGCAGGTGTGCAGAAGTGTCTCCTATAATGTGCCACTTCATGTTGATCAATATAATCTTAGACAAATGACTGATGATAGGGAAACTGTTCTTTGAAATAACTGTACTTTTGACTCAGAAATAGGCTTTTCGTTTATTTTTTTCTGTGATCTCACTGCAATTAGTAATTAGTAATCATAGGTTGGGGTCTATATATGAAAACATGAATGATCTCTGGATCCCTCATTATTCAAGGAATTTCAAGGTGTTTGATTCTAGAGAGTTGTCCATTTTTTAAAAATATTAATTTACATTACGCAATACGTGTACAGAACATGCAGGTTTGTTACATAGGTATATGTGTGACATGGTGATTTGCTGTACCTATTGGCCTGTCCTCTAAGTTCCCTCCCCTTCCCCCCACTTTCCTCTTTTTCCCCTCACTTCCCAACAGGCTCTGGTGTATGTTCCTCTCCCTGTGTCCATGTGTTCTCATTGTTCAATTCCCACTTATGACTGCAGCATTTGGTTTTCTGTTCCTGTGTTAGTTTGCTGAGGATGACGGCTTCTAGCTTCATTTATGTCCCTGCAAAGGACATGATCTTACTTCTTTTTATGGCTGCATAGTATTCCATGGTGTATATGTACCACATTTTCAGTCTATCATTGATCGACATTTGGCTTGGTTCCAAGTCTTTGCTATTGTAAATAGTGCTGCATTAAACATATTTGTGCATGTGTCTTTATAGCAAAATGATTTATATTCCTTTGGGTATATACACAGTAATGGGATTGCTGGGTAAAATGGTATTTCTGGTTTTAGATTCTTGAGGAATCACCATACTGTCTTCCATAATGGTTGAACTAATTTACATTCCTGCCAACAGTGTAAAAGCATTCCTAAACAAAACAGCTTCACCAGCATCTATTGTTTCTTGACTTTTTAATACTTGCCATTCTGACTGGTGTGAGACATCTCATTGTGGTTTTGATTTGCATTTCTCTAATAATCAGTGATGTTGAGCTTTTTTCCATAAGTCTGTTGGTCATGTAAATGTCTTCATTTGAGAAGTGTCTGTTCATATCCTCTGCCCACTTTTTGATGGGGTTGTTTCTCATAAATTTGTTTAAGTTCCTTGTCAATTCTGGATATTAGACCTTCGCCAAATGGATAGATTGCAAAATTTTCTCCCATGCTGTGGATTGCCTATTCACTCTGATGATAGTTTCTTTTGCTGTGCAGAAGCTCTTTAGTTTAGTTAGATCCCATTTGTTAATTTTGACTTTTGTTGCAATTGCTTTTGGTCTTTTCATCATGAAGACTTTGCCCATACCTATGTCCTGAATGGTGTTGCCTAGGTTTTCTTCTAGGGTTTTTATGGTTTTGAGTTTTACATCTAAGTCTATAATCTATCTTGAGTTACTTTTTTGTATAAGGTATAAGGAAGGAGTCCAGTTTCGGTTTTCTTCATATGGTTATCCAGTTTTCCCAGCACCATTTATTGAGTAAAAAATACTTTCCCCATTGCTTGTTTTTGTCAGGTTTGTCAAAGATCAGATGGTTATAGATGCATGATGTTATTTCTCAGACCTCTGTTCTGTTCTCTTGGTCTGTGTATCTGTTTTGGTACCGGTACTATGCTGTTTTGGTTACTGTAGCCATTTAGTGTAGTTTGAAGTCAAGTAGCCTGATTCTTCTAGCTTTGTTGTTTTTGCTTAGGATTGTTTTGGCTATACGTGGCCTTCAAAGATACCATATGAAATTTAAGGTAGTGTTTTCTAATTTTGGAGGAACAGCAATCGTAGTTTGATGGAAATAACAATTCAATCTGTAAATTACTTTGGCCAATATGGCCATTTTGATATTGATTCTTCCTACCCATGAGGAAGAATCGGTATCTTTTCCATTTGCTTGTTTCCTCTCTTATTTCCTTGAGTAGTGGTTTGTAGATCTCCTTGAAGAGGTCCTTTACATCCCTTGTTAGCTGTATTCCTAGGTGTTTTATTCTCTTTGTAGCAATTTTGAATGGGAGTTCACTCACGATTTGTCTCTCTGCTTGTCTGTTGTTGGTGTAAAGGAATGCTTGTGGGTTTTGTGCATTGATTTTGTATCGTGAGACTGCTGAAATTTTTATTTTAAATATAAAATCATGTCGTCTTTAAATAGAGACAATTTGACTTTCTCTCTTCCTATTTGAATATACTTTCTTTCTCTTGCCTGATTGCCCTGGCCAGAACTTTCAATACTATGTTGAATAGGAGTGGTGAGAAAGGGTGTCCTGGTCATGTACCAGTTTTTAAACAATGCTTCCAGTTTTTGCCCATTCAATATCATACCGGCTGTGAGTTTGTCTTATTTTTGAGATATGTTCCATCAAAGCCTAGTTTATTGAGAGTTGTTAACATGGAGCATTGTTGAACTTTATCAAAGGCTTTTTCTGCATCTGTTGAGATAATATCGTGGTTTTTGACTTTGGTTCTGCTTATGTGACGGATTACGTTTATTGATGTGCATTTGTTGGACCAGTCTTGAATTCCAGGGATGAAGCTGACTTGATCATGCTAGATATGTTTTTTTCATGTACCTCTGGATTCGGTTTGCCAGTATTTTATTGAGGATGTTTGCATTGATGTTCATCAGGGATATTGGCCTGCAGTTTTATTTTTTTCATTGTGTCTCTTCCTGGTTTTGGTATCAGGATGATGCTGGCTTCATAAAATGTGTCAGGGAGGAATCCCTCCTTTTCAATTGTCTGGAATAGTTTCAGAAGGAATGGTACCATTTCCTCTTTGTACCTCTGGCAGAATTTGGCTAAGAATCCATGTGGTCCTGGGCTTTTTTTGGTTGGTGGGCTATTACTGCCTAAATTTCAGAACTTGTTATTGGTCTATTCAAGGAAATGACTCCTTCCCGATTTAGTCTTGGGAGAGTGTATGTGTCCAGGAATTTATTCACTTCTTCTAGATTTTCTAGTTTATTTGCATAGAGGTGTATATAGTATTTTCTGACAGTAGTTTGTATTTCTGTGGTGTCAGTGGTGATACCCCTGTTACCATTTTTTATTGTGTGATTTGATTCTTTTCTCTTCTTTGTTATTCTAGGTAGCTTTCTATGTATTTTGTTAATTTTTTCAAAAAACCAGCTCCTGGATTCATTGATTTTTTTTTTTTTTTGGAGGGTTTTTCATGTCTCTGTCTCCTTCAGTTCTGCTCTGACCTTAGTTATTTCTTGTCTTCTGCTAGCTTTTGGATTTGTTTGCTCTTGCCTCTCTAACTCTTTTAATTGTGATATTAGGGTGTTGATTTGAGATATTTCTAGCTTTCTGAAGTGGGCATTTAGTACTATAAATTTTCCTCTTAATAGTGCTTTTGTCTCAGAGGTTCTAGTATGTTGTCTCTTTGTTTTGGTTGGTTTCAAAGAACTACTTGATTTCTGCCTTAATTCCATTATTTACCCAGGAGTAATTCAGGAGCAGGTGGTTCAATTTCCATGAAATTGTATGGTTTTGAAGGAGTTTCTTAATCCTGAGTTCTAATTTGATTGCAGTGTGGTCCTAGAGACTATTTGTTATGATTTCAGTTCTTTTGCATTAGCTGAGGAGTGTTTTCTTCCAACTATGTAGTCAATTTTAGAATAAGTGCCAGATGGCACTGAGAAGAATGTATGTTCTGTCAATTTGCAGTGCAGAGTTCTGTAGCTGTCTACTAGGTCCACTTGATCCAGAGCTGAGTTCAAGTCCTAAATATCCTTGTTAATTTTCTGTCTTGTTGATCTGTCTAATATTGATGGTAGGGTGCTAAAGTCTCCCACTATTATTGTGTGGGAGTCTAAGTCTCTTTGTAGGTCTGGAAGAACTTGTTTTATGAATCTGGGTGCTCCTGTATTGGGTGCATATGTACTTAGAATAGTTAGCTCTTCTTGTTGAATTGTTTCTTTTACCATTATGTAATACCCATCTTTGTCTTTTTAGATCTTTGTTGGTTTAAAGTCTGTTTTGTCAGAGACTAGGCTTGCAATCTCTGCTTTCTTTTGCTTTCTATTTGCTGGTAAATTTTCCTCCATTTCTTTATTTTCAGCCTATGTCTGTCGTTGCCTGTGAGATGGGTCTCCTGAATACAGCACATGGATGGGTCTTGACTCTTCACTGATTTGCCAATCTGTGTCTTTTAATGGACAGTCAGCCTATTTACATTTAAGGTTCATATTGTTATGTGTGAATTTGATCCTGTCATCATGATGCTCTCTAGTTATTTTGCACACTAGTTGATGCAGTTTCTTCATAGTGTCATCGGTCTTTATATTTTGGTGTGTTTTTGCAGCAGCTGGTACCTGTTTTTCTCTTCATTATTTACTGCTTCTTTCAGCATCTCTTGGAAGGCAGGCCTGGTGGTAATAAAATCCCTCAGCATTTTCTTATCTAGAAAGGACTTTATTCCTCTTTCACTTATGAAGCTTAGTTTGGCTGGCTATGAAATTCTGGGTTGCAAATTATTTTCTTTAAGAATGCTGAATATTGGCCCCAGTCTCTTCTGTAGAATGTAGAATTTTTGCTGAAAGGTCAACTGTTAGTCTACTGGGCTTCCCTTTGTAGGTGACCTGGCCTTTCTCTCTGGCTGCCCTTAACATTTTTTGCTTCATTTCAACCTTGGGGAATCTGATGATTATGTGTTTGGGGTTGATCTTCTTGTGGAGTATGTTAGTGATGTTCTCTGAATTTCTTGTCTTGCTAGATTGGGGAAGTTGTCCTGGATAACATCCTGAAATGTGTTTTCCAGCTTGTTTCCATTCTCCCTATCTCTTTCAGATACTCCAAAGTCCCGTATTTCTTGGAGGCTTTTTTCATTCCTTTTTACTCTTTGGGAACCTCCACCTAGATTTAAGAGGATGTATGGAAATGCCTGGATGTCTAGGCAGAAGTCTACTGCAGGGGCAGAGACCTCATGGAAAATCTCTGCTAGGGCAGGGCAATGGGGAAATGTGGGTTTGGAGCCCCCACACAGAGTCTCCACACAGGGTCCACACTGGGGCATTGCCTAGTGGAGCTGTTAGAAGAGGGCCATCATCCTCTAGACCCCAGAATGGTAGATCCACCAACAGCTTGCAATGTGCACCTGGGAAAGCCAAAGACACCCAATGCCAGCTGTGAAAGCAGCTGTTGGGGGGGGAGTGAGAAGGCTGTACCCTGCAGTGTCACAGGGTTAGAGCTGTCCAAGGCTCTGGGAGCCCACTTCCTGCATGAGCATTCCCTAGATTTGATCCATGGACTCAGAGATCATTTTGGAGCTTTAAGATTTGATGACCACCCCACTGGGTTTCAGGCTTGCATGGGACCTGTGGCCCCTTGGTTTTGGCCAATTTCTCCCACTTGGAAAGGGAACATTTACCCAATGCCTGTACTCCCATTGTATCTTGGAAGTAACTAACTTGTTTTTGATTTTACAGGTTCCTAGATGGAAGGGACTTGCTTTCTCTTAGATGAGACTCCGAACATGAACTTTTGTGTTAATGCTAGAATGAGTTAAGACTTTGTGGGACAGTTGGGAAGGCATGATTGCCTTTGGAAATGTACAAAGACATGAGATCTTGGAGTGGCCAGGAGTGGAATGATACGGTTTAGCTGTGTCCCCACTCAAATCTCATCTTGAATTGTAGTCCCCAGATGTCAAGGGAGGGACCTGGTGAGAGGTGATTGGATCATGGGGGCAGTTTCCCCCATGCTGTTCCCGTGATAGTGAGGGAATTCTCATGAGATGTGGTTGCTTGATAAGTGTCTGGACTCTCCCCTGATGGCTTTCTCTCTCTCTTCTGCCACCGTGGGAAGACACCTTGCTTTCTCTTTGCCTTCTGCCATGATTGTAAGTTTCCTGAGGCCTCCCTAGCCAAGCAGAACTGTGAGTTAATTAAGCTTTTTTTCTTTATAAATTACCCAGTCTCTAGTAATATCATTATTGCATTGCAAAAATGGACTCATAAAGCATAAACCAGTATAGTCATATGTATTATCACTATCAAGTTTTATGTACTTTATAGCAGCAGCCCCTAATCTTTTTTGGCACCAGGGACTGGTTTTATGGAAGACAATTTTTCCACAGACAGGGATATAGGGGGTAGACAGTTTTGGAATGAAACTGTTTTACCTCTGACAATCAGGCATTAGTTTGCCACAAGGAACATGCAACCTAGATCCCTCATATACACAACTCACGACGGGATTCATGCTTCTATGAGTATCTAATGCTGACTCTAATCTGGCAGGAGGTAGAGCTCAGGCAGAAATGCTCACTCACCTGCTGTGCAGCCCAGTTCCTAACAGGCCACAAATGGGCACTGATCTGCAGCCAGGGGGTTGTAGACCCCTGCTGTACATAATTGTATATGCAATACTTTTATATGATGGGCAGTACAGTGTTTATTTACACCAGCATCACCACAGACACATAAGTAATTCCTATTGCTTAGGATGTCACTAAGCAATAGGAATTTTCCAGTTCAGTTATAATCTAATAGGACCATCATCATATATTCAGTCAGTTGACTAAAATGTCCCTATGTGGTATGTAACTGTATATATTTGTGCCCCTTTCTCTCCCTACCACACTACAAGTTTTCAGTGCCTCTTGACCATTGTATTTTGGATCAATTGGCATGATAGTCTTCTCCTAGGACACTCAAAACTTTGTTTCTGAATATTTGCAAATGCTTTTGAGCATCACTGCAAAATGCTGTAACTTTGATGTCAGTTAAGGGACAAAGTCATATTTCCTTTCTTCCTTTGAGAATCAATAATGTGGTCATACTTGCAGAGACAGGCACGTCTGAACCATGGGCAAGCAGTACATTATTTTCAAATCTCTTTTCTCCCTAAGGCCCCTCAAGTCTAGTCCTCTTTGACAGTTTCATCATGAATGTTCTACAGCGTTGCTGTCCTGAGCAACCTTAGAAAAGTTTCCTGAAAAACAATATAATTAATACAGTGCCTTTTACTGGATCCCATCTGTAATTCCCAGAGCAACAGTTACATTCCATTTCATTTCAATACCACACTCTGTTCTATGTGGCTTGGATTTGATATGTGGTGTGATTATGCCCTTTGTGTCATTGGGAATTTTGAGTTTGTCTTTTATGAATACTTTCTCTGTGCCTTCAACATACTCTTGTTTCATGTATTTGTTCATTTATTTGTGCAGAAATAAATGGAGCACCTTTTATGTGTAAAATGTTTTGCAAGGTAAGTGAAGCAGTATGCACCATAGTGGGAGAAAGGGTTCTATGTAATGTCTGTAATATAATGCCTGGCACATAAATGGTCGTGATTTTAGTGACATCCTTATGCTGCTACTCTTGAAGCTGTCATCATCATCATCATCACCACCATCATCACCATGATCATTATTCCTCACATACTTTTGCCAGATGCATTTTATTATTCTTTATGTACAGTGCACTTCCTTTGCTGCAAGAGGCACTAAGAAATGACATAATCATAGTTAGGTCTGGAGATGGTAACAGTCTGATCAAAGCCTACTTTGTTTTCAGTAAATGAAGTTCATTCATATTTGCTTGATTCCCTTTCCCCTGAATTTGTTGGCTAGGATTATTCCCTGATACATTGACCAGGCTGAGACCCAGATTAGTTAACCAATGGTTTTGAAGGGCCCTGGCTCTGCAGTCAACACTGCCTGGGGTCAGTTCCAGGCTCCCAATCTTGGTAACTGTGTGAACCTGATTTCCTCTGTCTCATTTCTTCATCTGTAAGTAGGACGCATAAGGCTACTACTGATTGTTGGAAGAATTAAGTTTGGTAGTGAAACAAGCAGCTCATCCAGTGCCCGGCACTTCACGAGCAATGAGTATGTCAATGCTGTAGTTTTTATTTTTGCTCTAATTGTTGTTATTACTATTTTTTTTTTATTTCCATGCTTCTGTCTGATGTGCACTTTCTCCTTCCTGGGGTGAGCAAGCAGAACTCCAGGTAGACCAAGATAGTTCACCTGTCATTTATAGCATGCACCAGGGTGGAAGAGCATTGCTCCCTATTCTTATTAGAGAAGTTTGGGTAAAATCATTATAGGTTCTGGATTGATGACTGCATCAAACTCTGAGCTCTCTGCCCTCCAAGATAAAAATACTTACTGTGATCTCGTCTTGATTCCTGAGACGTTACATGCAAGTTTGTGTTCTATATATGTTTACATCTACACGCCTATACTGATTGTTTACGTATGTATATAAAGGTTAATCTTTTGGCATGAAATTCATCTATCAGAAAAATCTGATTTTTTGCAGTAGATGTAAAATACAAACATTTATATGAAACTTTTTAACAATAGCACTGTTCTCACTGGGCTGTGTGGAGATCTATAGAAATTATTACATAGTGTGGTTAGTGTGATGGCTGGCAAAATGGTACACATTTAGTGTGTATAAGCTAATAATAAGGATATCAGAGAAGATTTAATAGAAAACCCAACACAAGAAATCCAAAGACAAGCCTTAGCACTCAAATCCAATCTCTGCATCAATCTCAAAAGAAAAGGAGTAGATGAGAAAAGGAAAAGAATGAAATATTTTCTCATTCTCTTAGTAGCCTTCATTTTGTATACAAGCCATTTTCCTGGTTTTTATTATATTCAAGGTTATGTATAAAAACATTCTTACCAGGAAATCGCATTAAAATAAGAACTGGAAAAAAGTCTATTTAAAAACCCTCAAATAGTTAAAATTGTGTCTCCTGCCCCAACCATTGGTTAATTACAGACTTTCTTTTAATTCACTGTTAAAATATTGCTCATTTTTTATGAGAAAATAAGGTGATTGTTTAAATGTGATATTATAATAAATTATTTCCTTAAAAATATTGAATTATATTCAGCATATACATGTAAACAAAACTGTATATATACAAACTGTGTGTGTGTGTGTGTGTGTGTGTGTGTGTGTGTGTGTGTGTATGTATGTATATGTATATATGTGGAGAGAGTTTCTTTGTTTTGTTTATGGTAGTATTGAGCTTTACCTGAGCCCAGTGTTTTGGAAAATAGTACTAGCTGTAGAAATCTCCCACTGTTTGTCTTCTGGAAAAGGCTTGTAAAAAAAAAAAATCCGTCCCCATGTGTCTTGGGTAAGACTAACTGATGCCCTTTTAAGTACCTCTCACAAGGCCAGAAGCTGACTTTCCACATTCCCATTCTGCGCCTTATAAATCAGTGGAACTATTGATAATCACTGCCCAAATAATGGACCAAACTTTAGTCAGGCATCTCTCCCTCCCTAGTCCCTTAAACTTTGGCCATGCCTTGAACATTGGCATGCAGAACAACCTCTCCTCGAAGACTCCTCCTGAGAACCAGCTGACCTTGGGGAGGAGCTTTCCCTAGTCAGTGCTCCCACCTCCTCTTTCTAGCCTTGCTTACCCCTCCCTATCAAAGAATAGTCCTTTGTGCCCAACCTTCGAGCCTCTTGCACATCTCATGACAAGAGCTCTCCCCATTGCAGTAGTTTCACTCCCCTTACAGCAATTACTTTTTCAGATAAAGGTTCTCTTCTGTCGGGATTTGGTTTTAACTTGATGTTTGCATTTTCCCTCTGTGGCCTATACCTAGTTTGAGTGTTTAAGGCATCTTCGTACTAACAGTAATAGGAACTCCTTGTGTTCCAGTCTCTCTATATAGTACTTTTGACACATTAGTTCTATTTTTCTGTCTAGTACCAGGGAAATATTTTTATTTATATTACTCAGGGACACTGAGGCTCAGGTATGTTAAGTAACTTTGCAAATGGTGCATATTTCCTCAATGAGAGATGTAGGCTTGGAGGACTGCTGTGACTGACTTGACTGCCATCAGTTTTCCCACTGTCTCACTTGTATTAACTCCTTGGGGTCATAGTTACTACCAAAATGAGTAATGGTGATGACAGCTCCACCATTTTGGGAATTGTATGCCAGTTCTTGTGCTAGGTTTTTTTTGTGTGTGTTATTTCCCACATAATACAACAACCTTTGTGGCATGCTTGTATAGGGGAATCTGGGCATGAGTGGAAACAACCTTTGTGGCATGCTTGTGTAGGGGAATCTGGGCATGAGTGGAAAAGATATATTGCAGCCGAAGGGGCCTGGAAGGAGACTGTCAATAAACTGTGTTATATACCTGCATTCTGATTGTGACCCATCACATGAGGGCAGGTGTGGAATTTCCCACTTGTGGTGTCAGGACAGTGCTCGAAAAGTCAGATTTGGGAGCATTTCAGATATTGGGTATTTGGAGTAGGGTTGCTTGACCTGTATTTACATGAAAGGAACATGAGATTTGAGCAGGTTGGCTGATTGGGCCCAGGCCCATGACATTGACAAGTATCGAAATGATGACAAAACTCATACCCTTCACCTTTTGATTTTCTACAAACTACCTGGGTTCCTGGGTTGTAGCCCCTCCAGTGTCTACATCACCTGCTGCAGTTTTAAGCACCCAAGTGCGCCTCCAATTCATCAATCCTTGTTTGCTTTGCCAGGATGAGTTTCTCTAATGATGGAGCTTTGGTTTCAAAGTAGTAATCACAGTATTCAGTCTATTTTCTATTTATGTTGAGATTAATGTTTGTCACTTACCTAAAATAAATGATTGAATAAAGAAAGGATGTTTTTCAAACCTGTGGCATGCATCAGTTTAGCCAAGGAGAAAGACATTTAAGTTGCTGAGTTACTTAACTTCCCTAACCTTTACTTTGTCTCTTTATCTGTACAATGGACATCTCAGGATACCCACTTTCTAGAAATGCAGTGAAGATTAGAGAGGTGAACAGAGAGTCTCTGGCCCAGTGCCTGGCACACAGTAAAACACTTCAACAGATGTGACAACAAGGAGTAGTAATTTTTATAGTAGTTTTTCATTTTCCCCCAAGCTATCTGTTTATATCAAAGGAGTATTGTGTGTATTTCTGACATGAGCAAAGTTCTAAAGTAAGTAATGGCAGGAAACTCCACCTGGCTCATTGTATTAATCAGTCAGTTGTGTTTACGATTTAAGTAGTGCTATTTAAAAATTAGAATTGTATTGTGTTGAAAATAATACATTTGTGGAAATGATCCTCCTAACTTCTGTTTTGAAAATGTAGTTAATGTTTTCATGCCTAATCATTAATACATTGTAAAACTGCAGTATAAAAATGAATATTGTAGAATTTCTAGAACACTCCAAAACTACTCATCAGTTTAGCTCTATAAAATTGAACTCTAAACATGACTGGTGTTTTTATTATATATGAGTGTGACAGAAGCCCTTTGGGGCTTCTTCCATTCTCTATTGCTATATTCTGTTGATTTAAGATTCTGAGGCTTATTTTTTCATTAATTCTGAATTTTTCAAGTTAATGTAATATGAACACACGTTCCTTTTCCCATGGATGGAAAAATGAGCTTAATGAGGAAAATTATTTAGGCTTGCTGTACCAGAAGGAACTCCAGCCTTTGGTGCTGCTGCAGTCAGGGTTGACCCTTCCTGCCCTCTGTCTGCCTCATCTCCTTCATCTCCCTTGATTGCTGGATAAGCAGACACAGTCCCTGTCCTGATTGTGTCACTGCTGGTATTAGGACGAAAAATGCATCAGAATTTATGAAGATGTGTTTTTTCTAGTTCTGAGTATAAGGTTCTTTAAATTTCTCCAAAATCATGTGTCTCCCCCTCAGACATCTCCAGGTATTTGGAGTAGGGTTGCTTAGCCTGTATTTACATGAAAGAAATATGAGGTTTGAGCAGGTCGGCTGATTGGCCCAGGCCCATGATGTTGGCAAGTATCAAATCTCAGACCCTTCACCTTGTGATTTTCTATAAACTACCTGGGTTCCTGGATGTTATCTACAGTTCTCTGTGAGGTTAGGTCTTCACGTGCAAGTACCTCAAATCAGTATTTCCAAAAGAAAATTCTTTGCCACCAAAGCACCATCTTTGCAGTTAGTTCTATTGGTAATGTCCTTTTCATTGCAACGTATTATAAGCCTGGCAATATTTTTCTCCCTTCTCCCAGGTTGTCTCTTCAGATTGTATTCATTCTCTCTTAATAATGCCTCTCACATTCCCCTCTCTATTTCCACATACCCATCTCAAATTCAGATTGTCCCTCTCACTTGAAATATTTTTAATAGGTTCTTAATTGATTTCCATACCTCCAGCTCCCCTCAGCCCTTTAGTTAATCTTGGAACAGTGCTCATGCAAATTAAGTGCTTTAATTACTCTCTGATTTGAATTGAATTTTATCAAAGAAACCAGCTATCTGTGGGCATGGAGTGTTCGGTTTTGGTTCATATCTTGAGAGCAGAGAAGGACCACTTTCAAGTGCATGTAGCTATTTGTCAAGTTTTCTTTGCATCATTTACTGTAAATCACTTTTGTTTGTAATCAACATAATAGCTTTTCCTTTTTCAAACTTTGTAAAGGAAAGGATCAACTCTGGGACATGCATCTCATTGGTTTTAAAAGTTCTCAGTCTTTGGAAAATGAATATAATAAGAAGCATTTCTATAATACAACACTAAAGGAGATAAATGTCAGGTTGTCAGAAAACTTACATGAATAATGGTATTTGAGGCATTTGTTTTCTTGCAAATTGAGTTATAATTACTGCTATTTAAATTCACCACCCCCACCTCTACTTGGCTTGCTTAGATGTCTTTGGGATTGGGGACTTTGGGACACACAAATCATTTTTCTCTCCTGTCAGAAGTTCTTTAAGGATTAAGAACAATTTTTATTTTCCCTATGAGAAAACAAAGCATGTAAAGTTGAAAGGCAGCACACACTAGCACTGCTTTTAAAACAATATTGTACAATTCTTTGCAAAATGAAGGTGGGCATGTAGTTTGAAGATGTACCAAACCTTTGTAATACGAAAAAGTGAGCATACAATTTGAAGAAATAAATGGACCTAAAGATAAACCAGTTGTTTTTTGCCTCATTGAAATGCTTTTTCCTAAAACATGTATCTTTTCTCTTATTGTTGCTCTTTGAAAAAAAAAAAAAAAAAGGGGGGCTACAAGTGCAGTTACGTTACATGGATATATTGCATAGTGGTGATGTCTGGGCTTTAAGTGTACCCATCACTTGAATAGTGAACGTTGTATCCAATCGGTAGTATTTCATCCCTCACCCTCTAAATTGGTTTAAAAGATAAAAACCGACTATGTAATTGTAGCATGCAATTAGGTTAGTAAGTTGGTAAAAATATGGTCATTCATGTCAGACTAATCCCTTTATTTGAAATATGACTCTGTTCATCTTACAATTCAATATTGGAAGATTCCATGGCCAGGCTTAGCCTGGAGGTTTCTTATTCATTTCAAGAATGCAAGCCCGTGGGCAGGAGGGGAGGGACAAGGCAGAGCAAGATGGCCAAATAGAAGCCTCCAGTGGTTGTTCCCCCTGCAGAAACCCAATTTGAACAACTGTGCACACAAAAAAGCACCTTCATAAGAAAGAAAGATCAGATGGATGATCACAGTACCTGGGTTGAACATCATATTAAGGAAAGAGGCACTGAGGAGGGTAGAAAAGACAGTCTTGAACTGTTGATGCCACCACTCCCCCATGCTCCTGCAGAGGCCATGAGGCATGGAGAAAGAATCTTTGTGCTTGGGGGAAGGAAAGCGCAGTGACTATGGGACTTTGCATTGTAACTCTGTATTGCCCTGTTGCAGCAGAAATCAACACCAGGAAGAACTCAGCAGGTACCCAAGGAGGGAGCATTTAGACTAGCCCTAGCCAGAGGCAAATTGTCCATGCCAGTGGTCAGATCCTGAGTTCCAACAAACTCCACCACCACAGGCTAAAGTGCTCTGGAGTTCTACATAAACTTGAAAGGTGGTCTAGGCCCCAAGAACTGCAAGGAAAGTCCTTGTGCTGTGCTGGGCTTGAAGCCAGTGGACCTGGGGTGTGACTGGCCTAATGAGATACCAGCTGGCCAGGGGAGTGCTTGTGATGCTCCCCATCCACTTGGCAACACAGCTCACAGCTCCAGGAGAGACTCCTTCCCTTTGCTTCAGAAGAGGAAAGGAGAGAGTAAAGAGGATTCTGTTTTGCAACTTGGATACTAGCTCAGCCACAGTAGCATAGGGCAACAGGCAGAGTCCTGAGGCCTCTATTCTGGGCCTTGACTTCCAGACAACAGTTCTAAACATACCCTGAGCTGGAAGAGAACCTGCTGCCTTGAAAGGGGGACTCAGTTCTTGTAGAATTCATCGCCTGCTGATGAAAGGGTACTCAGACGCTGAATAATCAGCAGTGATAGCAATACTTGCTGCGGGTCTTGAGTGAGACTCAGAGCCCTGCTGGCTTTGGATGTGACCCAGCACAGTCCCAGCTTTGGTGGCTACAGGAAGAGACATGCACAACTTATCTGGATAGAACCACTAAGAAATTCAAAACCTGAACAGACCAATGACAAGTAATGAGATCAACACCATAATAAAGTTGCTCAGCAAAGAAGAGCCATGAACTTTGATGGTTTAACTGCTGAATTTTAGTAAATGCCTAAAGAACCAGGAATACCAATCCTACTCAAACTATTCCATAAAACAGAGGAGGAGGGAATATTTCCAGGCTCATTTTAGGAGGCTAGTATCACCCTGACATGAAAACCAAAGACACATTAAAAAAATAATAAAGTGAAACACTGCAGGCAATTAACCCTGATGAACATTGATGCAAAAATCCTCAACAAAATACTAACAAATTGAATTCAGTATCACATTAAAAAGAGTATTCAGCATGACCAAGTGGGATTTATTCCAAGTATGCAAGGATAGTTCCACATATGCAAATTAATCAATGTAATATATCATGTGAACACAATGAAGGACAAAAGCCATATGCTTGTTTCCATTGATACTGAAAAATATTTTATAAAATTCATCCTTTGATGATTGAAAACCCACAGAAAGTGAGTATACAAGGAACATACCTCAACACAATAAAAGCCATATATGATAGACCCACAGCTAATATCATACTGAATGGGGAAAAACCTGAAAAGTTTTCTCCCTACAATCTGAAGTGAGACAAACACGCTCACTTTCACCACTGTTATTCAACATAGTACTGGAAGTCATAGCTAGAGCAATCAGATAAGAAAAAGATAAAAAGGTATCCAAATTGAATGTCCAATTATCCTTGTTTGCAGATGATATGATCTTGTATTTGGAAAATTCTAAAGATTCCACCAAAAACCTATTAGAATTGATAAACATTCAGTAAAGTTGCAAGATACAAAATCAACATAAAAAATCAGTAGCATTTTTATATGCCAACAGCGGACAATCTGAAAAATAATTCAAGAAAGTAATTCCATAATCAAGTACCTAGGAATAAACTTAACCAAACAAGTGAAAGATGTCTACAGTGAAATCTATAAAACACTGATGCAAGAAATAGAATAGGACAGACAAAAAAATGGAAAGATATTCCATGTTCATGGTTTGGAAGAATTAATAATGTTAAGATGTTCATACTACCCAAAGCAATCTTCAGATTCAATGCAATCCATATAGAAATACCAATGACATTCTTCACAGAAATAGAAAAAATAATCTTAACATTGACATGACACCACGAAAGACCCAGAATAGCTAAAGCTATCCTGAGCAAAAAGAACTGAAGGAATCACATTTTCTGACTTCAAATTATTCTGCAGAGCTATAGTAATCAAAACAGCATGGTGCTGGCACAAAAGCAGACCCACATAGACCAATGGAATAGAATAGAGGACCCAGAAATAAATCCATACATCTGCAGTTAACTCATTTTTGACAAAGGTGCCAAGAACATACATTGAGGAAAACACAATCTCTTCAGTAAGTGGTACTGGGAAAACTGAATATCCATATGCAGAAGAATAAAACTACACCCCTATCTCTTGATATATATCAAAATTCAAGCTATCAAACTTCTACAAGAAGACACTGGGGGAACTCTCCAGGACATTGGTCTTGGCAAAGATTTCTTGAGTAATACCCCACAAGCACAGGTAACCAAAGCAAAAATGGACAGATGGGATACCTTGAAGTTAAAAACCTTCTACATAGCAAAGTAAACAGCAATTTGAAGAGACAAGCCACAGAATGGGAAAAAATGTTTGCAAATTATCCATCTGACAAGGAGTTAATAAGCAAAATATATAAGGAGCTCAATTTCATAGGAAAAAAATCTGATTAAAAAATGAGCAGAGATCTATATAGGCATTTCTCAAAAGACATACAAATGGCAAACAGTTACGTGAAAAGGTTCTCAACATAACTGATAATTGGAGAAATGCAAATCAAAACCACAGTAATACATTATCTCACCCCAGTTAAAATGGCTTATTGAAGAGGATACAAAATATGAAAAGATACCCCAAAGCTAGGCAGTAACAAGTGCTGGAGAGAATGCTGAGAAAAGTGAAGTCTCATACCTTGCTGGTTGGAATGTAAATTAGTTCAAACACCATGGAGGGCATTTTGTAGGTTCCTCAAAAGACCAAAACTAGAGCTACGATACGATCCAGCAATCCCACTGCTAGGTATATACCCAAAAGAAAGGAAATCAATGTATTGAAGAGCTGTCTGTACTCCCATGTTTATAGCAGCATTGTTGACATTGAACAAGATTTGGAAGCAACCTAAGTGTTCATCAACTGAGGAATGGATAAGGAAAATGTGATACATATACAAATGCAGTACTATTCAGTAATAAAAAAGAATGACATCTTGTCATTTGCAATGATGTGGATGGAACTGGATGTTGTTGTGTTAAGGGAAATAAGCCAGACACAGAAAGACAAACATTGCACGTTCTCACTTATTTGTGGGAGCTAAAAACAATTAAAGCAATTGAGCTCATGGAAATAGTAGAAGAGTCATTACCAGAAGCTGGGAAGGGTAACTGGGGAGAGGGAGATGATTAATACATAAAGATAATTGTTACGTGTGATGAATAAGATCTAGTATTTGATAGCATTACAGAGTGACTATAGTCAACAGTAGTTTGTTGTACATTTTTAAATACTGTAAAAATATGATAGGATTATGTGTAACACAAAGGATAAATGCTTGAGATGATGTATATCCCATTTACTCCTATGTAATTATTATGCATTGTGTACCTGCATCAAAATATCTTATACCACCACAAATGTATATATGTCTTATGTACCCACAACACTTTTTTTAAAAGAATACAGGGGAACCTAGAAAGATCTAGTTCTGTTCTTTGAGTCAAGCCTTTGAGAGACAAGATCTTTTAGTGAACTCAGTTCTGCCATAGTGTTGCTTATTAAGCAGGTAGTTTTACTTGTTTATGTCTATTCTTTCACAGGATTTCAAGGGCCTATTAGGATGTGATGATGATTCCAAACTGTGCAAATAAAGGACAAATGACATGTTCTTCCACAAAAGGAGCTTCTGTTATCCCTCTTTGCCACAGACGTGCTAGAATGGCCAAAGTGGATGTTATTTTCTTAATGTTAAAATGATTTGTGAATAATAATTGGTAACTGCTACCATTAACCTTTATTGTGTCAGGCCCTGTGCCAACTATTTGATCTTGCTGCAGCAGTGTAAGGTACATATTGTGATTGTCTCCATTTTACGTGAGTGGACACTGATACCCAGAGAAGTTAAGTAAATTGCCAAAGCCAGAGTTTCAAGTGGTCTAGGTTCTTTTGATTTGAAACCAGGTCTATTTACTGGGTGACTTCTCTGGGCGTTCTGTAACCTCTTCCATGGACAGCTTGGCAAGATCATCCTTATTACAGTTCAAAATGTTACATGTCCCATCCCTTTCCCAATAAATCATGGGTTTCCTAAAGATTGTCTTCCTCTCTTCTGAGAGAGAGAAATGGAAGGAGGAGAAAGGATGGAGGGAGACAGGAGTAATGTGTATTTCATCGCTATCAATGACATTTTAGGACCAATAGGGCCACCTGAAAGGCAACATCCCACAGAATTCTGCCCACAGTTAGTGTTTCAGTGGTTAGCATCATGTGATTAAATCCTTTTAAATGCAAGTAAATCCTTATGAACCAAAAGAAGAAAAATTACTTTCTCTTCAGGAAAATAAATATAGATATGTTATTTTCCTTAGATTTGTGAAATATTTCTTCAAAAAACCAAACCTGATTCCCAAGAGATAAGAAAAACAACTTTTTTCCTTCTCGACATTCACATGAAATAACACCTAAGTATTTTAAAGTGTGAACAAATGTCCCATGGTACTCAATCGTGTGATATATCTGTCGCCTTCTGCCACCTATAATGAAGAAAAGATTTTGAAGAGAGTAGCATCATTTTTCAACTTTTTTATTCTCGAAGTTCCCCTTCTGTGCTAAAACCCGAAGAGCAAATGTGTTGCCTCCAGGTGATGAATATTGGGTAGAAATTAGCAGGAGCCACTGCTCCCTCATTGTGGCATGGCACAGAGGTGGTCAGTGCACAGCAGGCTGCAGAGATATGACTGGGAATGTATGCAGTGATACAGAGCAGGGTTGGTTTTGTGTCAGTCTGCCTATTGGGAGGACTGTGCCGTGATTGTGTGTAAATGCAGTCAGAAAAGTCTTCTGAACTCACAAGTACTGGCCCAGTGACCTCCCTGTGGCACGCCCTCAGTGTCTCCCCAGCCATCTTAGCCCGGCCCAGCCTGGTTGGCCCCTTCCTGTCTTTCCTTGCCTCCTGTTCACCACCCTCCTGTGCTGTCTGTCCTGATGGGCTGAATTCTAGTCCTCCTGCTCTCCAAGCCCTTTCCCCTGGTGGATCCCTTGCTTTTGCTTCTGCCTTGATGCTCTTCCCTCTCTCTTCTCTACCCTGCTTTTAGCTGTCAGCTCCTGTGTTAATTTCTCAGTGGCATTGTCCCTGCCTTGGTCAGATCCTCTAATTATAGATTCTTTTCACACCCCATGCCTTTCTGTCAAGGCCTTGCCCCAGGTGCATTTAACATTTGGGTTCTGATAGTGTTTGGGAGAAGAGGTAGGGTTGAATAGTTGAGCCCAGGATGCTCAAGCCATACAGCTGGCTTCAAACCAAATTCTGCCACTTAGCAACCTTGCCAACTCTGTGCCTCCTCTGTAAAGTGGGGGTGACTGTACCTCATTCTTAGAGGTGTGGTAGAGAGTAAATGAGTTGATATTAGAATGGCAGCTGATATGTAGAATGGGCTTACTACATGGTGGCTCTTTTTAATATTTGATTTAATGATTGTATTTATTATCGTTAATATTTAATTTAGCGATTATCCTTCCTTCCATTAGATTGTGAACTCCAGGCAGACAACATTTATAACTGTTTTTGTTGCACAGTGTCTCCCTGGTCCTGGTGCAATACCTTTCCCACTGTAGGCACCCATGCAGTGTTTATTTTTACTGTGTGTCAGCACTGAGTTTGGTGAACTGAAGGCTTCAACTTCCATTTCAACCAGTGGTTCTATCTGTCATAGGATTTACAGATTTATATCATGTTCTTGACAGAGATGTTGATAGTTTTTAATTGGCAGCCAGGACACTATATTTGGCCCTTTGTTCTGGGACTTTTGGTGCAAGGACTTTCTCAGCAAATGTGGCATCCTACCCAGATTCTGACCACCATGCAAGGATGAGATTGTCTTGAAAGTGTGTCCTACTTCTACTAAGCTGATGACATTCAGATTTTTGTCTTTAAGCTGCACACCCCTTTTTAATCAATTTCAAACTTATTTGGAAGCTCAATGTGTCAAACACATTCAAAATAGAGGGGCTTTGCTTAGGAAAGAGCATGGCTTGTTTGGGATCCCCCATCCTTATCCTGCCTCTGACTACCACTGGAAACCTTTGCCCTAAATAATGATGGTCTGCTTTCTAAGGCTATTAGGTGAGAAACCAACTTGGAATGCTTAATCAGCAAGCATGGAAGTAACTTGCAGAAGAAAAAAAAAATTCAACCTTTTAGTATCAAATAGGGAATAATTTCAAGTGATGTTGGGGACAGCTGCACTGTTCGTACATGCTGGAGAGAAGATCCTGCTACTTACCACACAGCCTATGATTTTGAAGGCTACTTTACAGCTGCCACCTTTCATCTTGAAGAAAACAGATTTTAATTATGACAGTGAGAGCAAGATTCCATATTGTCTTATTAGTTGCTTAATTTTATTTAGCTGACTCATTTTGTATGGGAATGTCTCCAGGGGCTGCTGGAGAGTCTCTGTTTATATAAAAGGAGAGAGATCCCAAGAGGTATATTTGTTTAAGAGTGTTGCATAATGTATTCTAGGTCTTGGGTTTGTACCATTCTCAGATTATAAATGGTAGAAGCGTATTTTTTTGGTCAATTTTATAATCAAAAGGAGAATCATTACTAAGGGTCATTATTGAATAACATATTAATAACTTGATAAAATATTCAGACTTTTTGGACCTTCCAGAATTCGTTCAAATAAGGATTTTATTTTTCAGTGTGAAGAAAAAAATTTTATTAGATATCCTAGTGAAATGGGGAAGAGTAAGTATTTTTTTCCCCTTAACATTAAGGGAATTTTCTTAAAGAAAGTGTTCTGCGCCAGGGTTGTTACATATGGTATTCTCTTTTGTTATTTTTTAAACTTAATCTTAAAATATATTTCCTTTAAATAGAATCCTAAGTTTGGGATTGATGACTAAGGATACGTTAAATTTGTATATACTTAAGTTAATTCACTACTTCCAACATGAATTATATTCTGAACAAGGAAAGAAAAAATATTTGGCTGATATGGGCCATCTGGCTTTAAAATGTAGAGAATTGTCTTCCAGCCTGCATCTATTTTAGAGTGACTATTGGATCAGAATGCCAATGAATCCAAAACAGTAGATTCACAATTTAAACTTTAATGCTTGGAGGATTGTAAATCACAGCACATATGGGATGATACATGTTTTGGGAGAAATGGATCCTCCTGACCCATTTATAAAAAACTAAAGCTGTCTGTATTCTCTGTTTATTGAATGTATTTATTTTACTCAGAAGTAAACAGTATCTAGGTTTTTAATCTCAACATTGGGATTTTTAAAAACTAAAAAATTTGTTTTGTTGAATTATCCTGCAGGATAAATGCTTAGTAATATCCCCAAAAGGTTTTTCCAAAGAAGTAATGGTGGTTCTTGATATTTTCTCATGGTTCATTTTTTTAAAAATCAATATAAAAGCAAATTTTTAAAAAAGTCTTACTTCCCTTCAAAGGAAGGTGTGATTCTAGTGGTTGGGGGTTAGTCCGAAGCCACAGAACTTCTTTCCCTATAAACCTCTCATTCTGGCAAGGCAGGACATTTGGACGAGGATTTGCTGAATTAATACAACCAGAGACTTTCCCTAATTTTAATGTTTCCCAAAATAAGTCCTGATAAGATTTGCTCCCTGAAAGGTAGGTGAGGAAAGTTTAAGACAAGTTTGATAGACATATCTGTTGAAGAAATTTGATAATTTCACATTTTTTGATACGTTAGTATGCCAGTCATGAACTTCTGAAAAGAGGGTTGTGGAGGCGAGAACTCGAAGTAGTTTTCTGAACTATTTTGACCCTCAGGTATTTTATAGGACTTTCGAGTTGCTGACTGTAACATGAGAGAAGGAAGGACATCTTGTCTGGTGGGTACATGCATGTACCTGCCTTATAGAAGCTTTTGGGGGTGATAGACAGTAGATTTCCTTGCCCATCTCCCCAACCTCAGTATATTTGAACATTTCTGAAATTGAGATGTTGTTTACAATTATTCCATGTGTTTTCTTTTTTTACTTTCAGGAAGGCTATTAATGAATTAAGGATGCCTTAACATTAAGTAAGTTATTAGGTAATACAGGTTTTTTGTTGTTGTTGTTGTTTTTGTTTGTTTGTTTGAGACGGAGTTTCGCTCTTGTTTCCCAGGCTGGAGTGCAATGGCGCGATCTCGGCTCACTGCAACCTCCACCTCCTGGGTTCAGGCAATTCTCCTGCCTCAGCCACCTGAGTAGCTGGGATTACAGGCACGCGCCACCATGCCCAGCTAATTTTTTGTATTTTTAGTAGAGACAGGGTTTCACCATGTTGACCAGGATGGTCTTGATCTCTTGACCTTGTGATCCACCCACCTCGGCCTCCCAAAGTGCTGGGATTACAGGCGTGAGCCACCACGCCAGCAGTAATACAGGTTTTAATTCTAATTTGTTCATCATGCTCAGTCTACTGATTTTGCAAGAAAAACTGTATTAAATGAAAAGAATGAATGGAAAAAGACTATTTTGTGGGCAATATCTTTTATAATCAGCTTTGTTTTCTAGAATATTTGGAATCTGGTTAAAAAATAAAATCAGTCATGCTTTTTGGCAGCTTACTATGGTTTCAACCCACTGCTAAGTGCTTTGTACATGTGTATTATGTATCTATGGTAGGTACTGTTACCACATTTTAAAAGTGAGGGCAGTGAAACTCAAAGAGGTCCCATAATTTATCAACCTTAATAGCTGATGGAGAATGATGTTTCAGTCTCAGGCAGTCTCATTTCCCCAAACCCACTCTTTGTTTTAGTTAACTGAGCATTGACATTTATTTATTTTGTGTATACTTTCTTTATACCTTTGCATTATGGCATATACCACAGATTTCTGGAAATGGGTTATTATTAGAATCACCTTGGAAGCTTTGGAAAATTACAAATTCCTGGCTCAACCCTCAAAATAGACTTACTCACTAGCTCTGGGATGCAGCTTGTATTTTTAAACATTAATGTAGAAGCTCCAAGTGATTTTGATGAAGCTAGAATTGGGCATGACAGTTAACGTATGATTAAAAAATGCTTTTCTTTCCACCAGTAATAAAAATGGGTTGGGCACTGTGGCTCATGCTTGTAATCCTGGCACTTTGGCAGGACAAGGTGGGAGGATCACTGAGTCCAGGAGTTTGAGACCAGCCCTGGAAACATAATGAGACTCTGTCTCTGCAAAAAAATAAAACAAATGAGTCAGCTGTGGTGGTGCACATCTGTAGTCTCAGTTTGCTTAGGAGGCGAGGGTGGGAGAATCCCTTGAGCCTGGGAGTTCAAGGCTGCAGTGAGCCACAGTTTATGCCACTGCACTCCAGCCTGCGTGACAAAGTGAGACCATGCCTCTAAAAAAGTACATAGTAGAATGCACATAGCCCCCAAACCATGAAAAACATAATTGAATGATGTATGACTCCTGTATCAGCTTTAGACATCTAGAGTTGGCAGTCAAGGTGTGTTGAGAAAGCAGATGGGCATAAAAACCTAAAGCTGCTGGGTACCTTTGCCTGAAATGTGTAAGGGTGCTTTCATGCCTCGATCCATACACTCTTCTTGATGTATTAAAAGCCTTCATTAAGAATAACCTCAGTGTAAACTGTCGTGGATGGATTTGGGTAAGATGTCAACACATACATGATCTTCCACTCTTCAGCTCTGATATCAATACAAAGCAAGTCTCTCTAATCTGTCTCCAAATAGCTATAGCTTCCTTGATCGGGTCTAATAATAGGAACAAGCCCATGGGGATTAAAAGATTCCATGCTTCTGCTGCTGCCATTAATATAATTGCTATGATCTAGTGATCCATGGGGAAGTCGAGTTAAATGCTAAAATCTTTGGGGCCAGAGGCTAAACAGGTTAGTTCTATCATTAATGTTGTCTTTAAGAAGGTACATAGTGTTCCCCAAAATGTGACTTTGCAGAACTGACAACTATGTCTAAAGTCAGCATGCAAGTGAAGGGACAATTCAATTCTGGTTTTGGGAAATTTGCAGGAGTGAATGTGGCAGAGTAGGTGTGAAATAAATGTTCTTTAGCATTTAGTGAAGGTTTGTGGGTCACCATCATTTCAGGTATCTGGGAGTTGTGCAACCCTTCTGTTCTCCCTGAGTCACATGGGAAGCTTTTTAAAAAGTCAAACCTTTCAAGTATTTGTAAATATTTAAAGGCAACACTGTGTCTTGTGTGTACAAATCCATCTGTGGGCCAACATTCAGGGGCATCTGATCATGTGAGTTAATCACATGTGGCGGCCCTTTTTGTGCCAACCCTTTGAGATATTTTACCTCCCTGGCAGTGTCTTCATGAACATGCATTGACCATCTTTTGGATTAATGGGCTAAAGTAATCAGGTCATTATGAGTCCAACCACTTTCTAGACTCAGTTTACCTAATTGTTAATGGTATTAGAGCTGCATTGGGTGAGCCTATTTTTCCAATAATAGACTTTGACTTCTTAAAATTATTTTTTTTCTCTTCATGAATTTCTCTGATACCAGCCTAATCCTAAAACCTACTTCTCCCCCACCCCGACCGGTGTTTATTCAGATAATTTTCCTTCATTTGCGCATGCAGCTACTACCACAAGTCAAACAGGGAAGTCACTCTCGGGAGCCTTCCTTTCAGCAGCTAGTCCTTTGTTTCAGCGATTTTCCCTTTTCGGTTGCATAACCTTGAGGAAAGGGCATCTAGTATATGATATTGTTCCCAAAATAGTTAAATGCCTCTTTTTAGGAATCCTGATAATATCCATGATAATTATTAATACTAGGGCACACAAACATAAGCACCCACTGTGTACCTATCTCTGTGCTAAACAAAACATGATCACATTTTGAACCTCACACTGACCTGGTATTGTTCTGTAATTGGTTCAGGTGGTTGCTTCTGAAGACTTGCACGTAGGCAAGTTGCTTTCATCTTTTTGACGAAGGTTCATCAGTCACCTTGTAAATGGCCATGAGATTTCTGAGCTGAAGCTCGATGAGGGAAAAAGACCTCAAAGTCTGATAAGGGATGAGTGACCCTTGTTGTCTAAAACATTGACTAGAAATTGAATTCAGTCTTTGCTTAATAAGAGTCATGTCTGATCCTAATGAAAACCCAACCCAATTAGGGTTGATACCTGAATTCTACTGTAATATCTGACTGTAGTGGCTGGATAATTTGCCTTCCTTTGCCTTCTTTCGTCCATTCACTCCCCTCACCCTACCTCACCCACCTCATCTTAATTTGTATTTTGAATTTGCGTAGTTTTAAAAAATAAGGAAATTTAAAATAAATATTCTCAAGGTACTCATACTACAAGATAGTTAGTAAGGACATTGAGTTCAAAGTTGCATTCAAATCAGAGCTCTACTGTGTTTGAGCTGGTAAAACTTGGGCAAACGACTTAAGATCTCTGTGCCTCAGTTTCCTTATCTTTAAAATCCTAGCTAAGTAGTGTCTCCTGGAAGGTTTATGGGCAATTAGGTTATGTGTGTAACAACTTTTGCACAGTGACAGGTGCCCAGAAAGAGCTACAGATGTGCACAAGAAATGGTGGCCCTTTTTAGAAGATACATTTAGGACTTTAAAAGTTAGGTTAAAAAAATAATGACTTTCGGTGCTGTGGGATTTGTGAGCTCAAGGACTTGTGCTGCAAGAACAACAAACACGGGCTTGCTTATTTAATAGAACGTGTCCTCAATGAGGGTCTGATCTGCTTTTGGCTTGAGGAATGCTTCAGAATTTTAATTATTTGGAGGAGCTTCCCAGGGTATTAGAAGTTGCTTTATGGTTGCTTTCTCTTCACGTCAAACTGAAAGGGCAACCATTACAAATGAGCATTCCTGTGCCAAGATGTGACACAGCAAATGAATTTACGGATGTTGTTAATGGTCATCATCAGCATGGCTAGGGTTCCAGTTTGATCAGTAGCTGCAGACTGCCTTCTTAAGATGAAATATTCCTTTAAATGAACATGACATCTTTTCTTGAACAATACTCAGGTTATTTTTTTCTCTCATAGAGATTGAAGACCCATTACTCAGCATTATCTCCCTCTCTCCCCGGCAACTTCCATCTGTTCAGAATGAGCTACCTCAGGTATATTTATTGCTTTTCCTCAGTGTTCTTCTTAGCTTGTATATATAGCTTATTATGGCACTTATAATAATATGCCAAGCAATAAAAATATAATTATCATTCTATGGTAGCTGCTGGTATTCACTGGGCATGTACTATGTGCTGGCTTTGCATCATCATCTCATTTGATCCTCACAACTTGTGAAGGAGGGATCTTCATGGACCCCGTTTTCCACATGGTGAAGAGATTAACTTAGAGCTTAAATACTTAAAATCAGGGCTGTGATTTAAAACAGGACTGAAGGTAAAATCTGAAGGCATAGACATGACTCAGAGTTGCCTCTGTTTTACAACTCCCTGTTGATTTCCATTTTCCTCTTTTGTCAGTCAGCTCCCTTGACTTCCTGCATCTGTCTATCTTGCATCCTAGCCTAGTGCCTGACATGGTGGATGCACTGGAGCATTTGAAAGAATGAATGAATGATTTAGCCCTCTGCAGAGTATATGCTGAAAAACTGGTGCCTAGCCTTTAAGAGCTTAAAAGTGAAGTGAATGAATTTTGATAGAAACATTTTTAAAGTAAGGACCATCCTTCTGTGTCCCCAGAAAATTAAACAGACTGAGAAAATGGTAAAGCCAAGTTAGAAGCATTCAGGTGTGGAAGTTGTACAGGGCACTTGAGTTAAAAAAAAAAAAATCTGCTCAGGCATAAAATAATTAAACTGTTCATGACAGCATATAATTACATCATTATATACACAACTCTGTTACTATAATTTGGCTCATAAAAGAGCAAAGTGTCAACATCTTTCTAATGGTATTTAATTTTGTTTTAGCATTTCCTAAAGGAAGTGTTCAGTTTCTACTTTGAACTTACAAACTTTTGACACATCTTTACATAGTTTGTGGTTGCAAATCACTTATGTACACCACAGACATGACTCATTGTGCATTTTTCATGATTTGGAGTCAGGTCTTTATATGAACTCTAAATATTTCAATGTTGAAGACACATTTGCATACTTTAAATGTACCTTGTTTTTTAATCTATCTTATTTGGAGTTAACGTCGTTAGTAATATAATCTGGAAAAATAATAACTCAATTTATTCAAGACCATTTTAATTAAAAATGTGTGCTAACTCTTGAGGGACCAGGTAGAGGTTTACACTTCTCTGAAGACAGGGGTTATTGAGCAAATTAATAATGTAAACAAGATTTTTGGAAGGAATATTTAATCAACTCGAGAGAAGGCACTTTTCAAGCAAGCTGCAGCACTTTGGAATTATCCATTGACATTCAGAAGATTGATGTGTTAATTACTAATCATTGTTTGGAATTCATTAAGCTGGTCATTTAAATGCCTTTATTTGGCCACGTTCTATTGGTCTCATGTAAATTCCAATGTCTTTTGACTATAACAGTGATGCCTGTTGAATCCTTTCTTAATAATCACTATGTTACCACTTACTTTCCAATAATTTAGTCGTCTTGAGCACACAGTAAAGCCTCTCTGGTTCCAGCCTTTCACAATTGTCAAATGGGGGCACTTCAAACAACTTCATAGGGTTTTTCTGATACTTAAATGAGATAAAGTGTATGAATTGCTTGATAGAGTGTTCAGGAAATAGGTTACTAATTATCAGTCGAGACTAGTGTGATTTTGTTACCGAGTGTGGCTGCTAATACTGCATTTTTCTACCTTAGAGTTGTAGTGTAAATTGATTTATGCAGGGCCTGAAATAAAGACGTGGTTACAGTATTTCTTCTCTCAAGATTTGGACATTTATTTATATGAGAAATCTCACAGAAGTATAGAAATAAAGTGTGGTATGTTTATTTGATCGGAGGGAAAGCAATAAACTTGTAGAAAATTACGAGTCTTGAAACATCGATTGGAGTTAGGCCCACTGAATTGTGCTAGGGATTTGAGATTAAGGGAGTCTGAAATTTGGAAATGGGTGGTCTCAGGGTCCCATGTGATCATAAAGATTGTATATCTAAGTCTCTTCATAGTTAGGACTTTGTTCCTTTTTGCCAAAGCTGTGATATTCTTTTTTCCCACATTGCTAGAAACTTTCTGGCCCTTATGCAATCTCCAAGTGCTACCTATGGGGTCATGCTCAGTTTGGAATGCTTCTCATTGTTGAAGAGTCAGGTTTCCTTGCTTAATATCCTTTCCAAAAAAGTTAAACTAGTCTTAGTTGTACTGAGTTATCTTTGTGCAAAGTGAAATTTTCCATAGATACTCATATTCGTTCTTGGGGTTGTGACACTAGTATAATTAATTGATAGTTAATATCCTCTGTCAAATTTTATTTACTTGATATTTTGCATTCATCCAGCTTCTGGAAAATAGCACCAAAAAGTATGTATTATATGGTTTTATTTATTTTTTTTTAGTAGCAAATTTCTGGAAAACTTTTAACAGTTAAATATGTCAAAGACTGGATGTACCAGCCCATGAAGGAGATGAGTTTATTGAGGTTATTGAAGTGTGGGGGGAGATGTTCAGTCATGAAGAAGCTCTCAAAGGGAGAGAAGGTAGACATTTGTAATGCAGGGAAGGCAGAAAGGCTGGAGGTGGGCCTTACGATATGTGAGGGTAAGTTGGTTTTAGTGGTTCAGGATTTTTCTGAAAATGATAAGGGGAAAGATTTCTGAACCTATTGACTGGCACTGGGCTTTTATGACATTCAATATTACCCAATGGAAAAAATATGTAAAATTATTTTTTCAAATAGTAAGAAAAGTACATTGGGCTTTTCATTATGTGTTATTTTACCAATGTTGAATTCAAACTATGTTAATTTTGCGATTGTCTTTTTAGTTGGCCTAAGAACTCCTAGAAATAAGTTTTCACTATACAAATTAAAAATACCTATTCTAACTCTAAACTGTTGAAAGCAATTAATTTAGAAGTTTTATCTGCTTATATCTCTCACTTAAATCGCTGGTATGAGAAATGTAGCCTACTATTAGTTCTCTGTGTGGATCTGGCTGTTAAATAGCTCTAAGGCACTAGTAACTAATTCTCAAATTGGTATCTATCTTCACTGGCTTTTTACAGGCAGATTCCTGCTTGAAAACAGGGATTTTGTTGGTATTTTTAATTTATGGCTCCTTGCACACAACTTTTCTATATCAAATGATTTTCCATTAATAAGTGAGGCATTGTCTGCTGTGATTTCATCCCCAAATTCCCCACTTACTGAGTGCTGGCATTAGTGGGACTCTCTGGGACACACTTCTGTAGCCCACCTGCAGCTCCTCCTCTTTTTTTTTTTACTCTCTCATCCTGCACTGCATTATCTTTCTCTCATTAGAAAAATCCAGCATCTCCTCTCAAACTCACTTCCTCTGGGGTGGCTTAATGGACTTCTTCTGTGTGTTCTTTTCGGCTTTGTCACTTGTAAAGAACTATGCAGTTCTTTACAGAGCCTCGATAATATGTACAGCTCAGCTCTTGGAGATGTATATACAGTTGTGTACTATAAAACATTTCAGTCAACAGTGAACCACATATATGAGAGTGGCTCTGTAAGATTATAATGGAGTTGAAAAGACCTATTTCCCGGTGACGGCGTAGGCATTGTAATGTCATAGTGCGATTATTAATACTCTATTTTTTAATAAATTTAGTGTAATCTTAAGTGTACAGCATTTATTAAAGTCTACAGTAGTTAACAGTAATATCCTAGATCTTCACATTCACTCACCACTCCCTCACTGGCTCACCTAGAACAACTTCTAGTTCTATAAGTTTCATTCATGGTAAGTGCACTGTAGAGGATGACCATTCTCTACCTTTTATGCCATATTTTTACAGTATGCTATTTCTGTTTAAATACACAAATACTCACCATTGTGTTACAGTTACCTACAGGTATTCAGTGCAGTAACATGCTGCACATGTTTGTATCTAGGAGGAGCAATAGGCTATACTATATAGCCTAGGCATATAGTAGGCAACACCATCTAGGTCTATGTAAGTACAGCATATGATGTTGACACAATAAAATAGCCTAACGATGCATTTCCCAGAACATAGCTCCATTATTAGGTGCCACAGACTGCATGTGTGTGTATACGTATCTATGCATATGATCTCATGTTTGAATAACTTTTAGGTGTTTTCACCTGTGTCACCTTGATAAGAACATCATTGTATGTTCAGTTTATAGAGGAGGAAACTGAGGCTCATGGTGTGACTTTCTCACAGTTTGAATAGCTTTTTGTCAGAAAAGGCTGGAGCAGGATGTTGCATCTGGACCAGGGCACTGGTTCTCTTTCCTCTCTGCTTAGTACTTGTTCGCTGAAATGCAGATTTGCAGCATGAAGTACCTAGGCAATCAAAGCATGTTTGTTCCTTCTCTGAGATACTTGGTCTAAACAGTAATACATAGTTAACAGCAGCATGTGGAAAGCAGACTCCAGAGGCCAGATCTCGAATGTTTCTCACCCTTTCTGTATTAAGTGAGTGATCTTTACTCAAGCTTAGAAACTTGTGGAAAAGAGCAGACCAGGTGCTTCATTTTCCAAATCTACTGAATTACTTGGAGCAAAAGGACTGGTTGGAATGAAGGCATCATAGCCCTCCAGCAATTTATGTTGCCTGTTTGTAATATCCCTATAAAATGAGCTTCCTGGCAAGACTTAGTAAACACATTTCAACTAGCTATAAAGATTTCATAAACCATGTTCCTAGTGAGATGTACTCGGGAACAATCACAGCTCCCAGGATGTCATTAATTTTATATTAAGCTCAGAATTTAAGAATAGCTAGGAAAGGCACGTGTCCATAATCCATAGTTACATTATTAAAGTACAGGGAATATGAACTAGACACTAAAGTGATCAGTGCTGTCCAAGGGGCCAGTAAAGCAATGTGGTTAAGAGCTTTTGATATTGCATCCAGAGACCTAGTTCAGGTGGTCTCTCTCCACTCACTACCCTTACTAAATTACTAACCCACCCTGTGCTTCATTTTCCTTACCAAAAGAATGAGGATTATGACAGTATTTACCTCAAAGAGTTATTGTGAAGATGAACAGATTTGCTATGATATCCTTGGCACAGTGCCTACCATATACAGAAAATGCTTTTTTCTCTTTTTTTTTTTTTGCCATCAGTTGATAACACTTGATACTATCCACATAGCTAAAATCAGTTTTTGTTCGCTTTTAGACCTATGATTTTCGTGATTTTTTTTTTTTTTACTAAATCTTAAAACTTGGTAATTGTGAAAACCAAGTAATTGGTTGGATACGTGCCATGCTCAATACCATTCTGCATCTCCATCATTTGAATGCCTAGGCATTTTATCTTAATAATCCTACCCTGGGATATAAGCATGTTAAGGAAGAGACTAAAGCCCTCTCAAGAGACCCACTGCTGTAGTCCATTATAATCCTAGAGCAGTTTAGGTCCGTTTCTACCATAGACAGTCCCTCCCAAGGCCTCTGCTACATTCTTGAGCTACCTACATAATAGAGAGCCCCTTAATTCATTGATGAGATGTCCTAACAGGGCAATATTCTGAAAGAGCATTCAAAATTATTTCAGGGAGAGAATTTGATGTTTCTCTTTCACTTTGCTCCGCAAGTGAATTTGCAGGAATATTAGAAGTCCCAGTTGGAGGTAACACATAGTAATGGGGATAATTTGGTGATTTCCCCATCTTTACTACAGACATCTTCATCTAGGACACTGTATTCTACAGAGAGGCTTACGCTGGAGAGTGTCCCCATTTAAATCTCCATCTCTTTGCTTCAAGTGTGTCTTACTATTGACAGCTGCAGGAGTGGTTCTATCAGCGACGTTCTTATGTTGCTCCCTGATAAACATATGGGCGGGTTTCTTGTCATTTTTAAAACTATTCTATTAGATGGAACTATTCCTATGCCTCTATCATCAAATGTTTATCTAGAGCATCTCAAATACTCCAAATGGTAGCACTGCCTTATGGTTATTTGAGATTTCCTTGAGGCCTGATGACAGATTACAAAAAATTGCTTGATATATCTGTCTTAAAGGAGATCACTGAACTAAGAATTACTTGCCATCTTGTTTGGAATAGAATATGTATTTTGACAGTTGAAGTCAATTCTTAGCAAAATAGTTATTTAACTTATATAGATTAAGTATATATTTGAATTTAATCTCATATTTCAGAATGAAAACATTATTTCTTGGGGGAAGTAATTATATTACTCTATGAAATTAACCCAAGAACTTCTGCTTTTGGGTAAATTAGAGTGGCTTGTGACAAACCAACGCTTCTTTGAAAACCACAGAAAAGACTCATGTAAACTTAAATTGAAGATATCAAAGAACCACCAAGAAACCGAGAGACCTAAAAATCAGGGATTGTTGGAGTGCTAAACCAGGAATCCACAGGCTGCTTTCCCCTTTAGGGAACTTGCTGACTTTTGGCTTAAGGAGCAGTTGAGAAAAAGAGCAGCTAGAAAAATCATACCTAATAGGCAAAATAATTTTTGGTGACCTCACAATGCTGAAGAGACAAACGTAGAAGGTTGGGTCTGACAAAGCAGCCAGGATTCAGAGGAACCAAGATCTCAGAGAGAAGGTGGGTGCCTTCGGTAGATGTATAACTGAAAGCTTTTTTTTTTTGTTTTTCTTTCTTTCTTTCTTTTTTTTTTTTTTTAATGAGACAGGATTTTTCTCTGCTTCCCAGGTTGGAGTGCAGTAGAATGCTCATAGCTCACTGTAACCTCAAACTCCTGGGTTTAAGCAGTCCTCCTACCTCAGCCTCCTGAATAGTTTGGATTATAAGTGTGGATGAACATACCTGGCTGACTTTTTAATTTTTTTGTGGAAACAGGATCTTGCTATGTTGACCAGGCTGGTCTTGAACTCCTGGCTTCAAGCCATTTTCCTGTCTCAGTGCAAAGTGTTGGGTCACAGATGTGAGTCACCATGTGTATTTTTTATAGTCTCCCAGGGCGAGGTTAAAATAAATAGAGTTGTGGCTGGATGCAGTGGCTCAGGCCTGTAATCCCAGAACTTTGGGAGGCCAAGGTGGGTGGATCCCGAAGTCAGGAGATCGAGACCAGCCTGACCAACATGGTGAAACTTCATCTCTATTGAAAATACAAAAATTGACCAGGCATGGTAGTACATGCCTGTAATCCCAGCTACTCAAGAGGCTGAAGCAGGAGAATCACTTGAACCTGAGAGGCAGAGGTTGAAGTGAGCTGAGATCGCGCCATTGTACTCCAGCCTGAGAAACAGAGCAAGACTCCATCTCAAAAAATAAATAATAAGTGTAGTTGTATATCCACGAATGACAGGTGTACTAGTGTACACCACAGACCTTCAAACCATACCCATGATGTGTGTGCAAACCAGAGGTGGAGCACATCTTTCAAAATGCTCACCAGCTTTGAGTCAGTTCAATTCCAAATTGAATGAAAGTAATGCCCCATTTGAGACTGCCTGAACCTTCTTGGGTGGGAAATACCATCATGCAGAATCTCTATAATTCTTCATTCACAGCATCTGTACTTCAACTTAAAACATCAGACACATCTAGAAAGAGGACCAAGAGAAACAAATAGAAAATTGAAACAATCTCAACGATGACCAAATTGGCATTATCAGAATGGGACTTTGTTCTGAAGCTAATTAGTTGTAGTTCTCTTACTAATGCCAGGACTCTTCTCAGTAATACCAGGACTCTCACATTCTCCATTTTCCCTCCTGCCCTCTCTTGCTTCACTCCTGGCTTGGTCCATTAATTTCATTACTACTCACACTGTAGGCGTTTTAGTTTCCAACAGCTGCTTTTCTGTAAGAAGCAGGTCTATTTTATCTTGAATATTAGGTCTTCCAACCACCACAATATGGATTTGCACACAAAAGATATTAATATGTTTTGAATGAGTTTTATTTAATCAGTCTTGAAGAGTGGCTATGATAGTTTCACATTTTCTCTTTGCATAGGAAGATTATTAAAGGGGCAACAGGGAGTCTTGCTATAAACAGAAATGCATGTTTTGTTTTGTTTGCTTTAAAGTTAGCTAATTTGGTAAAATCACCTCTCTGTCTTTGTCTTTGAATTTTTCCTTGCAGTAAAATAAAATCATGTGTGCCTACAGGGGGAAAAATAAGAAAAGCAAGTTCAGACAGGCTTAAGTAAAATTACAGTCGGCCCTGTGAGTGACTTCCTGGGAATGTGCAATGAGCATTTTTGACATAGACTGTTCACATCTCTCTGAAATGATAAAGGATCAGAAATGAGATAGGCTTTGCAAACCAGAGTCAGCTTTCTCTCTGTTCTAAGGGAAGAGCCATTATTTTAAATTTCTTTTTTTTTTTCTTCCTTATTTTTATAAAAGTAGATAGCCTGCCATTGTAGCAGTGTGCTTTCTTTGATGACCTTTGGTAAGAAATGTCTGGTAATTTCTTCTTAAAGCTACAGACCACTATAATCCAAGAACAACATTTTAGATACTTTCTGTGATACAGGTTACCCTGAGTGCTTTGAAATCCTAGTGCTCTAGAGTGATTCTCAAAATGTGGTCCTCAGGCTAGCATTTGGCATCATCTGGGAGGTTATTTGAAATGCAAATTCATGGATCCCACCCAGGCCTAGTGAATCAGAATCTCTGGAGATAGGGCCTGGGAAACTGTTTTACTGTGTTTTCCAAGCAATACTTACTGTGCATTAGTATTTGATGACCACTTTTTTAGAGTACTTATGGTAATCCATATGGAGTTACCAGGTAGGTCCCAGATAACTGACCTCTGTGGTGAGGCCACAGTGCCACATCAAGAAAATATTGCAATGTTCCTTTCATCATTTTCCAATCTAATGGAATTAGGGTCTTTGGGAAGTTTCTCCTCAGCCAGAAAATCATACCTCAGGAATAAGAGGGTAAAAAAAATTTCAAGACAGTAGAGTAAGAGTTTTTCTTTTCTTTGGACCAACTCCCCACCACCAGAAGTTCTTTTGATTCTGTGTAAAAAGTCTTGGCCAACTAGGAGGATGAAGCAGGCACCTCACTGTCTGGTAAAACAATTAGGCATTATAAGGAAATCACATCTCTTTTCAAAAAAGAGAATGACATTCTTTTCAGAATGACCAACGCTGTGCCTGGTGGCTTCTGCCTATAATCCAGGTGTTTTGGGAGGCTGAGGCAGGAGGATCACTTGAACCCAGGAGTTCAAGACCAGCATGGCGAACACAGTGAGATCTCATATCTACAATGTTAAGAAAAAAAATTAGTCAGGTGTGGTAGCATGCACCTGTAGTCCCAGCTACATGAGAGGCTGAGGCAGGAGGATTACGTGAGTACAGGAGTTTGAGGCTGCAGTAAGTCATGATCATGCCACTGTACTCCAGCTTGGGTGACACAGTGAGACCTTGCCTCTTAAAATAAATTAAAATTGAGTGAGTGGGAAGAAAAATGACTTGAGGTGATAGACAAGAATAATGGCACTCGAAGAGAAGAGTCAACTTTCAGAAGGACAGTGATTAGGTGCATCAGACAGTCAAGATTTAATAGTTATTGCTGTGGCCATCATAAAGTGAAGTTTTCAAAATATATATGTAGTTGTCTGTAGACACAGACATACAGGTGCATTGAATATCAACTCTTCAAGGATGCATTGGCCTAAGATTTACAACAACTTTTATAAGACAGTAGCCTATGTGGCTCTTTCTAAAAGTGTGTCTCTATCTTGTGTTCTCTGTGTTAAGTGATTTTATTTTCCTGTGCCTATTCTCTAAGGTAAACAAAAAAGAAACAGTTGTTCAAAGAGAAGTTTGAGATGATAAATTGTTTCTAAAGATTTTACTGTTTGCTTCAGCCCACTTTTTAAATGATTCAGTGAGCTACTTCATTGTTAAGTGGAGACTCCTCTTGTTCCCAAGAGCATCCTTCCAAGAAGAATATATTTACTGCTAGACATTTTTAGAAACTTGTACAGTTTTGTGAGTAAACTCCCTCCATTGACATGGTCAAACTTATTGGTAGTACAGTCAAGAAGGAATCGGAAGAGGGCAAAGGTACAGCTCATCGGTGATTCATCAAATGTTGGTGAATCATTCATAATTAGGTCCCTTTGGTGTAAATTGCCTTTGAGGTTTTTTTTCTTTTCTGTCTGCTACATCAGGTAAAGACACTGATATCGTCTGGTTCAGCCTCACTGGATTTTGAAAGAGGTGCAACAGTGAGTTCTGAGAACAAAAGCACAAACAAAAGGGGTGAATGTGACTCTTTTTAACTTGTTATTACATCACAGAAGTTCATAATACATTTCTCTTGCTGGGTTGTAATTTACTAGAGTATCAGAATCATATGCCAGTGTAAGAGCCAAAGCACCTTAAATTCTAAATATCATGTATTGCCCTGTGTTGTTTGCACTTTGGTTGAGTTCTTCCAAGCTGAGCGACTGGAGAGAGATTCCAGGAGAGTGTGTGAAAGAGTCTACTTTATTAAAAATATACTGAAATGACAGATTCCAGAAATCTGTTGCCCCACTGAATATTGCAGAAACAGTAAGACAGGCAAGGAAAAAACCTTGGATTTATATCAGTTTTGTTTATCTATTTGGTTACCATTGAGGAGTCTTTGAGTTGTATAATTTGGGTTAGAAATTTGATGTGAATGCATTTACATGCCCTATGACTTTGGGCAGTTTTTTTAACGCTGAGGTTCCTCATGATAAGATATCAATAGTACATTCCAAATAGGATTGCTGAGTGAATTAAATGATAGTGCAGGTAAAGTTCTAGGTGTAGGACCTGGTACATATTATATGCTCAATTGGTGGCCTCTATTATTACTTAGAATGTTATTATTTGGTATGAGCCTAATTTGACATGCCTACAATTCTTTTAAAAATCAGAATTGTAGTGTGTAAATGATTTCATTTTATATACCATCTTCCAGGTAGAGAAGGCACTCAGGCAACAGGGCACTCAGAATGACATGTCATGGAAGTGTAACAAACCCAATTTCCCTGATTGGGAGAAAAGTCTAGACTTGGGAACTGATGACTGGGAGGAGACCAATTGCTTGTCGGGCATTTGGATAGGGAAGAGAAGTGGACCCAGGGCAGTCAGTTGTTCCTGACAGCATTCCAAGAAGCCTAGGAACTGTTCTGTTATTTAAGAAGCCTTTGACTTGCTAATGGACAATGTGCCTACCTCGATTGTGCATATAAAATGAGACTCTGGGGGCTAGGTGGCTTAGAACTGGAAGGCTGTAACTGAGGATGACCAGCTGTGGGTCTGCGGATGTGAAGCAGGGGTGAGAACAAGCACCTCAGTAAGTGGTGAAAAAGAGTTAAGAATTAGAAACACGATGGAAAGCGGCGTGAACATAAACACAGCAGTGGTTCATTCAGACTGGTATGTGCGTCTCTGACCCACAACACAATGAGAGAAGGGGTGTATTTTTGAATAAGTCCAAAGACACTTGCATCTGTTGTTTCTTGAGCAGCAAGTCTGGAATATTCCTTCCCTTCTAAAAATGCTATATGCCCGCACAGCTGCTCTTTGAGCAGCCTGCGAATTCAGAAAAGAAGGATTCTTGACACTCAAGGGTCAAGAGTCACATGGTGCCCAGAGAGAAGTAAGTACAACTTGCCATTTTCCCAGGCCGCTCCATGAGTTCAGGTGTTTAGGAATATCCGAAGGAAGACGTGCCCAGAGGAGTCACTGACTGTGACTGTTTGACTCAGGATGTCATCTGTCTGATCACCTGTAGTCTTTTGAGGCCATACCCAAAACTAAAAGCAGAGTTCTGAAGTGGGTGACCTGGGTGGTTAGAGCTATGTTGCTAGAGTGTCTTGTCTCCAGCTACCCAAGGTTTTGTGCAGAGCACAGTAGCAGCCTTTATTCAGATCAGTTATAACTTCTAGTTTGTCAGTTGATTGAAACACTTGGTTAAAGCAACGAATATTGCTTTCGAAGGGAAAAAATTCTATTTAAAATTTTTAGGACATTACAATGTGTATCTGTTGACTAATTCTTTCTTGGTTCCACACCTCCTTGATTATGAATTGGCCGACTGGAGGCTTACCTCTACTTTCTCAAATAAATGATACTCACACTGCACCAGGGATGATTCCTTCAAAGTGAAATAAAAACTTTGCAGGGAAAAATCCCTGCAAAGCAATCTAAGGCACAGTTATTCTGGACTTTTGCGATCATCTTTTTCACCTTGTAAAGGTTTCTCCTTCTCATATAAAGCCAATCACTCTCACCAATTGAATTTATCTCATCTTTCAAAAGAAGTAATGGAAGCAATGTCTCTATTTTCTTCAGCATATTTCATCAGTCTCTTACATTCTTAAATCATGTAAATACACTAAAAGTATGATAGGTTTGGGAATTGATATTTTGGATGCATTCCTGGTAAACATACAACTGAGCTGATGGAACTTGATTGTGTAGTGTATTAGGAGGTAGCCTAGACAATTTTAGTGTTCTGGGCACCACGAACCTCATTCATTATGTTCTCAAAGGGATTGCAGAGGCTTGATTCAACCCAGAAATGTGGCTAGTTGGTAATCAAGAATGTCATTTTCCCATTGTCTTACTGAAAAGGAGATTGATGATGAAACAGGAGTAGTTCTCTTTAAATCTGAACTGCAGAGCTGTTATTTAAGTTAACAATATGTAATTGTCAAAGCCTGTTATGAGACCTCGGTTATTCTTCGTTTAAAAGAATTTAAACAAGACACAGCAAAGGAGATGCAGCATAGAGTAATTTATTACACAAGAAAAAGAATATTTTGAAAGTTAAGTGCAGAATGCACAGTATATCCTGAGAGAGAGAGAGAGAGAGAGAGAGAGAATGAGAATGAATTCAGGGCGGGCTGCTTGTAAGGATGAGACAACAAAGACTGGTGCTAGGGAGACTGTCTTTTGGGGAGTCTTACATGATTTTTCATGAGGAGGTGGGAAGCAGTGTTACTCGTAAGTATGTTCTGGATGGTGCTCTGGGTGCATGTGCGCAGTAGCTGTACATGCTTGTTCATATGCCACATGTCTCAGTAGCATCTTAAATCTCTGCCCAAGGATGTGTTTTTTACTATTACAATCAGCACAGGGTCAGTCAGAGGACAAGTGAAATCAAATGTGCATGCTCATGACAGCGGAAGTTCCCTCCTGGAGATAGCTTTGTTTGAGTGAGCTGGACTACGGTGCCAATGCTGGTGCTTACTGTTTTGACCGTACGGTCATCACAGTTGCTGTATCTCAAGGACATGGTTACTTCCTTGATTACTTACCCTGCCTCACATAACTATGTTGAATCTTTTAATATAATATGACTATATAAAAGTTTACATATGTTTATATAATCATATTGTATCTTAATTTTTAAAAATGTAAAATACCACAATACATTATTCTAGGCAGCTGTTGTTGAACTTGAAATATGTGGGTATCTATTAATTCAAGTGACTAGCCATGATTTTGGTGCATGGGGTAGGGAATATCTTTAAAGTATGTCAGCCAAATACCTATTAGCTAACTATTTGTAGACTATGGGTCTGTATTTCCCCTGAATTTGGATGTTGATTGTTTTGCATGAGAAAACCCTCTATTTAGTAATATAAATATGAATTAGTATCTTAGGAGAGCAACATACCCTCATATGACATCTGATTGTCTAATTGCCATGTGACCACAGACAGATCGCATAACCTGAATGTCATTTACCTCATCTATATAATGATAATTAAAAAGAACACCCAACTTGTAGGGTTGCTCACTGATGGAATGAGATGGTGCATGTAATCTCTGAGCAGTGTCTAGGATACAGTAAACTCTCAATACACAGTAGTGATGGTGATATGTTGTGGAGGGCATAGAGCAGGATTCAGCAAGTTTTGGCTGAATGAATGATTAATGGAGCTTTACTTTCTTTTCTCTGAGTTAAGTGGCTGACAGGCCTCCTAAGAACATATAGAAAGAATTTTATAACTTAATGGAGTATTTATGGTTTGAACATATTATATAATCACTCCCTTTTATTGCAAATATGCCTCCCTTCTCTCTGTCTCAGTGACATCACTATCCACATTAAGAAAAATCCTTGCCTGGCTCCAACAGTCTTGCCCACATGTCTAAGATTTATTTATGCCAACTATTGATCAGGAACCTCAGTGATGGGTTTTTAAGACATATAATCTCAGTTTGTTTGCCACTTTGCAAAATTTCCAGAAAGTTGTACTGAGCTCTAGGTTTTAATGGGCCTCTCCTGTGAAGTGGGGAAAGAGATTGATATCATAATCTAATCAAATAGGAAAGTACAAAATAGGAGGTGCATGTTAGGTACTGTTCTTTATTTTATTTATACTTGGATGTTATTTTAACTTTTCCTGTAGTCTGTGTAGTTTAATTCACAGTAAAACATTTACGAAGTAGATGGGTAGTTAAAAGAACCTCAGACCGGTAATATTTTTCCCATACATGTTCTAATGATTCATTTTTAAAATCCATACTGTCTAAGAAAATGAATAAAATTTGACCTAAGTTAATAACTTAGAAATAAAAAGAAACATCTTTTGGCCCAGATCTGTGAAGATGAACAGCATATGTTGCTTAGAGTGTAGACTCCATGAGGGCAGTGTTTTTTGTCTATATGACCACAGGCATTACATTCATGATGCAATAAAAATGATTTTTTTAAAGCAACAACTTGATTTATGAAGAACGGTACATGTCTGCTGAAGTATCAAAGTGAACATTTCATTTATATTGGTGAGATAGTGATGTCACTGAGACAGAGAGAAGTGAGGAAGCTAAAAGGTTATTACCTCCAGTGCACATGAAAGCTTAGACCTTCTGTTGTTCTGTTTTACTCACCGCTATGCCCCCAGCACCTAGGACAGTGCCTGGCATATAATGGGCACACTGCACATACTTGGGAAAAAATTGTTGAATAAAAGTAACTCAATCTGAATGCCTATGAATGATAGAATGCATAAAGAAAATGTGGTATTGTCTGGGTGTGGTGTTTCACACGTGTAATCCTAGCACTTTGGGAGGCCAAAGTGGGTGGATCACTTGAGGTCAGGAGTTTGAGACCATCCTGGCTAACATGGTGAAAGCCCCCATCTCTACTAAAAATAAAAAAAATTAGCTGGGTGTGGCAGTGCATGTCTGCAATTCCAGCTACTTGGGAAACTGAGGTAGGAGATTTGCTTGAGCCCAGGAGGTGGAGGTTGCAGTGAGCTGAACCAAGATCATGCCACTGCACTCCAGCCTGGACAACAGAGTGAGACTCTATCTCAAAAAGAAAAGAAAAAAAAGAAAACATGGTACAAATACACCATGGAATACTATGCAGCCATAAAAGAGAACAAC